GTAAAATATAATTTTTAATAAAAAGAAATGTATAATGTAAGTTGTAGGGAAATTAAGCAATTTTTGAAACCATTTTCTAAAACAAGAACTAACTAAGAATGCTTTTTTCAAACGGATATGACATCCTCTCTTAAATGTCCTTTTTAGGTATAAAATCATAAATAATTTTGCTTTAAATCCATCATGTTTAGACGCTTGAAATTATTTGTATAATTTCCCTTTTCAAAGTCTATTTTTAATAACAATATTTAAACTAACTATTTACACGATGCCATTGAAATAGTTAACAGAGACCAAATTCTAATTTTATTTTATCTTCATTAGGGTAAACTCAATACGATTTTAGCCAAATAAAGTACTGATAAAGTTCTATTTCTATGTATAGTTCTATTTCTAGTTATATTGCCATACAAAAAAAAAAATCAGTTTGGCAGTCTAGAAAATATTGTAGCCTAGTGTCCCACAAAGATTAGACAAATAACTTTTGTTCTAGTGAATATTTTTAAAATTAATTTATACGCATTTGCGCTATAAGTACTTCGTTTTTTATTGCACAAAACATTTTAGTATTTTAATTTATTATTATTTTTTTTACATTAATTTTATTAAATTTTAGATAGCCATTTTATTAAAAATAATTTGCTATGTATTTTGACTGGTCGACAACTAGTTTTGGATAATTACTTTTAAAGTTGTTTAGGTTTTAAGTTAAGGGTGGGAAGTTTACGCAAATACTCTACCACACTTCACCACCCATCCTACTCATTAACCTTTAGTAACTTTAAAAGTAATTATCCAAATCTGGTTATCGACCAGTCAACATTTTCAACAAATAATTCTTAATAAAACCTTCAACTTAATTTAATAAAATTAATGTAAAAAAAAAAAAATAATAATGAAAAAAAAGTAAAATACAGTGCAGTTAATAGCAATAAAAAACGTGGTGCTTATAGTGCAAATGATTATTATTTAATTTAAAAAAAAAATCTAAAAAATATACACTAAAGCAAAAGGTTATTTAATTTGTCATATCTTTGTGGGACACCCTGTATATATCTATCTAAATATATATATATTGATATCATATAAAATTAGTCTCGCAAAGTCGTCTCATCTCGGCACCGTAGGCAACTGTTCCCAATAAATGTATTTTATGTTTATTATTTGCAGATAAAAATGAAATTTGTCTGTTTTTTTATAACACTTGTCGTTGAAAATATTTCGGCATTTGATGAAGGTTATTTAATTATTTTATTTTCACAACTACCAAATTACCCTACTTATATATTTGAAATAAAAAAATGTATATTTCACTTTTGTACAGCGGCATATAAAAAAGAAGTTTTCATTACAAGTCAGTAATAATTTTGTTTTATAGAAAATAGTTTGTTAAATTTTTAAAATTTACTGATTTTATACATATTTTTTAAATTACGTATTCCAGATCAAATGATAGAGCTTGCGTATAATAAGAACGATTTAACTATAGGACAACATTCCGAAGCAAGTAAGATACATTAAAAATAAATATGACTAATAAATCGTCAAGTTAATATGTAGATAGTTTAAAAAAAGTGCACCAGGTATGTAAAACCAGTGTGCAGAACATGATATATACATAGTAGAAGAAGTAGCGTTAAATAGCTAATGCTAAGCAATGGTTTAATAGTATTCTAAATTTGTATATGGTATCTAATTTGATTTTATTTCAATCTTTTAGTATAGCTATAATATTTACATGTTGGTTCTAGATGGATTGGAGTATGTAATTGAAGAAATAGTCAATGATGTAGAATATTACAATTCTTTCGGTAGTAATAATATAAATAATAATAGTAATAATAATAATAATAATAGCAAAATAAAGACGACAGTAGAAATAAATATTTGAAAATTATATAAAAATGGCAGTCAAAAATTATCTTTATGCAATTAATAAGTTTTAGATAAGATTTAGCCATTGTGTTTTCATAAAGATTCCCTACTCAATTAATATAAATTTTTTCTACTTTGACCTTCGTCTTCTAATTTATATTTATATTATGTAATAACTGAAAATAGAAAATCAAAACTAAAACTATTTATTTCTATAATGTCAATTTCAGCCAAATTTAATATATTATTTTTAATATATTACAATTTATAAATATAAATTGTAATACATTATGATACAAAGTAAAATCTCAGAATCTATAATACCATTAAAAAATATCATATTAGCTAAAAAATATTCAATAACGAGGCGTCTTACGGTAGACATAATTATAATAATAATAAAAAATATCATTAATTTATATAATGTTGATTTCAGCCCAAATTAATTTGATGACCGCTCTACCGGGTAAAAGTTTTCATTAAATTTGATATTATTTAATTTTCTAATATTTCATTCCTATTGAACTTTTTACAAATATTCCCATCGTATCGAATATTTGGTGGTGCACATTTTTTTCGAGTTAATAATGCTTAGGTTTTTCTACCTTCCTGTTACAATAATTTAAAATTAAATGCAATATCACAAATGTATGTAATGTATATTTCAGATAAAACTGATATTGTCCTCCTTATACCGGGTAATACTTTTCATTGTACACTATTGAATTGTTTCCACGCAGTTGGTTGATATTCTTTACGCAGACAAGATTTTTATTTTTATTTCAGCAATGAAATACCTTGATGGACGTTTGATAATGAATAGTAACCATATTTGTATACTTCATATCTAATACGCTTGACGCATATTTACTATTTTTAAATACTTTGAAAATAATCATATTAGTTATTAACGAACACCAATTGGACATAATGGTTTTAATCATAAAAATATGTTGGTAGGTTACAATATTATAGCTTTATTGTTTAATTTTAGCATGCAAGCAATACCAGACTATTATTAAACACGAAATAGAAAGTATATTAAGTAAATATAAAATTTCAAAAAATTGATAACTATATATATTTGTAGTTCTAAAAAATCGATAAAAAGCTTTAAGTCAAAAAGCTATATATGTTTATGGTTAAGCTTTTGATAATCATTACAAATTTAAAAACCGTTTATTCAAATGTTGCTATTAGAAGTACTTAAACATTTACACAATATTATAGTGCATTAATTAATTGGTTTACTTTATCATAGTTTTAGAGTGACTGTTTTTTATAAAATATAAAATGTATAAACCGGGGTTTATTAACTGCAAAATAATTTGATGTATTTGTTACAGACATTGTATATCCTAAAGTTCCATATAGTGAAGGTAATTACGATTTGGTCGACACTTGAAAAAAGCTTTTTTAAGCTAGTTTTAGAGTTAAAATTTGCTTTATTATTTTTATGGCAAACAATAATTTAAAAAAAAGCTTTGGTTCTTTGTACGTAGATGAATGTTATGTTTATTAATTAATGTTTACAACTTCTCAATATAAAAATAAATTATAGTTATATATATTATATTCACAATAAACAACCTACAAATTTCTTACGCCACTGGTGTATTGTTAATAATTTTCGTAGGTTTTAGAAGTTTAAATTTGACAACCCTTGGAGAACAGAGAAGACCTTTTGTTAAACAGGCTTTAGAAAATATATTAAGACGTAAATTAGGTATATATTTGTTATTTAATTAATTATTTATATATTTATGATTCTATTCATACATATAGTATATTTTCTTTTTAAGTTATTCAATAGGTATAACAGGAATAATTTACTACAATAAAACAAGGACATAACTGATTTTAAAATTTAACAATTATTATCAAATTAAGTAATATTTAATAACACATACTTTCTTGTAATACGAATAGTACTGTACAACACAAATAACTTGTATATTCTATTTTTTTTTTAATGACTTTATTTTAACAAATAAGACAGTTGTGTCCTGCATCATAAAGTAAAGTAGTAACTAGTAAGATCCTATGATAAATACCTACATGACATAATAATGGTTTCAATCATAAAGACATGTGTACATAGGTACATTATTATAAATTTTTGGTTTTAATTTTAGGACCCATGTATGACCAGTTTATATTGCAACTAGAAATTAGAGATACATTAAGTAAATATACAATTTAAAATGAATTCATAATTAGGTATACATATTAGTAGTTTCAAAGAAAAACTATTAAAAAAAAGTTCTAAGTCAGAATGCTGTATATGATTCGTAGGCAGTGCCTCCTAGTGGAAGAACAGACAATTAATTTGGCTTCAATTGATAAGCATCACCATGCCTTAATTACCCTACGCCACATTTTCTAAAATAATCGCTGCTTCTTAAATACGTCTTAATTTATTTCCTGTAAAACGGCGTCGCCGGCATGCCCTTATTTTCTGTTTTTGTAGTCCTTCCAATACAAGTCGTGCTCAAAATGTTTGCACTACGGCGTCTGTATATTGAGTACGTAATCTAATGGCGTCTGATTATTCTAAGTTTTTAAAGTAATACTTTGAAATGTAATGCAATTATGTGTCTCAAGCAACTATAATATGTTCTATTATTTCTTCTCAACACAGTCATTTAACAATTAATTTTGTAGATTCGGAACGCTTAAATTTGACCACTCTTACAGAAGGGAGAAGAGTTACTGGAACATCGATAGAAAGTTCAATCAGACACGTATTAGGTAAATACTAATATGGAGTCGAATGGGTTTTAGAGTGACTGTTATATCATAACAAATACATTCACCTGGTTTTATTAACTGCACAATGATTTGATGTATTTGTTACAGGAACTGATATTGCTGATGTTAATCAAGACCAAAGTAATTGAAATTTTTTTGATAACTGTAAATAACCTTAAAATCTTGTAAAAAAATTGCTTCATTTTATGTATACTACAATATTACAAAGTAGTAACTAGTAATCTAATTTTAGCAAATTAAAAAAAAAAATTAATTTTTTAGCTAGATCTGTTCATGGTGTGTCTTTATTACGGATATGCCGTTTGATGGGATTATACTTGAGTACACGATTTCCAACGTCATACATAAAAGACCTTTGGGTTGACCCCATGATTATGACTTGTACTCTGGATGAAGGAGATATACAAAGAAGATTCAAACAAATTAATGGCGTATGGTGGCAAATAAGCTCAACAACTTCAAAAGCAGTATTAACTGAAATTTAGACCAGCAATGGTATATTCTTCTAAAATTGTGTAATGCATTATATATATTTTTATTTTGCACTACATGCTGTCAATTAATTAAAATTATTATATATTGTTATTATTATTGAAATATTACAAACATAATATACATAATTTACAATATATGATTAATACAAGAAAAAGTTTGTCTCCAAAAGCTTGAGTTTGTGGAGGGACAATGGTTCACATCTTATGTCTTAAATTTACATATTTTTATGTTAACAATAATCTTAAATAAAGATGAGAAACACCAGTAAAGTATTAAATTATAATGATAATTTTACATAAGAATAAATAAATAAATAAATTATAATAGCTATAAGTAAGTTAGTGTGTTAAACATACATTATTCAGAATTTTAGCACTCATAATTTATAATTGACATATTTTTAATATAATATAACTAAAAACCATGGAAACAATTTATATCAATACACAAATAATTACAAATTTTTAAACCAATATAATACGGATTCCTTTTACCAAATTCACTATTACATTTAAAAACTCTAAATACATTTTTAACAATTTGACGTGTACTATAAGCATAATTAAAACTAAAATCTTTATGGTTGGAGTAATACAAATTACATAAAATTCCTTTTGCATAAAGTTGTTATAGATTAAGTAAATTTTAGGTCATTATTTGTGCAATTAAGTTATTTGAAAGCTATCCTAAATAAGAAATTTATCGTTGTATTTGTTTTTTTTAAATGCGTATCATAAACTCCTCTCCAAGCAGCTATTCCATAGGAGAAAACTAACTGAGCAATTGCACAATAAATGATTCTCATGGTGTTAGGCAATATAATATTGTTTGGAGTTTTGAAAATATCGAACATGCTTCTAACTTTTTTAAGTTAGTAGTTCCAATGTGTTTATCTCATTTTAAATATCGATCATTAGTCACGCCAAGGTATATTACAGAATCAACAGATTTGATACGAATACAGTTACAATTTAAAGTTTTCATTTTCACACATTTAAAATCATGCACTATTATATCACTATCATCATTTGTTTGAAATTTGTTCATACTTGAAATCGAAAAAGGAACACAACATGTTTTAATGTAATTAATTTTGAGATAATTCAATTACATTACATGTTATATATTCGTAAAAATATGTCAATTATAATTTTGACATCTTCACTGTTTATTCAATCTCTTTATTTTAGTACATAATTATAAATAAATAAACAATGTACAAGCTAGTAAATAGCCTTTTTTGAAAAAAAAAAAAAAAAAAAATAGGTAAACCAGCAAGATAATATTGTTTGTATTCACAATTTGTAAGCACGTTAGCTACAATAATAAACTTGCTGAGATTAGTTAATATTCTAATTGTATACATTTATGTGATTCTGACTAATCCGATGGCTAACAAATAAATTGATTCGAGATCGTTTAATAAACCAAAGTTCTGGCTATTGTTTTAGATTAAATATAATAAGCATTAGATGCAATATCGTTAAAGTTGTTATAAATTATGTTATTATGGTATCTGAAACATATAGTCTAAATTCCACGCCGAAGTTATGTGTGTACACCATAAATAATGTATATCAAAAAAAGTGAACCAGATGTGCAAATAAACGAGCATATAGTCACATTGCAAAAACCTATTAAATTTTGACATTTCGGTCGAAATGCAAGTCGCAAGAAGCAAATTTAGTTTCAAAAGGTGACCAAGTCGATTATAGTCTAAGAAATTCTATTAGCTCAACAATATTAGTAAGTATTCTATAAAACTCTTAACATTTTAAGTACACTAAAACGAAAAAGACATAGTGAGGTGCAGTGTTTACAAATTAGCATCAAAGCGTTTTTTGAAATTCATTTTATCACTTTTATTTATAATAATTGCTGTAGAACTGTGACCTCTAAATCCCCACTATGCTCTGCTCTCATTATGAATTGCAATTCAATACTCTTTTTCTCGAATTTGTAATTAAAACTCATATGGTTTTTTATTTTGTTTTTCCAAAGTCATTTTTCAAAAAAACTTGATTAATCACTTAAGTCAATGTTAAAAAAAAAAAACAGCATCACTAAACCGAAACATTCTCACCTCGGCACCAGATGCAATTGTCACTAATATAAAACTATTTTATGTCTGTTATTTTTTGCAGATAAAAATGAAACTTTTCTGTTTTTTAATAACATATTTTTTCTTTGTAAATGTTTCGGCGGAAACTCCTGATGAAAGTAATTATTTTATTTTCACATTTACCATCTTATGGTAGATATAAATTAGAAAAAAATCAATATTTCCCTAATTTTACAGCTACTATAAAGAAGGAAGTTTTTCTTGCAAGTCAGTATTATTTTTATTTATAAAAAATTGTTTTTCAAGTTTTTAATGTACTGTTTTTGTACATATTTTTTTTAATTATGTCATACAGATGCAGCCATCGAGCTTGCATATAATAAGAATGATTTAATAGTAGGAGGTAAACCCGGAGCAAGTAAGATAATATATTTAAAATCAATACGCCAATATATAAGAGTTATATTATTTGTTGGATTAACATCTTTATTCTGATACGTATCAAATAGTAAAAGGGTTGAGTAACAAATAAAATGGCTAATATCTATATGTGTACATACAATATGTGTTTTGTTTATAATTCCAACAGTTATGTGTACTTAATTATCAAGTTTTTTGTAAATTAAAATGTACATTTTCTATAAATAGTTTTTAAAAAATGCACCAGGTATATAAGATCAGTGTACAGAACATTGTATTTAATGCAGCGATTCTAATAACCTAATCGAAGGGGTATCGATATGCTAAAAATTTGTAGGGTACCTAATAAGATTTTATTTCAACCTTTCAGTATAGCAAAAAACTTTATTTGTTGATTCTAGATGGATTGGAGCACGTAATTGAAAGGATAGTTAATAATATTACAACATTTCAAACTGAAGGTTACGAGTGTTTCGGTAGTCATAATTATAATAATAATAATAATAATAAAAAAATATTTTAAAATTATAAAAAAAATTGCCATTTAAATTTATCTATGTACAATTGATAGTGAGCCATTATCCTAGAAAGTGCTAAATTCCAGTTATCATATTCGTTTATTAAGATCTTAATTTTACCTAATTATTGTGGCTCAAAACTATTCTATTACTCTCTGTTGACACATGTTGCATAATAGCTATACAGCACCATGCTTATTTTTAACTTAGCGACCAAAATCATAAATGGCATCTGTGAGGGAATAAACCTTGTAGTAGGGAAATTAAAACATGTTATGTGGAAACCAAAATAATGTACGGGTAATGCTTTTGACAACAAATATTACAATATAAAAAATAAAAATAACAATACAAAACTTTACTTAACTCCGCTATATTTAACCCAACTTGATACTAACACTTATGAGAATTCACAGATTATTTTGGTTTTTATTTTTCAAAATTCCGAAAAGTAACTTGTGAAATGGTGAGAGAATGAAATGTATGATGTTTAACCTTTTTTTTTTGTATGATAAATATTATTTATTATTTATCATTATTTTTTTCTCACGAGATAAATATTTTTCTAAAATTTTAAAATCATTTCTTCAATCGAAAACAAAGTGTGGACAACGTTTCTCAAGAGATACAAAATTATAATTTTCTCCAAAATCTGAATGGAATCTTTATGAAAAAATACTGATGTTAGCCCTGTCAACCTCAATTAATTATTATATTATATTCTCTTCACCACATCTGCTCAATTCAGCCGTTGTATTTTCATAAAGATTCCCTAGTCTATTTATTATAGTTTTTTTCTACTTTGACCTTCCTCTTTCAATTTATAAATATAATACAATGTAAAAATGTATAATAGCAAATAAAATCTAACACCATTAATTTATATAATATCAATTTCAGCCAAAATTAATTATATGATCGCTATACCGGGTAATATTTTTTTTGAATTTTATGAAACTATTTCCTTTATTTCATACCTATTGGATATTCCTAAAAGATTCCCATCTTATTGAATATCGGATGGAGCTTATTTCTTCCAGGTTACTAATACACTTTTTTTTCTACCTTCCTGTTATACTAATTAAAAATTAAATGAAATATCATTAATATATGTAATGCTAATTTCAGAAAAAACGGATATTGTTGACCTTATACCGGGTAATCATTTTCATTGTACATAATGGAATTGTTTTCGCGCATTGGTTTAATAATTTTTAGGCTCACAAGATTTTTTTTAAATTTTAGAATTAGATTACTGTGAACCAATGAGAAGTAACCACATTTGCATATTACATATTTTATATACTTAACGCATATTCATAATTTATAAATACTTTGAGAATAATCGTATACGGGCCTATTGACAAACACTAATAGATCATATTGGTTTTAATTGCACAAAATATGTAGGTAGATTAAAAATATATGTTTCGTATTAAATTTTAGGATGCATGATTCACCAGAATACTATGCAACATGAAATAAAAAATACCTTAGGTAAATATAAAATTTAAAAAATTGATAGTTATACATATTTGTAGTCAAAAAGACTCAAAAAGAGTATGTTTATGCTTAAGCTTATGATGATTTTTCGAAACATAATATAAACTATAAACAAATTGATTGAAAGCTTAAAGTCAAAAAGCTATAGATGTTTTATACCTAAGCTTTTGATGATCATTAAAACAAAATATAATATGAGCCGTTTATTCAATTGTTGCTATTAGAAGTAACTTATACGATACTGTTTTTTGCATTATTTAATACTTCTAGTTTATTTCAGTTTTAGAGTGACTGTGATATGTATATAAAATATAATATGTACAAAACAAGTTTTATTAAATGCATAATGATTTGATGTATTTGTTGCAGACATTCCTATTCCTGTGGTTGAAGATGGCCAAAGTAATTACGAATTTTTTGATAGTCGTGAATTGCCAGCGTTTAAAGCTTGTATTAGAATTTAAATTTAACTCTTTTTAAATTTATTTTTACCACTTTGTTATAGAAAAAACAAATTCTATGTATTCAAAATTAACAGCCTGAAAATTTAATAAGCCAAAATATTTTTATTATTTCTTCGCAACACCGTTTTTTATTAATTTTTACAGACATTGAAGGCTTAAATATAACAACCCTTGCAGAAGAGAGAAGACGTCTTGTTAAACCAGCTTTAACAAATATATTCAGACGTGTATTTGGTAAATATTAATCTGAAGTTATATGGGTTCTCAACCAGTAATATACTTATGGCACAATTAATTTTAATTTTTAAAAATTTTGATAATTACTCACACGTACTTTCATGTAAATTGTAATATAAATAGCATCGCTGTAAAATACGGGCACCATGCATATTCAATAATTTATTTATAACTTTATTTTAATAAATAAGATATTTGTGTCCTGCATCATAAAGATAAGTTGTAACTAGTAAGATCCTATTGACAAATACTAATATGGCATATTGGTTTGAATTAAAAGAAATATGTAGGTACGTTTCAAAAATATATTTTGTTTATAATTTTAGGATCAATTTATGACCAGTTTATAATACTAGATATAAGAAATGAATTAAGTAAATATAAAATTAAAAATAAATTGATAAAAATATATATATATATTAGTAGTTTCAAAGAAAAACTATAAAAAATGTATTAAAAGCTTGAAGTCAAAACAATGTATATGATTCGTAGGTGGGGCACTCTGGCAGGGCCTCCTTGTGGAAAAAAAGTCAACTAATTATGGCTTCAATTGATAAGCGTTATCACGAAATCTAACCTTACTTAATCCAACTGTTAAGAGTTATCATTGTTGCCAACCTAAATGCGCTTAGAGATAACAGTGTTGCTGACTTGCCTGATCGTGTCGTATCGTCGTGGCAGGTATCTTGTAGTACCGTGTCCGCGCACGTCCATTGTGAGCCGAACAGTGTTGCCAGCCAGGCGGCCTACCTTCTCCGCTAAATCACTGATCAGAAATCGTATCGTATCGTGTCATTTTAATAATAATAGTATTTATATTCTTATTATTATAGAATATTTGTTATTTTATTATTACTATTACAAAATATATGTATACTATTATTATAAAAATACGGTTAGGTATAATCTAACAGTGTTTTATCGTGCCGGTGCCGTACCGTGTAGTACAGCCCGTTAGGTTAAGTGTTAACACTTACCAATTGAAGCCAAATATAGTTCACTTTCATGCCACCAGGAAGTCAGGGTCTTCCGCCTACTACTTATATGCGAGGCGAAAAGGTAATAAGTACCTCTTGCCGCGAGAATCTATATTACAGAAGAGGCCAAATCATCATTCAAGGTTAGAAAAATATTTTTAAAAAAAAATTTGTACCTGGTTAAGAGCACTTAATACTTTAATTTTCATTCCTTAAATATGCGTATAAAAAGTTGGCAATATTTCAAAACTTTTAAGTGTTTTTTCTCATAAAAAATATTTTCCGAAAATAAATTCAAACAAATAGAACTCGGCTAATTTTCAATATTGCAAAACGATTCTGGTCTCGACATGTTCAAAATTTAGTGCAGAATTTGGATTAACCGTTAAATTAAAATTTTATTTTTGCGACTTAAGGTTCCTTTTCCCTTCTCGTCTCACATATGTTGTATACTTCAGCTTTTTAGGATCACTCGCATTATAATATAAACCCTTTATTCAAATATTGCTATTATTAACTGTTTGATGTATTTGTTACATAAATTGCTATTCCTGAAGCTAAACAAGTCCTAGGTAATTACAAATATTTCTATAGTCGTAAATAGCCTTAATAGCTACTTAAAAGCTTGCTTTAGAGTTGAAATTCGCTTAATTTTATTTATTTAATGTTTTAATCAGTGATGTCAAACAATCATTTTAATAAAATAAACCTGTTGTCGAGAGAGAGGAGAGAGAGAGAGAGAGTGAAACTTAGTAACCATTTTCGATTTTATGTTGAACGTTATGTTTATAAATTAATTTTTACCACTTTGCACTAGAACAACTAATTATAATTATATGTATATATATTCACAAATAATAGAATTTAATACACCACGGGTGTAGATATTTCTCCTTTTTTTTTAGTGTCGAGTGCTGTAATTCAGGAGGGAAAGATACATCTAGATATTTTTCGCACCTCATCCACCTTAAATTGACTACAATGTTAATGTGTAATATGTTCTTTGGGATAGAAAGAATACATTCTTTGAGTTTTAACACTAATTACCGCAATTACATACCACGAGCAACTAAAATATTTTTTTTTATTATTTCGTTTCAACGCAGTCATTTAGTATTCATTTTTGTAGATTTGGGAGGTTTAAATTTGACGAAACTTGCAGAAAAGAGAAGAGTTACTGGAAAATCTTTAGAAAATATAATCAGACGACATGTATTAAGTAAATATTAAAATGGAGGTTTATTGGTGACTGTTAAATTATACAAAATATATACCCCTAATTTTATTAACTGTACATGCATAATGATTTGATGTATTTGTTACAGGAACTAAAATTCCTGAAGTTGTTGAAGACCCAAGTAATTACCAATGCTTTGACAATCGTACCTAAATAGATTTTAGAGCTTGTTTTAGTTTTGAAATTTTGCTTAATTTTACTTATACTACAACTTTACCAAGTAGTGACTTGTAAGCTAATTTAAGAAAATTAAAAAAAAAAATAGTTTTAACTTTTCAGGTGGATCTGAACATGTTGACTATTCTATACGGTTGTGTCGTTTGATAGGATTATACATAAGTGCCCACTATCCAACATCATACATAAAAGAACTTTGGATTGATCCCGATAATAATACTTGTAACCTGTATGATGGAAGTAAACAAATAACATATCAAAAAATTAATGGCGTATTGTGTCTTATAACTCCAACTACTTAAAGAGCAGTTAATATAGTTTAAATTAACAAAATTCAAGTTCTCCAATCAAAGTGCCTTCGCCGAATTCTTAAAGCCCCACCTTAAATATCAAACGAAACAATTCATACCGACCTTTACCTTACTACTGTAAAACAAACTGCTATCACTCGATTTTATATCGATTTCACAACCGTTTCCAAAATCATCCAAACCCTCTTATTAAAAATCTGCCCTCCCACACAATCCCAGATAACCCTCTTCGTCGCCTAAAAAGATCCTGGTGTATCCCCTTCTTTTAACATAAATAAAATGTTTAAATATGTTCTGTTATTGTAATTTTCCCAAAAATGTAATATAAACGTAATTGTAATATAATTTAAGTTACTAATGTCAATAGGAGTTCCGCCACTGGGCGGTCTCTCCACAAGTTATTCAAGTTATGTATATATTATTTTATCTCAAATACTTATTGTATATTTTATACAGATTGTATTTTTATTTTAACAAAATAAAAAAAAATATATATATAATACAATTTAGACCAGAAATTAATGGTATATAATTCTTCTAAGATTGTATAATGTATTATACATATTTTCATTTTGCACTAATATCGGTTTTAACATTGCGCTAATAGCTGTCAATTTAATTTATTTATTTCATAATAAACAGTTTTACTCACGATTTTAATCACAATTGTTTTCTATGCGTATTTTAATCAGATACTTCATTTTATCATATTTTACAGAATATAATTTGAAACATTTTTAAGAATAAAAGTGTACATCTTTCCCCAACTGTAACCATTTCTTTATCATTTTTTCTTTCTAGAAAGTCTCAGGTCATTCAGTCGCCATCTATACTCAAAATAAGGAGCATCAAAGTGATCTTCTTGGTCGTCTGTCTATTATATGTTTTATTGCTAGTATACTCAAAAATTAGACCATTTTTTTTTTTACATATGTGTGATGAACACTTGTTAATATAACTTGATACATTAAAATTTGAATTTTATAATAAATCATAGGTTGATAATATTCTTGCACAGACATACTGTTGTAGGATTTTTGCACACAAAGATTTTAATAATTTTTATTCAACTGCCGTTTTAAATATTCATAAAACAAAATAATAAAATAACGTGTACTAATTACATATAGGTAAAATGATTTTAATGTGTACCCTGTCTGTATATTTTGTTTCGTGGCTATGACGTGTTCCTAATGAAATTTTGCCGGTCTACTTTTCAAACCTTAAAAGTTCATTTAATAAAGCAAAATAAAAAATATTGTTTTTCAGTTTTTGGGAGTAGAGTAGTTAATGTGTGGATTTATAAGTAGGCACTGTGTACGAAAAGACACAAAACCAAAATTGCATCATTAAAAAAAAAAAACATTCTCAGCCCCGCTCCACCAATATACTAAAAAAATACAATTTAAAGAGAATTATTGTCATTACAATGTTTTTATTTGTATGATGATATATATCAAACACAGATTCGCATTGAAGCGTTTATTTGAAAACGGTTTTGTTACTTGTGGACACAGTACCTCACTTTAATACTTTCTTACTGCACTAGTTCATACTGTGTACTTATACTTTGGTCTTCTTTCCTACAAAATCGACTCCCCTGACTTACTATCTCTTGTTAATCTTAAAGTTCCTGCTCGTTCCAGACGTTCCCATTTTCTTTTTCAAATCCTCAATTCCTTCACAAACTATCACCAAAATTCTCCCACAACCAGTGTGATGCGAATCGCCAATACAGACCAAGTTCTTAGTTCATTTTTTAGGAATGTTTATTTGATGTGCCCCTATGCGGTTAGGTCATTTTTTTTTAAACATCTTTTTATTTTAATTCTTAAAAACTACACCTTACAAAAACTTTAACGTATAACCCTAAATTTAGAACTTAGAGCACACCGCTAAAATATAAAAGCGTTTGTAGGAATGTACTGTAGCTTGTACTGTTTCAGTAGACTTGTACTCATAATTACATTACAGGGCTAAGGGCTATTTCGGAGAACTATCGTTAATATTGTATATTATATTTTGATTAACAACAAAAAGTGTTTTTTATTTGAAAAAATGTCAGCTAGGTGTAATACCTATACAATCTATACAATCAATAGAATATTATCTACACAAAATCAATTTTATTGTCTAGTAAACATAATATATATTGTACGTTTTAAAATTTTAGTATTTCAATATCGTTAAAGTTGTTTCAAATAATATTTTCTATAACCGTTGAAACATTTTTTTGGAAAACCATGATAAAATGTTCAACAAATTACAATTCCATCCAATAACATATTTTATTTATTCAAGTGCTTTACGTTTCAAAAGTTTAAATCATTAGTTATAAATTAAAATATTTCAATAGCAATCCTATAATGCAAACATTAGATAAATGGATGATTGTAAAATCTATAACTAAAAAGAATATAGTCTAAGCTCCACGTCGAATTAATGCATGCATACCATAAATCATATTATAAAAAAAAGAGTCAGCTGTGTACAAAAATTAATATAATTACACTGCAATAAGATTCCAAAGAAGAACATATTTAAGTTTCAAAAGTTGGTCAAGCCGATTGTTGTCTAAGAAATTCTATCAACTCAAAAGTTTTAGTAAGTACCTAATACTATCAAACTCTAAAAATTGTATACAATGTATAATTTATATAATAAAGATACATTTTTTATTGCTAATTGCTTTTTTATCGGCTCTTGACAACGTCCGTTTACAACTTTAATTAAGCGAACGGTTTTCTTATATTATTTTTACTAAAACAGATAAAAATATTGCGTTTTTAATTTTTACCAAAATTTACATTTTGATGTGCAATAAACAAGTTTGTATTTTTATGTTTTTTTTTTTGGTGATTACAAAAAAATTGCTACAAGTAAAATTATACCTACACGTGTATTATGCAGTATTTAGTACCCTACTAAAAACATTTTTTAGTATTGCAACTTTTTGAGTTATAATGGAAAATCTATATAATTTTGCTAAATATTGATTTTTTGACTTGGAGCAGCGAGGAAATATTTTTTTAACTTCAATGCGTTCATATAAAAAACAGTCTCCCAAAACCTGATTTTATGTTTATTATTATTTGCAGATAAAAATGAAACTTTTTTGGTTTTTAATAACATTTGTCCTAGTAAACGTTTCGGCAAATGATGAAAGTAATTATTTTGTTTTCAAAACTACTAACTTAAGGTAATTATAAACCTAAAAAGAAATTCAATATTTCACTTTTTTTACAGCTATATACAAGAAGGAAGTTTTTCTTACAAGTCAGTAATATTTCTGTTTTCTAAAAAATAGTTTTTAAAAACTCATTGTTTTTATACATTTTTTTTTTAATTATGACATACAGATGCAGCCATCGAGCTTGCGTATGCCAAGAATGATTTAATTGTAGGGGATAACTCTGCAACAAGTAAGATATATTGAAAATTAATATGCCAATTGTTTTTTTGTGTGTAATTAATTGTCAAGTTCTTTGTAAATTTAAAAGTATAGTTTCTATAAATAGTTGAAACGAGTGCGATTTTAATAACCTAACCGAAGGAGTAAGTGAAATAAATGGCTACTACTATGTACTACTGAGCATAGTTCAATATTGTTCTATTTATTATATAACAATTATAAAATAGTTAACTTGATGTTATTTCAATATTTTAATATAGCCCATGTCGTTTTCTGTTTGTTCTAGATGCATTGGAGCATGTAATTGAAAAAATTGTCAATAATACTTCATCATTTCAAATTCCAGATTTTTACCATAATTTCGGTAGTCATCATTTTAATAATTATAATAATAAATAATGGGGATAAAAGTAGAAAAAAATATTTGAAAATTATATGAAAAATTACGGTTTTTTTCTACTTTGACCATAGTCTTTCAATTTATATAGTTATATAATGTAATAATTTATAATAGCAAACAAAATCGAATAATATTAATTTATACAATGGCAATTTCAGCCAAAATTAATGTAATGATTGCTGTACCGGGTAATAGTTTTTTTTTTAATTTTATGAAAATATTTCCTATATTTTATTGTCATCGGATTTCCGGCGGAGAACGTTTCTTCCGAGTTGCTAATCCACATGTCTTCCTGCAATAATAATAGAAAAATAAATTCAATGTCATTAATTTATGTAATGTTAATTTCAGACAAAACGGATATTGTCGGCGATTTATTGTCGGGTAATAATTTTCATTGCACTTTATGGAAGTGTTTTCAAGCAGTTGTTTGATATTCTTCTTTACGCAGACAAGTTGTTTCTTTTAATTTCAGAACCTTCACAGTATGATCACCTATTAGATAGTAAGTACCACATTTGTATATTTCATATTTAATATGCTCAACGCATATTCATTTTATAATAAATACTTTGAGAATAATCATATTATGTTCCTTATTGACAAATACCAATAGGGCATAATATCATAAAAATCTCTATCTAAGTAGATTAAAATATAATATATTGTTTTAGAATGCAGTTTTTACCAGTTCAATATGCAACAAGAAATAAGACAGATATTAAGTAAGTATAAAAATTCGTATTTTAAAAATTAATAATTATACATATATATATTATAGGTACTAGGTTGTACTATATTATATACTAGGTTGTATGAACTGTACAATGATTTGATGTTTGATGTATTTGTTACAGACCTTGTTATTCTTGAAGGTGCGACTGACCAAGGTAATAATAACGAATTTTTAATAAATTGATAGTACAATAATTTTAATAAAATAAACGTATTGTTGAGGAGAGAGAGAGAGAAAAAGAGTGAGACTATTAGTAACCGTTTACAATTGAACGTGATGATTATTAATTACAACTTCACAATAGAAAAATATATTATAATTATTTATATATATATATATATACCTATTCACAATTAAAAACCTGCAAATTTAATAAGCCACGGGTGTGTTGTTAATAATTTTCACAGATTTTAGAAGCTTAGATTTGACAACCCTTGCAGAACAGAGAAGAAGTCTTGTTAAACCAGCGTTAAAAAATATAATCAGACGTAAATTAGGTAAATTATAATAATGTGGAGTTGCATAAATTTTGATAAATAATTAACACCATTAACTGCATAACGATGTGATTTTATGTATTTGTTTACATATAAATTCCTGAAGCCGATGATGTCCAAGGTAAATTAGTTATATCACAATTATTTCAAGTGTAACGCAATCGTGTATTTTTTTTTCTTCTCAGCACAGCCGTTTAATAATTTATTATTTTCGTAGAATTCAGGGGCTTAAATTGGACAGCACTTGCAGAAAGGAGAAGAGTTACTGGAACATCATTAGGAAATATAATTAGACGGCGTGTGTCAGGTAAACATTAAATGTACAGAGTTTTAGTAGGTTTTTTTTAGTAAATAACGTTTATAGCTTGATTTATAGTTGAAGTTTGCTTAATTTTACTTAATATACTACAATGTTACAAATTAGTAACTAGAAGGCTGATTTGAGCAAATTAAAAAAATTTATTTTAATTTTTTTAGATGTATCCGAACTCGAAGACTCTTTATTACTGATGTGTCGTTTGTTAGGAGTATACATGAGTACAACATGTCCAACATCATACGTAAAAAAGCTTCTGTTTGACTTCATTAATCTTACTTGTACCCTGGATGATGGGAGTACACAAAAAAAAATGTACAAAAAAATTGATGGTTTATGGTGGCAAATAAACCCAGTTAATAACAGTACAGTACAGCTACTTGAGGAGCAGTTATTATAATTCAGACCAGGAATTACTTGTAAAATTACATAATACTATTGTTGTTTGATTGTTATAATATTTTTTTTTTGCACTAATATCATTATTCATATTGCACTTATAGCTGTCAATTAAATTAATGTATTTCATAATAACATTGTTTTACTCACAATTATAATCACATTTGTAAATTAAAATAGGTACCTAATAATTATTTTAACTATATTAAACCGAGTAAAATTCAGAATTTGACTATGTAATTGTAAAAATTCAAAATTGCGCTCAACTACTTTCCTAAAGTAACTATTTTGAGATACACGCTGGCCTGGAATAGTAAGCTGGAACACCGTATCTAGTCTGTAAACACTGTATAAGAAACGTTAGGAAACGGGCAGTTGTTAATCATCAAAAAGCCAACTGTAATATAACTAGTACTAATATAAGCTAACTGCTTGTATTATATTTTCTGGTGTATATTTTTTCAGCTTCTTCTTTTGCCCATCACTCCCCTCTTTGGACTATAATATTAGGTGTACACATAACAAAATATACAGAGATACAGTTGGTTTTTGAACCCTGTGTTTATCCTGTACCTCAATCCCCATTTAATAACATAACTACATCAAACTGACCTTATACATTAATATATAAATATGACGAATTACGGAATGTCTGTTATAATACAATATATATTATCATTATTATCATTTACACAACATGCACTTCATTTTCTCGTGCGTGTACGGTTTTACATACATATTGTCCGTGCAGGTAGATTTTGTCAATATAAGTACCCAAACGGCATTGGTTAAATTCATTAAACAGACTGTAATGACTGGCGTGTACCTACCTAAGGTTGTCTGTGTGCGTGGCGAAGACCTATCCACATACTTGTATCTTAACCGCACAATTTCATTAATTGGGCAATTAGGACGAGGGCGGGCACCCTTTTAGTGTACAAATACCTTTTAAATAACCATCATTTTCCTATCCAAAACGTCTACCACGCGATGCACATAACTGCAGAGGCTAATTTGGGTCTGGATAAAACGTAGGTACGTTTTAGTTTAGTTGTTTTTGTCAATGCATTTCTGACGAAAAATGTAATTTTAAATTGATATTTCACCAATTAAATCAACCCATTAAATGGTAATAAATTAGGTGAAATTATAAAGTTTTCGTTAGTTCTTTGCGTCTCCTGAAAATAACCGAAATTTTGAATCTTCTTGGGTTGACAAATGTTCTTATACTCTTTGCAATCATCTTGCTAACAAAAACACAATGTAAATGGTTGTCGAGGCGGTCGACTCGTAATAATTATTTACAAATAAATCATCTTAATCTTGTCTTCTACATAAATATTGTCTGTCCGCAACATATATTATTACAATACATATATCGTACGCTGTATAATAATATGTTATCCGGACACACTGTCATTTTTTCCCCATTTAAGGTTTTGCTAGTGGTTAATCATGATTTATGACTGCGGAAAACTTTTCGGCCAAACGATTTCAAGAGGGTAGCTGAGAGCTGTCCGCTCAGACCTATTATTGGATGGGACATACTTGTCTGTGTGACTCGGCTGTACACAGTAATACTTTATTATGGCATATACAAAGCAAGTCGTACGCGTTGCGTGGGCGAGATATGTCTACTAACTTTCTCTGTAGAACTTGATTTACCACCGTAATTCTCAAATTATATCATTTAGCCCACAAACTTCGGGGGAGAGGACATCCGTACCGAGTACAAGACATACGTACAATTTATTACTACATACCGCTTGTACATGTTATAACGAAAAACGGACAATATCAGACCTATACAGACAGCACGGCGTCCCTTCAAAATGGTCGTTTATTGTTAAAAATTACAGTTTTCGACCAAAGCTTAATATAGTATAGCAGGCCTCCGCACTTATAAAACAGAGCAATTCAAATAAGTAACATTTAAAATTGTTCTTATTTTTTACACAAATTCCATCTCCTCGCTAATACTAGTTTCTTAAGAATTATTAATAATACTTGTTTAAGTCATTTTACTGAATTTATGATAAGAATCCAATAAGCCCACAATTGGTATACTTCTTGGTGTGTCTCCCTTATATTATGTTCTTGCAAACTAACCCGAATAAGTCGTTTTTTCTGACCTACATAACATTCATACCACATTCCACATTTATTCATTGACAACAAGGTGGGTAGAAAATCTAAATCGTCACTCTACACAGAAAACAATTAACATTAAGACAAAGGCGACAGATGCCTTACTGCACGCGCAATAGAGTACACGATATTATGTTATATTCCTACCCGCCTGTACCGCAGTTAAGTGGCAAAGCGGTAAAGCTTGTATTTTGCGCTGTAATTCATTTCTGTCCCTCGTGGAAAAACTCGATGGAATTTCCCAAAGGTGCCCTATTTGCGGCAGACAAGAGGGTAGGTGTACGAGGGCCATAACAATATGACAATACCGCACAATACACTATAACGTATATACCGCGTCCATAAGCGACCACTCGATCAACTGTTTGATTCTATTACTCCCAATACGGTTCTCTATTTTTCGCTTCATTTTTATATACCTATATATTATATAATGTATATATACATTATTAACCGCCACCCTCGCGAGTCTAACGCTTTGACCGTCATGGCTCTTTATTACATCAGTGCATCGTTATATACTATGTGAGCGAACCGCACGTTCGCCCACACAAATCATCATTGGCATTTGGCACGACCACGTTTATCAGCTGTACATGCGGTATTCCACACGTGCTAGCAACGTTCATGTTGTCGGGGATACTCATCAGTAAGTACCTGCCTATAGGCTATACACAATGGTTTTGGTTTAGATGTGCTCAAGTCGATATTCCAATTGTATTATCATAGTGCCTACCTTCATAGTTTAATGCCACATCATATAAACATTGATTCTTTGTACCATTCATGTGCTGTTTTGATTATCAGCCCTGAAATATTATATTAACACTATCTTGTGGTGAATTGAAACAAATAATACATAGGTATACACTTTAAAAATGTATTTTAAAAGGGTCATTCCATGTGAACTCACCTAATGTGTGTGCGACTGTATAGTTTAAAAAATGTTTGAAAATTTGATCATAGGTACATTCTTCATAGGTCGTCAATGACAAAAAAAAATGTACCTACTTATACCATATTTTGTTTAGACGGTAATTGTACCTAATTAATTTATGATTAACCATTCAGGCCACACCAAATACACAGCTATCAAGTTATCAAGACACTGAACTCAATAGGTGAAACTAGTGTACAGATTGAAAAATGTCCCCACCTGGGAGGTAGCCATTCTGTGTACTAATTTCATAGAAAGTGAAAATGCAACGTCACTTTTCCATGATACGTCAGGTTAGGTGATGATATTATATATTTTGAGAAGTCATAGAAAAAATAAATAAATAGCACGGACGAAACAATAACTGTTCACAAAATGGCAGCCGACCATAGGCAATAAGCATTCCATGTATCGCACACCGAGATCAAAACTGTAGTAACTCAAAAAACACCTTTTTTTCAGGAATTTTAATTACTTTAACTTGTTAATTAAACTTTGACTGTTTATTTTAATCAAACAGTTTTGTACAACCAACCCACGTGCATTCCGCTTGATGTCCGAGCAGAAAGTAAAGTTTTAAACGGTTTTGACATTTTATGTAGCTAGGATTATGGGATTGGTCGTTTTTTACAAAAGGCACCTACAGTGCCATCTTTCGGAGAGCAATCAAAATTTAAATTTGTTTTGTTGATTCACGCAACATGTTTACATGCATACTACATGTTCGGACAATCCGAATATTGTATTATATACAAACAACTAAAAATATCCACTTTTTGAGTTGTTACAGTCTCGATGTTATGCACCGCCGTCCGAGTATGACACAACAGCATGGCAAGTTTTGTGATCATCGGCAAAGTGCTGCTGGAACCTACAACATTTAAATCAGAACTCAATAAAACTAATCTTAATAGAGTGGAAGGGTATAGCGGCCGCGTCCCGCTGGGCGCCGGGCTGCCACTGATTGATTCTTGGCCGTACACGGCAGTAGAGAGCTTTCTTAACAGTGATGAATAGTCGGTACGGTGTGCGGCCGCGTTTCTTTGTCCGCCGCCAACCGCGACCTCTGAACCCGTCTCGCCCGGCCAACTGCACCGCCACCGCGCGCGTAGGTATGATAATAATATATTTTTTAATAATATCATCATAAGCACATGGTCAACACACACACACAGTACACGACCGATGCGATAATATTATTATTATTATTATTACAATTTACAATAACGATAATGGTAAATCGACGACGACGACGGTGCAGCACAAAGTACAAAATATGGCATCTCTGCAGTCTGCCAGACCTATTAATAATAACCGACGGTGTGTAATTTGTTTTTCTCCCGTGCAGTACACGGACGTCATTATAACGACAACGAGACGAAGACGACGTCGTCCGAAATATACCCAATAATAATAATAATATAATGTCTTGTGCAGAGAACCGCCGACTGCCTGCCCATGTATAGTAGGTACCCCGCGTGAGCCGCAGTCACGATTGGCCGTAGCCATCAATCAACGATGGACGGCCCGGGGTCGTTTTCTCATAAGAAAATAAAAGAGATGGATGTGGAGAGGTCACAGGTATTCAGGAATTGTGTGTGTTATAGCGCCGTTCTAGGTGTAGACCTTCGGTCTAATTTTCATACATAAACCCCCAAAACTTTGCATAAAAAAAAACGAAAGAGATAAAAATTCCACCCCCTGGCAGAAAGGGTGATAATTGTTTAGATTGTCAACGTTTGTCGGTAGTTCGCTATGTCTTAAGAACAGGGACGGCGCCAAGGGGGGGCGAGGGTGGGCGGTCGCCCCCTCATAACAAATTCTTGCCCTTCTCTCGCCCCCCCCCCAGATATTTTGCTAAATAGTATAATTTTAAATATTTGATTATTATTCCTAAAACCCAGATTTTGAATAACTGTATTTTTATAAATACAAATTTAGTTAATACGGAAATTGTGAAAACAATTGTTGTTTTGATTTAAACCTGTTTATCTATACAAATTTAGTTATTAGTTATGACATTGCCACCAAATGTGGCCTTTTTTTATCAATATATTTTGAGTGTTTTTGCAATCGGTTTTCAATAATCCGTCGCCCATATAATTATGTGTTTTGGTGTATATATATAATTATAATATTTACGTTTGTGTGTGTGTTTTCCAAAAGCTCAGTGTTCATTGACGGATTGTTTTGGTTTAATAGAATGTAGGTATAACACGATAACTATAATCTCCACTGACTGGTTGTTGGGCGTTTTATAAGCCTTCATTTTTACTTCGACTTTCATAGAGTACAATATGAGCTATATGATGGCCGACAGGTAAAAATAACGCTTATTTAAAAAAGTTGCCTTACTTAAATTGTACACTAGTATTTATTGTCCCTTAATCTGTAATAAATTCATATTTTATACTATTTCACTGATAAATATTAGAGTAATTCACTAATAAATCATTATAATTGTTTTTTATTGACAGAAGTAGGTAAAATTATTGTGGTTGCCCCTCCAAAAAATTTACTTGACCTTTCCCGCCCCCCTAGCAAAAAAATTCTGGCGCCGTGCCTGCTTAAGAATATTCAAACAAATTCGAAACTAATTGGACTTGTTTGAAAAAAGATAATATGGAGAGCCGTAATTTTAATATAAATTTACTCGTATTATTCTTATTGAAGCGTGATCCGTCCCCTTTACTGGGTTTTTTTTTAACAAAAATACTTTAAAATTTACTATAGATGCTTAAGGTAAATACTGTTAAAACTAATATTTATGCACAGCTATGGTCTATGTATCAAATATAGAAAAAACTAAGCGATAAACTAATATAAAAAAAAAACAAAATGTATGTTATCATATTAAATTCACACCTAGAATATATAAAAAAAAAAAGATTCCACTAAATTTTTAATTTAATAAATCAAAAATAGTATATTTTTAATTTTAATAGAGGACATATTTTCCATTTTTAAAACAATGATAATATTTTTGTGTACACACAACATATGTTTAAATAAGGAAAAATAAATGAAGTAATATTTAGTTGTAACAATAGTCTTGGTCGACTATCTTCATTATTTTCTTAAACGCCTTTTTTTAAACTAAAGTGTATTCTCTGGTTAACACTTTTGTAAAAGAAAGGAATAATGTTTTTAAATTTGTATTCCAAAAATTATCTAACGGGATACTGTAATTTAAAATCAATTTATGTGTGCCAAATTATTGTTCTATACTATTAATAAATAACTTATTAATTTCCTCGACTTGTTTTGTGAAATAAAAAGAGGATGATTTTTGGAGGAAAATCAGAAATCCAATTATCATGTTAGTTTTTAAAAATACTGTTTAGAAATAATTTACCTACACAGTGCTCGTAACAATATCTTATTGGGTCTAATTAATAATTTAATTTTTTTCCATAATGTTTTTATACAATGTGATCTTAATTTCTAACAATTTTAAAAGTTAAGATGAGAGGGGGAGTGCGGTTGGGATGGTGTTCGCAGATAAAAATAGTACTTTACCCCACCATTCCTTCTGCCCTGAACTTAAAACTTTAAAAATAGTTATCGACCAGTCAAAATGTTTAGTACATTGTTCTCAATTTAAAAATTTAATGAAATGTACAAATGCGTTACCATTAAAGTTTCAAAAGTTGCTATCAAAAAAACCAAGTTGAGAGGTAGAAACATCATAATTTGTGGAAAATTGACATCACCCATATAAAAACAGCATGAAAAAAAAATTCAATTATTAATTAAACTCAGTGAGATATCGAGTGGTCTATGATAAAAAAAAATCACTCTGTATATCTATCAGACGTTATAATTTATTTCAAATCCACTACATTTTTAAACAAAATGTTTTAGTTAAAAAAAAGATAAGGAGATTATACCTAATATTGTTATATTAGAAAAGGAGTTGAACATATTCAGTTATCATGTTTAGTTTATTTTTTATACAGGTTAACCTAACTAATAAAGAATAATAGTTAACTATTTTTTTGTCTGAAAATAATTGAGATACCTATCATTATCATACCTACCAGGAATCATTATGGTACAGTAAAATACTAAAAGGATAAGAAGTAACGCAAATACTGTGTTCGGAACAAGAAACACCAAGTATGACAACAGTTTATCACAGCGAAACGCAAAAGAAATGAAAAGAATCGGTTGAAAATAGACATTCAAGGAAATTGTTTAAGATATTATTTTATTTTGGTCATAAAACATTTTATAAAACTTCTAATAAGTAGAATAGTAAAAACATTTTCTTTTTATTAATGTAACATTTCAAAGACTTATTTTATTCTAACCATCTATGTACAATGATGAAGTCCAGCGGCATTGAAACAACTTGCCGGTCCTCTTATAAAATAAAATAATTGGGATAAATATAAATCATATATATAAATAAATGTGTAGTGAACCTGTAAAGATTACAAATACCCGAATCAAATACTAAAAATGTATTTTAGTGTTATAGCAATTCAACGTCATCGGGACTCGACTGTCTTTCAACGAGCGTACTCGATTTTGGGCTCGGAGATCTTTTTTTATTCACGTTCGTCTTCAACGTTGTGTTGAATCGCTTTTTGGGAGATAACAATATGGGTGTAACTCTTTTTTTGCCTCCAACAATGTTGATTTTTTGTTCTTCTTTTTTTATACCGCCGACAGAAGACCTTGGACTACTCTCTTGATATGAGTTAAACAATTTTTTAGGACCAAATTCATTTTTAGGTTCTGGAACTTTGTCGTCTGATTTCTGGTCCGACCTAAAACGGAATGAAGTCAAGTAAAAAAAAAAATACAATACAATGCCGAAAGTTTGTTACTTATAATAACGTTAAAATAAAATAATATTGTTAAGCAATATTGGAGACGACGAGGTCACATGTCGTCAAGAATTAACTGAATGTGATAAAACATTTCTAAGCGAAACACTGTGGATGGGAAAAACTTGTCAATAAAAACATTTTATAGACAGAAATTGTGTTTTTATTTGAGTTATTTGATTTTTCAAGTTTTTCTCAATAAAAAAGTATTACTAAGTAATTAAAATAGTTTTTTTTAAAGAGCTTTTTTTAAGTTATAAATTAAACATTATGACTGGTCGACAAAACTACATTCTTGAAATCAATAAATTTTCAGACAAGGGTAATAAGTTGAAATACTTTTTTCATTTTAATACAATTTGAATTTCAAATTAATATAATAATTGAATATGAAGTACATGAAGATAAAAAAAAAAAGTTGATAAAATATTTAGGGCGACTTGTTTTAATTTTTACGTTTTAGATCAAAAAGCCTTAGAATATAATGCGGACTATTTACGAACGTCAGCTTTCAATTCTTAAAAAAAAGATAAAAGAATTAATTTTGATTTATTTATCAGCAAATTTGTTTTGTTTAATTTCATACAACTGTCTTTTTTAAGGAAAATCAATATTTATAAATTAACATAAATTTACCAGAAAATATTGCCTCTTATTAAATACCAGTTGTTAATTCGCTTCAACAGTTTAACATTAGTGAATTCCCCTTTGGAATTATTGTTTTCAAAGAGATCTTATATTCTAAATAGACCCATAGGAAACCTGTCTTTAAAGACATTATTTCTTATTCTAAACACTACTATGCACACGAGTCCGACCGATCTTAACTACATTTTTATCACTAGGACTACGTATCAAAGAGTAGTATTAGTATTATTATTAAAATAAAAAAATATTAATTGTGTAAAATCATTAGTACTTTTCTTGGGCTTTTCCAGCAAATTTTTCTCTTTGAGCAGTCATAAAACTTGTGATTTTTTTGACCGATTTGGATGATGATTTTGGAGTTTCATTATTTAAAACTACAGGATACTGAAGTCCGTATTTCTCAAAGTTTTCTTTGCTAACATTCCTGTAAGCCAGTAACGATGTTAAGAAAAATATAACCACGCAGTATGCAGACAAATTACTTACCAAGTATTGTTTGTGTTTTTAGCAATATTTTTTATAGTCCTCCAGACGACTTTGGGTTGAAGGAAACTGACAGAGTTTGAATCGATGTCTTCACCATTCGCTTTGAGGTCTTCTAGAAATTGTTTAGCTAGCAACCTCAGGGCGGTTGAACTACCGTGTACAAAAGTTATTAATTTAGGAATAACTGAAAATAAATACGAGAATCTTTATTAGTCAAGTCTTCTAACTACTCATTAATTATTCATTAATCATACTGGATTTAAAATCAATTATATTAAGAATCAGTTGTAATTTATTGAAAATCAAATATTAAAAAAAATAACATACCTCAAATGAGACTAAATATTTTATAAGAAAATGTATTAACATTTTACACATTATGGTTTTGTTAGTACAACCAACAAGATTTCTGATCTTGTGTTTTTTTTTTATTTTACTGTTTGTACAGAGCCAATATATGAACAGGAAAAAAATTGTTTGGTCAACTCGTATAAAAGTAACGAGCACAAAAACATTTTGTTTATAAAGCCCTAATGGTAGTTCCAAGTTATTTGAAATAAATTTGTATTAAATGTATAAAAAAAATGTGTAATTTAAATATGCACAATTCGCACATGGAAAGAATGATATGTTTTTAAAAATGTAATCAAATATATTTTACTTGACTCTGGCAACATCGACTTGCTATCGGTAGATGTATTAAAAGCTTTCAAAGTCTCCTCTCCAACTGGCGGTTTGGTAGTTATGGGCTCTTCGCCATCCCAAAAACAACGATATTTCAACAATATTTCGGCAACAGATTTACTCACTAAAATAAATTACGTTTTGTTTAAGTTTTAGATGTACAAAAAGTAAGTAAAATGAAGGTAATAAATTACCATTTTCAGGGTTCGTAACATGGTTTGGAACCCACACGCAACCAACCAATCGGGGTTTAACCCGTTCGGTTTTTTTTTTTATTTCTGCTTCAAATTCTTCTCCCAACAACTTTAGTTTTTCCTGGTGTGCTTCTTCGGTCTTAGTTCAACATATAATATTACATTGATCTCGCGCACATTACAACATAATATTATTATTAATTTAACTTGAATATTTACCGCATCGTCGTTGTCTTGACCCTCCTCGTCGCTCAAATATCCATGTGGCACAAACACATCGTTGTCCACCTCGTAATCGTCTTCAGATTCTTTTTCGTCGTCAGATCCGTGCAAACTTTCTCCGGGGTCTTCCTCTTCCCATTCATCATCAGAGTCGATTTCGTAGTCGAACATAATCTGATCATAAATAAATAATATTTTTCGTTATACCTTCATTTAAAATGGATTAGGTGGTACAACAAAATTATAAGAAGAAAAAAAATGAATAGTTACTTTATCGTAGGAAAATGGCTTCCTCGGTTTCACGTACAGACTCTTCTTTCTCCACGTACCCCAGTACGGTGGACGCTTGTTTTCATGGAATTGCAACAACTTCCAACGATACTGCCGAGATTCAGGACATTTACTCAGTTCGATTGTTTTCATATCAGTCTCTTCGTTTGTACCAGTTTCTATTTATGAATAATTTAAATTTGTAATTTGTTTTTTTTATTTTAAATTTAAATAAAATTTAACTTGTTTTTAGTTATTTCGTAGTTTTTCAACTACGAAACGAGTCCCAACATTATTTAGATCTAATACCATTTAAACATTTAAGCTTACTAACTACAATGGTATTAGCGATACATACCGATTATAAGAATGTCGCTGTCGTTTTCTCTTTGATAAGGCCAAGTGGCTTCGGACTTAGAATATTTATATTTTCCATTTTTCAACTGTCTCAAGTATAACGATTCTTTATTGTTTTCACATTGAATAAGGCATTTGTCCATCACTTTCTTTCTATCAGTATCCAAGTGAGCTCGGCACACCGGAGCTACTCTCATATCGTGTTTAGCCTGAAAAATATGTAACATAACATGTTGTGGTTTTTAAATGTAAAAAAGAAAATTATATTTTTAAAATAAAAAAGCCAGCACAGGTGGGTTGGAGCATAATGGTGTCAGAAAGATCAAAGTCTTTAGGAGTCGTTTTAACTGAAAGTGATAAATGATTCGATACGAAAACTATAAGAATAATAAAAACTCCACAATAAAAATATAAATAATTTTAAAGAAAATAGTTTTATTTCTCTGCATTAGTTTTTCCTATTTTGAAATTAATATTTAACATTAAGAATATAGGTACAAGAATCAAGACGGCCAATAAGAAGTAATTAAAAATACTTTGGTAGTCAAACCAAACCCTTAGGCTATTATTATCTCATTGTTTTGACAACCTTCTATTGGGTTTATAGTTTTTGTTTTTAAACTAATTACGAAGTTTGTTTTTACCTCAAATGGCATGAAATACGAATTTTCTTTGTCGACAACAATATCATCAATCCTTTTCACGGTATTAAAATTGGAATTTTTCGGCTTGAAAAATCCAACAAAAGCAGCTTTAGTTTTTTCTTTTTTCTTTTTCTCCATTTCCTCTCGTAATAATTTTTCTTCCTTTTCCTTTTCTTTTTCTAATTCTTTCACCTTTTTTTCTTCTTCTCTCTGTTTTCTTTCTTCTTCTTTTTGTTTTCTTTCATTTTCCTTTTCTAGGTCTTTAATTCTTTTTTCTTCTTCCTTTTTTTTCCTTTCCTTTTCCTTCTCCAACTCTTTAGCTTTCCTTTCTTCTTCTTTTTGTTTTCGTTCATTTTCTTTCTCTAATTCACGTTGTCGTTTCGCTCTGTAAATTAAAGAAAATGTAAATAACAATTCAATTAATATCAAATCATGAAATTATTGTATCAATGTCTGTCTTTACTCTGCTTCGGCTTCTTTTTTCTTATCCTTTTCTAATTGCTTCAAACGAAGTTTTTCCTCTCGTGCCTTTTCTTTTTCCTACATAAATTTTATATAGAAATTGTGACAAATTAAATAAATCAATTATTAAATGCTTACAAGCAAGGTTAACAGTTACGTAAGCAGTGAAACAACTTACTTGTTTCATTTTCAAACGTTCTTCTTGTTTTTTAGTGGATTCCAATTTTTTAGACATTTGTTTAGGTGTCAGCTTCTTAGAAACTGGTGTAGTAATTTTTTCTTTACCATTCTCCGGCGTACTATTGTTTAGTGAACTGTTTTGAGAACGATCTGGGCTCATAGAAACTGATTTGTCACTATTATCGTCGATATTCATACTTTCGTCTTTATCATTAACGTTTTCCTCTTCATTTACGTTTTCAGTCTTCTCATTACTATTGTTCGAACATCCATTTGAATCACCATCATTAACAAGATCGATTAATTCAATTTTCTTTAAAACACAATTATAATACTTATTAGAATCAAACAATTACTTATTAGTTTTTATAAACATACTAACGCTTACAATTCATTTAACATCAAAAAAAATTAAACAAATCTAGTATAGTTTCCAGTTCAATTTTTTTTTAAATATTTTTTTGCAATAGCTATATGTTTATACATGCAACAAATTTTTCAGTACTTAAGGTTTTACTTATACCTAACTTTGGAGCAAGGCAAGTCTGACTGCCAAATTCTAACTTGACCATAGTTTTTAGCGAACAAAAATACATAAATTCCAAACAAATTTTTTAAAAATTTCAACCAAACTACACCAATAATAAAAGTAAGCTAAATTTTCCAAATAACTTTAAAAATAAATCATACTGACCAATTCAAAATTTGAACAGTCACTTCCAGCCTAAAAAATACATAACAAAATTGATTGTAAATATTTATTTAATCAATGATAATATATCTAAAAAAATTTTGAACTGTAACTATGCCTGAATGTAATCAGTAAGACTCGGGTTACAAAATGGGCAATGGTCCACGTTGTTTTCATAATAAATATATTAATTGGAATGATTTAAATTGAAATATCCAAACATTTGTTAAAAAATGTCAATAAGTGACACTGGCAGTCTTAGCCCTTCTTGGCTCAAGTCACAACAAAGTCTACATTGGCCAAATACAATGCAAAGGGATGTTTAATATAAGTTGTTAAATACTTTTTAGTATACAAATACCCAATCGACTAATGTACCAAAAATAAAACAACAAGGGGAGGAAAGTAGGGATTTTTTTGGTTCAATTATCATAATCATTATGTAATATAAATATCACAAAATAAACAGTTTTTAATTTTTAAATTGAAATTTTTTTTTTACCAAGGTCCGAGTAATTTGTATTTGAACTCGATTTTGGATGTAAATTTAAAAACAAATATTAATTCAATGGTTGTACATTAATAGTATATTAGTATGTTAAGAGTTAACCTTTAATTAGTGTGGGTTGCCTAGAAATATTTAGGGATCTCTTGTCACTTGGTTTTCAATAAACTTATTTGTGCCAATAGGATTTAATGAGCCCCAACACACTAACAGATGGTTAAGACTAAAGCACAATACATTTTAACCGACTATGAATTATGATTACCAAATATCCCCTTTAAAATTGAACTAGGTACTCATACTTAATAAACGTAAATTAGCACAGCGTGATTTAGCAAATTGTATAGCGAAACTAAAAACTGAGAATATTTTGCTCCTTTCCCCCTCCCCTTGATCAATTTTTGCCATCCTAGTGTGTACTTAATGTCGATTTACCTAACTCGAATTAATAATATATTATACAAACAATTGATGGTGCACAAAAAAAAAAAACAAAGAACGGTCAATAAAATCGGCGACCTACTTCTTTGCTGTTTTCATCGTCGTCGCATTTTATGAAGCATTTCGTACCGCCATTGAGCAACTCGACTTTGGGATTTTCAACTCTCGTCTCGTCGTTTTCGGTGCCGCTGAGTTTCCGTTTCCGGCATTTCGAATTGGTGTCGTCGCCCGGCGAATTGACCAGCTTGAACGGCAAGCAAGCTTGCTTCAGCTTTTTGCCGGACTTCTCGTTGGCCGGGCTTTCGGACATGACTTGTCGAGTTTTTTTAGGGAATGTCGTTCGCGTCCAAAGACAAATCAAAACATCTGTGCCGGCAGATATGATTTTTGGCGACAACAACAAATTGCACCGTTGGCGATTAGCGGTCGACAATATAGACACTAAACAACTAGATATGGTCAACAAAAATAAAAAAATAATAATAACGAAACAAGTAACAACCAACAACGGCAACAACGGGAAATAAAACAAATACGGGCAAAAAATTGATTGCTTTTATTATTGTTAAATGTTATATGGAATCCGTAGATTATTCAAAGAATCTCGGTTCGCCTTATCTGTAGATTTAACCTAACAATGCGAAATTGGCGCGAAATGGCCGTAATCAAAAATGTCTTGGCAAAAACACTTCAACTCGCAAGTTTCTTCCATGACAATTTTGAAATTAAAAAAAATCCGCCAATGTTTGTAATAATCATATATAATAATAATAATATAAAAACGAAATCGATTAACTACTAAGTTATAACGGCGCGTTAAATAATTGTTTAATTCTGTTCAAATAATAGAATTTCTATTGTTCGCAAACGAATCGTAGTTTAAATTTATCAAATAAAAAAACCTATACAAATTTAACAATGCTTTGAAGGCCGTGTTATATGATAAAGTATCGTTACTAATTATATAACATACCTACTCATTCGGCCATTGAAATTCATCATCACATAACCGCGGAGTTACATTCTTCTTTACAGTTTGATATTGTGTAAAAGAAAATTATAATCACTATATTCCAGGCATTGCCAATTGTTGTATGGTTTTAGATAAGTCTTGAGAACGCCAAAAAAAAAAGGGACACTTCCCTTTGACTTAAAGGATAATAAATAACTGCAAGTACATTATCGACCAAAATGTGTTAGATGGAAACAAAAAAGGTTTTATTGCACCTTGTTTATAGGCTAAACTATATACTTTAATGTTTAGCCAAATTGGTGAGAGCGCCCATAAATAGTATTAACTATAAGTTTTTAACCGTCACACAACGAAAGTGTTTCATCTAACCTTGGAATAGAACAGCCAACAGTCGACCAAAAATTCTAATACAAGCTAAAAAAAACGATGATAACTCGACCTCAGCTATGACTTAAACTTCGATGCTGGTAAACGGTAAGATTTTATCAAACTAACGAAAAAATATGACGAAAATTGTATACCAATGATATCAAATGTTATATTATTATCTCAAAATAGTTTTATATATTTTATATAATATAATATGATGTATACACACAACAAAACGCATTTAAACAATAATCAATACATAACTTGTTCTTAAAATTAGACAAAAAAAATTGTGTAAGTAAAATATACTTTAAATGATTAGTCGTTGCAATAACTGTTATTACAAATAAAATCATCATAAATATACATGATATAAATATATATATTATAGTAATACTTAACAACCATTTAGGGCTCTTTGGCAGTTGTGAGCCCAACATTTACAAATATGTATGATTAAAAATAAAGCTTTATATTTATATATAAATATATTTCTGTACAAAAGATATTTTTTTCGCCTACTATAATATAAGTGTAGTTTAACTATATTAGTCAAAACAAAATTAAATTAAAATTCACACAAATCAAAAACTATATTCTATAATAACAGGAAATCGAGGCAACAAAATATGGGCAACACAAAAATTACATAGTCTTATATACAATACGCTATTTTACAAGCTAATATAATATAATTTAAATTTAGATTTAATAAAATAGAGGTTGATTATTTATTTAGGTATTGAGTTTTAAACAAATAAATAAATACAATTAACAAAAAAATATAAAGTTATGATAAATATATTTTAGATACGTATAACAAGTTATGTGATAAGTTCTTGTAATTTTTTAACTGTGGTTTCGTTTAGCGCACAAAGGTCAAAATCAAAAGTCTTAGTGGTAATTTCATAATGACCCGTCTCCGCTATTACAGTAACCACTCGTTGTAAGTCCTCATCTTCTAACATCATAATTTTGTGTTGAAGATTTTTCAACGAGTTAATATACTCGTCTGTGAATTTATTACTACTTGGTGACGGCGATGGCGACCTTGAAATGTCCGAGCACGTTTCACGCATTTCTTCAGTAATTTCAGTTCGGATAACTTTGGGTCTCGATTCTTCCACATCACGCTCTTTCTTTTTTCGCTTTTTCTTTTTAATACCGTTGTTTTCAGGAGAAAGTTTCTTTTTGGGTGTCTCTTTGGACTTTGGCAGCTCCAGTGGTTGGTACGGAGGTTCGCTGTCTTCAGATAAAAATCCTTCTTCGGACTCGGATTCTAATATTCGTGAGGAAGTGGCTTTATGAGGTGAACATTCGGGTACAAATTCTTCCTTGACTTTAGGAAAATTGTCTAAATTTGTGTTTTGTTTCGGTGTTTCTACATGTTTATACGTCGGTTCTTGCTCGACAAAAATAGGTTTATCGTCTTTTTTCTTTTCTTTCTCTTCCTTATCCCTTTTGTCTCTCTTTTTATGTTCTTTATGACTTTTATGGGGCTTGGATGATTTTTCAGATTTTTCTAATTTTTTATCAGACTTTATTTTAATTGATTCAGGTGAACTTTTGTGCTTCTTTTTCTCTTGTTCTATAAACTCAATTTTTATTTCCTGTCTGACTTTGGTTTCGTGATAAGATTTTTCATCTTTATGAGATTTGTCTTTAATTTTTTCTTTAACTTTATCGTCGCGCTTAGTTTTGTCTTTAGATTCTTTTTTCTCAATTTTAATGTCATTGGATTTATCTTTTATTTTGTCATGATGCGATGAATCTTTTTTATCTGGTTTGGAACTGCTCGTTTTTAATGATTTTGATTTGTCAGAACTCTCTTTAGATTTTTCTTTTTTTTCTTTGTCTTTGTCTTTTTCTTTTTTTACTTTGTCAACAGACAATTCCTTAGATTTTTTCTTTTCTTTATCCCTTTCCTTTTCTTTTTCCTTATCTTTTTTTTCTTTTTCTTCTTTATGGTGTGGACTACTTTTAATTTTTAGTTGAGATTTGTCGGACGAGGTAGATTTTTGCAGAGTTGATGATTTTGATGTCGTCAATGGTAACTTTGAAGGCTGAATCGGAGACCCAAATAGTGATTCAAACTTATTGTTCAATTTAACATCTTCTCTTTTATGTTTCTTTGGTGGTGGAGATGGCATCCGATTTATGTTAGTCGAAGATTTTGGTTTTGATATAGCAGAGCTTGAAGAAGAATTTTTTAATTCAGTACCATCATGAGATAAAACACTAGTCTGCAAGGGGAAAAAATACATTATAGTAAGTATACTGCTAAAACTGTAAAACAAAACTTATTTCAAGAGTATGATAATAAGGTTTAATTTTAGGTTTTTTTAAAATAAAGATTTTTCATTAAAAGTCTTCCTATAAAACAATAGTTATCATTTTAAATTTAATTGTTAAAGAAAGAACCAATTTTCCATTACTGCCAATAACTTTAGCTACTGTTGTTTACTTAACCCTTGTGTACACTCATAGTTAAAAATCGTGAGAAAATACCATCCATAAATGTCAAGGGCTGATGAAAACGGATGTAACTATTTTGTTCAGTTATTCAACAGAACTGATTTTGTATGTAACTCTTTTTCATTGACTAAATTCATAGTAACTCTACTCCTCCAAAGAATTTGTGATAAATAAAATAAAACTAAATACAACAACAAAAAGAAACTCTCAACTGTGGTTCTGAAAATTTGTAAGTATTGTAAGATGACTTTTTTCATTGAGAAAGTCAATTTAAGTGAACCGCATATTATATTAATATATATATATTTTTTTTTTTAATTTATCAAAAAGTATTTACTATAAAATAATAATCGTTCAAACTTACTCCTCCGCCCTTAATGAGTTTGCGACGAAAGTCTTCTGAAGGGTTAAATATATACGTTTCTCTTGTGACTCTGGACATGGGTGGTGAACCTTTATCCTGAAGAGTCAATTCATAATTGAATCGAATTTTCCTCGGTTCATCTTTATTTCGCACATATATATCGATAGGCAATGGAAATCCAGCGTAGCCAGACTCTTTTACAACATACGGTGGTTCTTTAATAACTAAACAAAAATACAGCTTATAAAAATCGGCAACTATAAAGCATGTACATAATAAAAAACTTAATTGATTATTAACAAATATTAACTATGGATAATAAACAATTGAATTTAAACCGTATACATAACAGACAAATAATTAGACTTAAATTATTACACACCAGATCCAGTTAAGACAAAAGCAAAGTTAATTATTTCTAAAACACATAAGACTTACTCCTTCTTGGGTTGGGAAATGTCTCGTGCAAGTGAAACACGACTTTGTCGACAAAGAAGTGTATGTCTGTGTTGTCGGCACCGCGGACAAATAGTTCCCAGTCATGAGTGAAACCTTCTGGCGTTCGCTTGTTCCTTACAGACGCCTCGTGACCAATTTCGAATATAACTTTGACATACTGTAAACAAATCAAGATAATGTTCAACTAATAATCAACAAACGACCAAACGTTGTTATAGTGACAGTACTGAGTAGTATAAAATTTCCATCGATCGAGTATAGATATTATTATGATTTCGATAAGCGGGTTTGGACTTTCGACGACGGTTCGCCGTCGAGAATCTGAAATCGTCCGAACCCAAGCGATGGACTACTCGCTGCAATAATCAGCTGCAGCGGATGTTCGATTATAACCGAGACAAGCTAAGGAAAATTGATTTACTCACGGGGAATGCCATGTTCATCGAATCATTATTGCAAGGGGAATACAGAAATACAGTGGCGGCGGTTTCGAAGATGCGCGGGCAAATGCTAGACGTCCAGATTAGACGTAGGTAACGCGCACACGGGGGTAGTGTGAAGAGAAAAAAAAAACAAAAAACTAAAAACAAAATCAACGTTTTATCATTTTTTCATATTTTTTTTCGCAATTATTAATGTGGGTGATTTTTCATTTTTATTAAAATATATATCATCCGGAAAGAGTAACTATAATGATATTGTATGAAAAAAGTCAATTACAAGACGGACCACAGATAACAGACGTAATATTATCTACTTTCCAATAATAAAAACACTATTCCAGCACGCACGCACGTAAATAAATCGCAAACGAAAACAACAAACAACTGATCGGCCAGGCGGACCATATAATGTGCAATGTGTCAGAATTATCGGTGGACACATTGGCTGTACTACTTTTTAACGTATCAATATTGTGCTGTAGCGTTTTTTTTTTTTTTTTTTTAATCTTATCAACCGCGCTGATTCCCCGACGACGATTAATAATCATTATTATAACCGATAACAATTATCTCTATCGCTGTTGTTGATAAGACAACAGAGGCTGATAACAAATCACGTAGATGAACGTCGTGATAACAACCCAAGTTACTCATTATAATTTATAACTGTGTGTGCTTGTTCTTGTAGGCTGTATGTGAATTGTGAAGAAAAGCCGAAAATCGCATTGTGTTATAATTAGTTGAAACTTTATAGTTTATACTTTTGCCAGTTTAAAATATTGTCTGCCCGGCACCGTGGACGGCAAACTATTTGAAAAACTATTTTGGATTTACTCGCACACGACAAGTAATTAATACAGTTAGTTTTCATAATTTTTACGGCCGTTATTAAGTCAAGTTAAACGATAACGTAGTGTTGTTTTTAACTATATTAAATTCTCAAGCTTCACCGATGACAATGGCAAGTGTATATATGTATGTTTAAGTTGTTGAATTTATAAAATAGATTCAAAGCGTATCCGAGACAGTATTGGGTATATTGATTATACAATGACATCTCTTTTCCGTATGTGGATCAGAGGTGGGCATACACAATACTATGATACAAACAAATGACCAGCTTAGTCAAGTCGTGCATAATTAGGGTGACCAGGCTTCCTCTGTTTATGGATGTCTTCGTTGTCTACTTTTTTTTTTCAAATTCAAAATAAGAATATGATTAAGAATTAAATCACTTTTATTATTTATGAGAAATTTATTTACAGAAATTAACAGAATTATGCAAATGTTCTCTTCATTGAAATCATAACTTTTATCACAAGATCAAACACTGAAAAATCTATTGAACTTTTTTTTAAATAAACTAGGGACCTATTTTTACTTTTTGTGCAGTATTTAATGAATACTCATCATAACAGTTTGAAAAAATATAAAACCGAAAGGAATTCAATTTGTGAAATTATTATTATTATTTAAAAATATGTTTTATGTTACACTTGTTGTTTGCTTTAAATCTATCTCATTTTAAACTTTAAATGCATTTGTTATATGAAGAAAAAATTTAATTATTTACTGTTTTTTTTTTTTTTTAATGCATTTAAGTATAACCAAATTATGTGAATGAAAAGTAACTTAATATAGGTTTGGTTAAATAATGTTAGGTTAAATTCAATACATGCATATTTTTGTATATTAGCAATCATTTTGGAGTATCCCAAATTAGGTAAACAGTTATATACTGGCTTGTATCATTAGACAATTATTTTTAAAAATTTCCTCTCTTTTTAGTTAGACATCTGGTAATCCTAGGCATGTTAGGTACAGTGAGATCCCAGGTCTTCAGGAATTTATATAACAGAGTAATAAAATCAAATAATTGTTTTGACGCGAAAAGTATAAATCATTTTTTTGACATGTATTAATAATCTGGTTTTTTCTCTATAAATATGTACGACTCCAGAGTTTTAATTTAAAATAAAAAGTGGTATCGTTTGTGTAAACAAAAGTATGTCATTACTCATTAACTTAATAAGTTGAGAATTATTTACTAAATACTTGACTAGTGGTCTATTAACACACAGACTAGGAAACTAAAAATATTTTAAGCAATCCTCCCCCCCCCTCCAAAAAAGAAAATTTAATAATTAAGTTATTTTTTAAATTATATTTTTACCTCAAAAAATATTTAAATTTAAGAATTGTCAAGTTGAAACTCAATTAAATTTCTTATTTTTTTCTGGATACTAATTAATGTGTTTAGACTAATTATTATGTATGTTTATTTTTTAAATTTGTTATTAAAATAATATTTTATTCATTTATTTGCATAGAAATGGGTAAATGGCAATTAGAAGTAGCTCGCATGGTAATCTACATGGCGTTCCCGGTGGTGTTATTTCATTATTTTAATTTACCTGAAAATTATGAAGAAAAAGTAATCAGATTCAAAAGAGAGAACTTTCCGCCCGAACGGCAAGAACCCATAAACAAAATAGAGGAGCTTAAAAGGTTATTTCAAGAGCGTCAAGAAGAAGAATTTAAAAAAGTTTTCCAAGATTAAGGAATTTATTCATGTACATATTAAACACGTTATTTGATTTCAATGTTGTAAAAAAAAAAAAAAATGTATAAATATAAATGGATAATATTGTTGATAGATTTACAATAAAAGTATTTAATTTGTAAAGTTCTTAATTTCTATCTAATTAAAAAATAAGGGGAGGTAATGGGGGGGGGGGTTAGGATTAACACAAACATTTCAGCTTCTGCACAAACTTTGTAAGTTGCATTCGTTCACAATGTTCAATAATTTGTTCTAATTCGATACTATTAATGACTGGACAACTGAAAACCAATTTCACACAACGCGTGACTTCGTACGAATCCTTGGCTGTAAACATATTTGCGACAATAATAATTAGTGTTGAATTTTTAAAATTAAAAATGCACGCATTATAAGAGATCACATTAGTAATACCATTGTTGAAGGACGACTTCAGAAGTGTATTCCACGCTTTCTCTACTATTTCGAATGATAGTTGATGCCATTTGTCCATTAAATGTATAAGGACTTTTTCTAATTCGCTAATTATCGTGAAATGAGTCAGTCTCGTGAGCAACGTATCCCAGATACTGGCGTTCATGACGTCCGAATAAAGTACACATAAATGTGACGCTAATTTCGTAGCACTTGCCGTTTTGCGGGTGAGTAACGACTGAACTAATTTGGATTTATCACAGCCACGATATCGCACTGGGGAAAAGTTGATTCCCTGAGTTTCTAGTTCGGTAATTATCGACAGTTCGACTAAATTATTCCTATAACATAGTGATATACAAAATTAAATGAAAATATTAAAAGTTAAAAAAGTTTTACTTCATCATTTCTCTAGTTCGGCACGTTATCTCTTCAATATTATTGGTAGTTGCCAAGCACAAACATTGCAAAGCTCTCAATCGTACACTGGATGGACACATCGAGTCGCTTTCATCTTCATTGTATGCTTGACATATAAGGAAGTTGTGTAAATTATATGCCGATGTATCATTTTCCAACAGATAACAAGCTCTATATTAAAAAAATTGAAGTCAATAAAATCATTGCTTGGAATGTTAACTAAAAATATGAACTCTTTCGCATTCACATTCTTACAAAGGAATTGCAGGATAGTTTGCAGAAATTAAGATATTGAATAAAAAATTGTCAAATGTAGACGATATGCAATTTAAAAAGTGAGAAGAAATCTAAACTATTGGAGGAAGGATAAGAGCAGGAAAAAAAGGTATAGTATAAAGTTAAGATAGAAGCCAAGTTAAGTAGTTTTTAACATGTTTGCTAATGCTCGTTAAGTAGAATAAAAGTATTCACTATTAAGCGTGTTTTATACAAACAATGCATAAAATATAGCAAAGGTAAAATATAAAATTCAGCTAAAAATCACATATTTTTGCTAACTAAAAAAAAAATGTTCAATAAAAATCTATTTTCTCTTTCAACTAGTAAAATATTTGTCCAAATCAGAGAAAAATATAATAGTTTTAAAAACAATTTTTTTAATAAGCAAGTAAAATGCAATTTTAATCGGGAACTTTATCCGAACCTTTTAAATATAGTGTAATTAAAAACAAATAAACTTTGTTTACCTTAATACTCCTTCGCTTATAGTAACGTTCTCTTGGATTGCATAAAACGAGTTTCCCATAGCCATAGACAAATTTTTTGTAGGAGTATCCATCGATTCTAAAGATGAAGGTTGTAACCATTCCTTCAGTAGGTCCACTTTAATTGCTAATCCTCCCTTTCCGTGAACTTCAACGATGGCATCTACAGCGCCATTGATATCTGAAAGTAAATAAAAATGTTTATTACATGGTTTTACAAGAAAAAAATTAATGAATTGATAAGAGGCCTATGTTTGTCATAAAATTTAAACATCAATCAAGATATATCCACTTAAGAGTTTTTTTTTTTTTTTTGCTAGGAAAACTAAACTTACTAGGAAATGACTTAATTTCGCCAGTATGTCTTTTTAAAATAATTGGATCGTTGTACAGCTCTCTTATTAGTTCATCGGGTTGCAATGCCAGTTGGAGATACTTCGGTATACCAAAACCAAATTTGTGTAATACGTGCTTAGTCGTAATTGATAAATACTTTGTAACAACCTGAAGTTATTTTTGAATTAACAGAGAAAAATGAAATTAGACGACAATTATTAAAAAAAATTAAAACTACTAACTTTTGCAACACCAGATTTGGCGTTTTCTGAATTTTCTTTTTTAAGCCATTCGTGGGCTTGAGCGTAGCATATTTTAGCCGCTTCCAATTGATCGGCACCTAGAAATTTTGAGGTTTAACAACTAATACAAAGTAACGGAATAGTGGCGCCGAATATTAGAGTGCAGGTCAAATACATTAGTTGGAGTGTTTAATACACAAGTATGAATTTCAACAGTTTATAAAAGAATGAATCGAAAATTTTGAATCTTGAAATAAAATAAAAAACGTACAAAACAAACTGAAAATACCATCGGCGCCACTGCACAATACATTTTAAAAATGTACTACACACCTAAGGGTAAATTGTTGACCACAAAATAAAGCGAAGCGGCTACTACTTCCAAATTCTTCACATGGCTTAGAACTTTTTGAATGTCCGTCAACAGCGATTCTAAACGCATGTGCAAATACCATTCAACATTTTTCTCTCTCGCGGCTACTTCGTTAACCTTAACAATTTTTTTTACATATTTTTAAAAGGCAATAACTTTTTTGTGTAAACAGTACCAAAATACTACAGCAATTACCATATGCTTTACTGTGAGGATACACAATGTGTCCTTCTCCATTCCGATGGCTTCAATTATGGAAAACCATTTTTCATATGTTACAAACGTTAGTTCTGGCTTTATTATTTTCCATACGTGTATTTCACGATGCTGGCCAAACTTTTTCTTTTTATTTGCGAGTGGCACATATGGTAATCGATACTTGGAAACTGGTGGCAACGTCTGTGTGTCTTGAAACATGGCCGACCATATTTCTTGTTCATGTTCCTCGGGTACGCTCACTCTCTTGTACTGTATGAGAAACAACAGGATTTCTTTTTGCACTTTGTATGTCGTTACGGAATCTACATCGTATTTTTCTATCAGTCCCATTATTACTAAGAACACTTCATAATGGTAAATATTAACCTATTAAAACAATAAATTTAATTTGAACAAGTTTATCGACAAATTGAACGACAATGTTTTTAATTATTTACTTGGTCCCAAACGTGGTTCCAGAGGAAATCTATTATGTCCGTTTTGTCAATAAAAACACTGAAAATATCTTCACATTTTTTCAACAAATTATCTTTGTCTTCAATTATTTTAGCAATCCAATCTATAATAAATCGAGCGTTACATAAATAATAACTTGACTTTTAATTATAAAAATATTTAACAGACACTCAAATATAATACTATTAATTTGCACTGACCAAATGTTTTTTCTTCTTGTTCGTCCGGTACGTACGATTCCCATTGAAGTAAAGAATTCTCTAAAAACAATTTGGCAGATTGTTGCAAATCAAAGTTTGTATCACTACAATAATCGACCAAGACATTTAACGTCATAGTCGGAGCTCGTATCATTTTCAACAATAAATTTCGTTGATCCAGTTCAGAATTATAGAAAGCGTCTAAATTGAATTTTAAACATTATATGTGTTATTGCCTCTTAATTATAAAAAATAACTATTAATTAATTAAAAAACTATACACACCTTTAAATGCAAAACCGTATTTCATTATTTTTTTACCCCAAATACATTTGTTCTTGGTGGATTTAAGTGAATCGTAGAGATCGCTAGAAGCGTCGTAGTTTAATCGTACATAAACCAATCCAAGATCAGTTACATTTGTTAATTTCTGATAATTCATTCCAACACTAAACAAAATTTTTTATGTTATTATGTAATATTTACACGTTCTTGTAGTTCTTTTTTAATTATTTAAAAGTAGTTAATACTTGTTTAGTGCGTCTTCAAGCCAACTGATGGCGTCTTGTGGTTTGAGAGTGTTCAAAAGGCCCAATCCTAAATCCATATCTAGATTTCTCGAGTAGGTAACGCTTTTCAAAATCTGTCTCACGTTACTTTTTATAAGGTTATTTCCTTTTGTAGTCAACTCTGGTTCCTTAAAACATTGCATGACATACATATACATAATTATAAAATTAAATCCGTAAGTTATATTTTATTACCAATATCTGTTGATTTTGCAGAATAGCTCGATACAAGCACATTATTTGTGTAACGGTTATGTGAAGACCTATCAGATTTTGTCCTTGAAAATATTCTAATGAAGACATAACAGTGTTGGGCGATGGCTAAAAATATTTTAAAGTTTCAATAATTAATTTAGATAATACCTTAACACTAAAAATGTACAAAATAATTTGTTTAGGATTTGGACCCTGATGATCACTCCACTGGAATGGTCCATGGCACGACCACAAAAAGAATATAAGGTACTAATTAAAAATTAACACATACTGAACTATCAAATGAACTCATTACGTCTGGTTTTTTGTAACAAAGCATTGGAGAATCTGGACTTAATGAATCTGAAAAAAGCAATAAAATAAATTTTAACTTCAACGTTAATATTTTTTTGAGTGAAATTGTGGTTTTCTACTAAATAACTAATTTATAACATTTTTAATGAAACCACTATTTTTGTCTAAAAATTAAAAAAAACTTTAAAATTAAAAAAATTTGTTAACTTGTAATTTCTTATAAAACTTTATTTATTTAACATAAAACATATAATTTTCATGATTTTCGTTTTAAGAAAAAAACCCACCGTTTTTTTAAGTAAAAATTAAATAAAATGTTTTGCCCACAATTGTACTGTCCCAAAAAAAAAAAAAAATGTTTTTTATCTGTCGAGGAAGAAATTTTTAAAATTTCAGACTTCCAAGACAAATCTAAGTGGTTCCCAAGAGTCATATTTTCCCGATTTAATTAACAAGTAAAAAACATATGTTTCATTAAAATTGTCAAAAGTTATTAATAATTTTTTTAATTTCAAAAAGGATTCTGAAATATAAGACAATATTTTAAATAAGGAAGGAATACATTTTATTTGTTCCAGAACATTGTTGAAAAGACAGAAGTCAATTAGGCATTATATTCTGGACCCCAACTTAAAATCAAAAAGACATGTAGAAATATTTTTAAAAATTCTTAAACAAAAGAAGCACACAATAAAAAATACATATTGACCTTTTTATTATTCATTGTTAATGAAGTTTTTAGTAAGTCATACATAATTCAATAAATATTATCCATATATTATCAAAAATGTATCTCTTGAATAATTTGAGATTAAATATTGAAAGAAATAATCAAAGAATATATGTTTTTAAAAATAAATGCAACAACATCCGAGATGCAAAGTCAAATGATGAAAGATTTTATACCTACTAAAGTATATTTTGGGGTTTTGCACAAAATGAAATTTTCAAAACTAAAAACCCTGCAACTCTATATATTATTGTGTGACAAAATAACAATTGTACTATATTGTATAACAGATGAGAATAAAAATAACATTACGCAAAAAAGAACTGTAGAGTTCAAACTGTTCGAAAAGTTCTGTGTGAATAGAATTCTTGTCTATAATGGCGTTCCTCCAAGAATACGCTAATCCAAGATCTATATTGTCACTACTCATCACATCTCCGCAAGTTAAATAGAACGGCTCGGCCCACTGTCTCAGTTCTACGGCTCTCATTAGAAGACCTAAAAAAGAAAATTAAAAATTAAATTAACTAGAAATAATGCATATTCTTGTAAATTACAAATAAGCAAATATTTTTACTCGATTGACAGTTGACAGTGACAAATTGAGTGATCTTCCTAATCAGAGTCCATAACGGTATTTTAAAAGCCGCCTGGGAAACGGGATCGTATTTCGACACTAATAACTCTCCTAAAGTCAGTAAGTGGTCGGCAAGTTCACTACTGACATCCTCAAACGTGAGAATGAACTGGCCAAACAAACACACAAACTCGACGTTGTTCTGTAATATTGATTCTTTCACAAACTGTATAACAACACGTTCAAAAGTCTCCAACAACAAATAAGACAATCTGGATAGTTTTGCTTGGATGACAGAACTGTTCATACTACTGCAGCATTCATCTATTCAAATATATATACATACAAATGAATTATAATTGACAAACAAAAAACATTTAAAACATTTAATACCTTGCAGAAACAAAGTGACACATTTCTTTAAAAGTTTTTCGTCATTGTTGAACTCAGATAAGCGACATTCAATATTGAATTCATTCTTTAAAATAAAAATATATTATTTAACACTATCAATTTTGACTTCAAATTGAAAAGTACGTCACTTCACTAATAAACAATATAATAATTATATAATGATTTTTTTTTACTTTTATATGATGAATATTAATCAATATGTTGGCGTTGTGTCGACATTCAGGACGTATATCCACGCTAGGGCTTTTGGCTAAAAACTTTAAGACTTCAAAATACTTGGACACTTCTTCTGCAAATAGAGGCATATGTCTCAAACTATCGTACGTGATCCATATCGAAGTGCATATCCTCTGTACAATCGAACTGGGTATTACTTGAGGATTAGTAATCGATTCAATCGCTTTATCCGTAAAGCTGAAAAAGAAAAAAAAGAAAAATAGCGTTAGTGATAAACTAATATTTTATTATTAAGCTCATTACCCGGATTCTATTAGAAATTTAACGTAAATCTCATATGCCTCTATTTGTACGCTTTCAGACTGTGTACTAATGAGCTTCACCAAGTCATCAAATACAGTAGCACGATTTTGAACACAGATATTCTGAACAGCAATAATTATCTAAATACAGTCATTCATTATTATAAGTTAAGTTGTTGTAAAATATAAAAATCAACGATTCAAATAAGTAACTACGTACTATGTAAGGAGTAATATTTGTAAACACCATATTATAACTCTTTAATATTAATTTGCTGGTGAGTGAACTCTTCACTTCTTCTATATCTTTGATGGTCTCAGAATTCACGTCGGTTTGTAACGTTTCATCACAGAGTTTTATTATAAGATCTGACCACGGAATACTGGCAGCTTTCAAAATACTTAAAACGCAATTGGTTTTAACCTAAAAAATATTTTTTTAATTTTTCACTAAAAAACAATTATTGGTATTGATTATAAACGATTGTTTTCAATAGGTAAAAAATCAACCTCCTTATTTGATATGAAATCAAGAAGTAAAATTGCTTTCTCTTCCCACGACCACCAGCAATCCACTTGACTTACAATATTCTAAAATATGAAGGCAAAAAAAAAAAAAAATTATTATTTGAGTCATCTACACATTTCTTTATTGACAGAGTATTAAAAATATGTAAATTTAAACCATAATTACCTTGATATATGCGGATAATATTTCATCAGAATTTAAAAATCTTTGAAGTGTAAAATCTGACCAGAATGATGCGATGAAGTCAGAGAATTTATTCAACTGAATCTGATCCAAAATCATAAATGAAAGTTCGGAATAATTATTATCTTCGTGCGCTAGTTCGTAATCGTCCAAGGCAATTTTTATACCAAAATTATCCTTCAATTCTTTTAGTTCGGCTAAGTATTTAATTAGCAAAATTAGTATTTCTTGAGATTCTGGCGGTCTTGAAATATTCAAACAAAGTGGCGACGCCACAACTTGATTAATAATAGTCAAAAAGTAACGGCAAATTTCTATACTTGGATCGATCCAATCCAAATGCAAGTACAACTCGTTCCATCTAAAACAAAAAAAAAATAAAATCTTAACAACAATCTTTGAACAATAATTGTTCTGTTGATTTTAAACACACCTCACTTTACTCTCAATGTATGAAACCATTGCAGTGATAGTTTCGTCATAGAACATGGTAAGGGTTGTTGAGGTAAAATTTAATATCCACAGCTTGAGCTCTGAAATATTCACCGACAATGGTAAAATCGAAAAATATTCATCAATTGAATCTTCATTAATGCCCTTTTTTATTTCAATCATATGACGACTCCAGACAGTTAAGGCGTCACCCAACTGATTCTGTAAATACGATAAATTTAATAAAAAAATGTACTGCACTTTGTCGTTTATTTAAGTTCACTGGTTAAGTAATCCGATTTATTTGTATTTCATTTATAAAATTAACTGTGAACTGTTAATTAAATATTTCAAACAGAATACATACTTTTTGTATGAGGTTTAAGAAAATACTATCGACGTCCTGTTTGGAAAATTGAAGCCATAATTCTGTGTCCTCGATAGAGCATATAGCTGAACCGTCGGATACATTGTATAACAGACAAAACGTATCTAACTTGTGCAGTGTCAACTGCAATTGGTCTAGTACGACAAGTGATTTTCCATTGCTATATTCTTGAAATAATGACTTCATTCTCGAGAGAGCATACCTCAATAGTTTTCTACAAAGAGCGAAATTAGGTACAATCGTATTTAGAGCACAATATCCCACAAATAAATGATCCTGAAAGAGAATGAGTCCGATATAGAAAAACATAACAAAATCCTATAAATGCAAGTAACTAATATACTTTTATTTTGTTTAAGTATTCAATCATTTCGTTGAAAACTTCATGCATGCCTTCTTTTTCGGGGTGCCAAACGTCCAACTTGCTCATGAGTCCTTTAACTTGTTCTTTGTAAACCATTTCCGGATCAAGATTAAATGCAGCAGCAAAATTCCGTGCTTCGTCGTATTTTCCTCGTCTCAGCATTCGCGCTAGCCTCAAGTCGGGTTGACCTTCAGATATTATTTTTACGTGTAAAGTATTGATGTCGTCATCGCCGTGTGCTTCCAAATAAAGTACCCCATCAGATGTTCCAGGACAATCGACTAGGTAAGTTAGTGGTGACGTCGGAAGCTTAAATGTAGTTTTAAAATCTGTTAGAAAAACAAATAATAAATTAGTATTTACGTTGGCCAAAAACTATTGTTTACAAATAAATAATTATTTTTTAAATAATAATATTGTTGAGATATTGTTATTTACAAAAATTTATTTTATTATATTATTAAAAAAAAAAAAAAGTTTGTAGTCAGTACATCAATAACGCTTGTTTAAAATTTAAATATATATATATATATATAGATTTACTTCAGAAGAAGTCATGTCGATCGGGACTAATTCATTTTCGTTAATAGAGGAAGAAGGCAGTATACTTTCTTTCCATCCGATGAGAAGCTTAGATAGTAAAATAATAGAAGAAGCGCCAAAAGTAATTTATATTGTATAATTCTACTATATTATAATATTAAAAGTAGAGGAAATCTAAAGACAACATAAGGAGGTCATTACTAATTAGTAGAAGCAGTAGATATAATCAGAATTATTAGTGATGCTTGATGACATGTAAAAAAAAAAATATAGTTGAGGGAGGAATAAATTATTATACCAACAAAAAGGTTATGTAAGTAGTTAATTCCTTAAGTTTGGTATTTTTTTTCTCCAAAATCATTATTTGAATAATTGTGCTATATGTGAATTTTTTTTTATCAATTGTAAATCTTCGGTGCAATAAAAGCCAAACAAATTGTTCTTTCAATATTAGTATATTAATATAAAACCAGATTCCGGATAAAGTTCCAGGCAAAACTCACATTTTATTCTGACATAAAAAAAATATATATGTTTGTATTTATATTAGTATAATATTCTGCGACTTAGATTGGACATGGAAATGTTTGATCAATACTATTTCTGTTGGTAGTCAATGTTGACAATATAACTGCATATTTAGAATAATATTATTATGGAAACATTGTTAAAAGATGTTTACGATGTTTTGACTAATAAAACAGAAAATGAAACTTCACAGGAAAAGGTGGTGAATTATCAAAACACATTCAGATTAGAATCTAAAAATCCATTTCATGAAACTAAAGCTTTGGAGGTGATACAAGATGAAATTGGCAAACATTTGACCGAAGAAACAAAATATGATCCACAAGAAGCAGCTTCGTTATGTGTAGCCTTGTCTCAATCTATTAGAGACCGTATTAATGAATTAGAATTTGAAAGGTAAGCAGTGAACATGCATCGTTGTTTATTGATTATAATTACAATGTAAAGATTACATTCATAAATAAGGTAAAGATATACACACAAATACATATGGTTTCTATGGCAGTTGAAACTGTTATTGGTTCAATGTACATATTTTGTACTGTTGGAAATACAGGTTAAATTGTTGTTTTAGATGAAACAGAAAATTAAAATCATAAATACAAATTTATTTTTATTTAAACATATTTGTTTTATTTTATGATTTTTTTTCTTCAAAAAAGCTAGTCTCTTTATTTAATTATACGAAAGTTAGATAAGTATATTAAAAATTATAAAGGCAATAAAAAAATTAAAATACAAACTCTTTTAAGTAATTTAAAAACAAAAATTATAAATTGGCATTATTATGCATAAATTGATATTTAATCTATAGAATTGTAATAATGTGTATGAAATTTAGCACTTCCCGTTCTTGTTACAATAAATGTATAAATGTTAAGCCACAATTCACTATATCAAATTATATTCTAAAAACTAAGTTCATTAAATTAATAAAATATATTATTGTTTATAAATATTAATTTCAATTTTGTGTAGTTTAATTTTGGTATTTATTATCCTAGATAAACAATCAAATTTGTTTAATAATATAAATACTATTTTAACTAAGCAAATGCAAAATATTTGTTAAGAAATTTAAAAATGAACCATAAACCTTGGTTTATTTAAGTATTTAAACTCTTTTACTTTAATAATATGACAGAGAAATTGTGATGAATAATATAACTAAGAAATTGTGATTAAATTACAGATACAAGATAGTCTGTATAGTTGAAATTGGAGAAAAAAAGGGACAAGGAGTCATGTCAATAACTCGATCTTTACGAGACTTCAAAAAAGATAAATATGTACACAAAAATTTTGAAAACTATCATTTGTTTGCGACAATTTTGGTAGGTGCATTTTACTATGAATAGGAAAAAAAATGGAATATGTGCACATACAGTACTGTAATATTTTTTAATGAATAAAAGACAAATGAACTGTTTCTACTGTTATTACTTACAAGGTCAAAATCACTTTGTGTAAAATGTATAATTAAAAAAAAAACCTTGGTATATAAACTAATGCTGAATGTATCTTTTTTTATAAATTAGTATCGTTTGGTAAATTTTCTGAAAATGTTTTTATTCTGTAAAAAAAAAATACTGCAAAATAACAATTTAAATGCATTACATGATATTCATGAGTCATGCAATTGAGTTTTATGAACAATTATTTATTTGATTCTTAAGTATATTAAATATATATTTAGTAATTACTAATTACTTTATGCATTTTTCTTTTAATCTTATTAACTGAAAGGTTGGTTATTTCATATTTAATGTAAATATCCAACTTGTACCACAATACGATTGTCAGTCAATTTTAAATACATATAAATAAAAAAATATGTATAAAAAGTTCAAATCTCATTTCTTATGATAGTTAGGTTAAAAATAAAAATTAGAAATAACTACCTGGCATCGTTACTAAAAGTAAATTTGGCTGTTTTTCGTCAGTCAACAAAAGAAGGCTTGTAATTTCCATTTCTTGCATTATAGTAAAGTCTGCGATGGACACTTCATCCCATTCTTTAATCGGTATAAATGTAAATCCACATATTAACATTATAGTTTTCAGCTCAGTCAAACAGATAATGAAACTAAAATACCACCAGTCCAATTAATAATACATATACCTAAATATAGTATTCAATATCCTAAAAATATCAATATACACAATATTTGCAAATTTTTGAATCTAATGAAAAACCTTTAACTGATCTCTTTTTAAAAAAAAATGTTCAAAGCAAACATTTTTTAAAAATCTTCTCTATCTAAACCCAGACAAATGTGGACCATTTCAGACATTGAGGCTTTGACATTCTCAATAAAAACCATGACTCTTTGCTTATACTTATGTAAAGCACATAAGCACATGAAATCTACTTTCAATAAGCTAGCAGTATTCAAATTATAAACATCATTGTAAAAGTTTAAACTGATTAAATCGACCCAACACTTACCCCTTATCTTGAGTGAAAACAAATTTTTTTATTTTATAGTTATCTGGGAACAAAAATTCTTTAGAACGCATATTTTCACCTTCGTAGAGACAAATGCTGTCGCCTGCTATTAATATACCGTTATTCATTTCACATACAGCTTTTACCTTAACAAAAAAAATTAAATATAAAGGCAGATGTAAAACAGTATAATAAAAAATTAAAATATTAATAGGTAAATCTTAAAACAAAACTTTCACTAAACTTACATTTTCATGAATATCGTATGTCTTCAATGTTATTAGATTTCCAGTATTTTTCAAATCAAAGTCTTGGTTAGAATGTTCAGTCAGCTCTTGTACATCTTCACATTTAAACCTTTAAAACAATTTTGTATCAAATCTCTGCTATATGGGACATTTTTGTTTGAGTTGTATTAATAATGGCCATCTAATGTTACATAGGTATTCAAACAAGTTCACTTGACAAGTCAACAAACAATATGTATCAGTAATTACATACATATATACTTATATATATTTTTTTACTCACTCGTTTATAAAACCAGAGGATGTAATGACCCTAATATGAAACTTGTTGTCACTGTGAATGAAAAATAATCCCACTGGGATTTCTTCTTCAGATGGTAAACATCGAGGATTATTTGATACTCTCCTGAAATTAAAAATTAATAAAAAAAAAAAAACACAATTTTTAGTAATCTTTCATAAAATATATCTACACATGGATAATGTTGTTAAAATTACTTACTTTATAAAAATAATTTTAGGATTAACGAATGAGCAACAGTATATTGTCCAGTCGAGTAGTAAAACCACCAAATAAAATCCGTCGGATGATATTTTAGCATCTATTATTTTATTAGGAAATCCAAAAGTCTGGATAATCTCTGTGACACCCGTGTTGAATGCAGCAAAGGACTGACCAGCAGAAATGTAGAGCATATCGGCTGTGCACATAGAGTTGATCTTCAGGTCGTCTCTCGAAGAACATATTGTATCGCAGGATTTTTTAATGGTAGCTAAAGTAGTAGTTTCGAAAATCCGACTATCTCCTATAGCTACAGCTCGAGTGCCGAAATTTATGGTTTCGTCAGCTGAGCTGTAACCAATTGTTATTCCATTCCACATTTTGTATTGTATAAGATCTATTAGATGGCATAAAAGTAGTACAGATTATTTTCAACTACGAAATTCTAAAATTTTTAAATCCCAGTCAGAAAAAATATTAATGTGTATGTTTTACTTACCACCTGCTTAGGCTTGAAAATTTCATAACTTCGAGTTAGAAAACGTTCAACAATCTTATTTATTCGATTGACTAGAAATCGTGAAAACCCCGATTATAATATTATTACATTTGCTCGTACCTACTTTTAGCATGTAGGATTTACCAGCTCTAAAAGTATTGTTCATAGATTTATTATACACTTAAATATTGTGCTATAATTAATCCTGTAGGTGTATACATTGACCATTGTACAATGTACAGCCTACAGGTTATTACTTTTTTTGTTATTTAAATAAATCATTAATCAATCGTCTTTTATCATAGAGATTTTGGCGCCAAATTTTATTATTTTCAACAAAGAATTTCATGGAAAAAAATGTAAAGTATGATAATAGCAATTGATAACGCATATCAGTTTTTCTGGCGGCAAATCACACATGGAGATAATTACCATTGATTAAATACAAATGGATAGCCCACAGCATTGATTATATACAAATGTGTACTAAACCCAATGTAATGATGGACTATAGATATTATATATTATTAATAAGTAACATTTATCTTTGTAAATAATACATTTTGACTTTTGTAATTTGTTGTCCTCTAAAATAGCTATTAGCTCAAAGTTTTGATGTAACTTGTTTACCATACGTCAGACACAACTCACAAAGAACAACTACAGACCGAACGAATCAAATTCAATGCAGATTTAATAATAATAAAAAGATTCATAGTTTAATCTGTGCCCTGTGGTACAGAGAACTTGCAAGTTTCAATTACTCGAACAAATTGTTTTGGCAGTTTTTTTTTGTATTCTGTTATGTCTCGGTTAATAATATAAAAAAATATACCTTAATTGTTTAGCTCTTGAGTTCGTCATGTACTTCATTAATGTAAATTTCAAGAAATAATTTAGATACAAGAATGTCAGGCAAGGCAATTTATACTCATCCGGTTAGAAATGAATACCAAAACAAAGGTTCCAAAAACAATTTACGGCTCGTTTCACATTATTGTACACCCGGGTTAAACAGTTTTGTTGACAATAACATCATTAACCACGAAGAAGCTGTCGACTACTATAGTTTACCTGATAATTTTACATTGCCATCTCCGTGCATCGAATCTTTACCAATTGAATCTGGTAAACTTTGAAAATTAATATTATAGAATAAACATGCACATATAGACTACTCTGTATGTTTTTTTTTGGCAATCTGTTCAGAATCAACAGCGCTGCCAAAAAAGCTTACGTTTACGACTATTTATATATGTTTAATTAAAAACTGTATTGTTATTATGATAAATAAAAATTTGTTTTTTGTTTCTGTTTGTAGAAAATGATGTTGTTCTAGATATAATCCATTCAAAAAACCAATGGAAAACGGACAATGAAAAATTTATAAAAATATGCAAAGAAAAACGTAAAATAATTTTGTTTATTTAATAATTGTTTGTCAATAATTCAACAGTTTAAATTTTTTAAATATTACAGTGGATTTTGATTACTTGAAGACTTTGAAAAATAATTTAAATGAGAATAAAAACATACAGTCGGTTGGCATTCCTTATGTTTTTACGCGGTATTGTTCCAACTTAATGAGAGATCCTGATAAATATTTTGATTCAGTTGAGTAGAATATGAACATTTAATAGTTGATTCTACCTTTTAAGTGCCTAATATAACTTGTTTTTCTTTGGTTTTTCAGATAACCAATTGGTATTTCAAAAACACATTAGACAAATGCAATATTAATGGAAAATCGTATTTGGCTTGTGCTCGTGGATCAAACCTTGATTCCTTAGGTATGCCATTTGAAATGACTATTAAAATAATTCAGCTAAATTTGTTTTAATTAGTGATATACTAAATATATTAAAAATATTTTTAATTTAATTAAAATTTTTTTTTTTTTTTAGAAATAGTTTCGATTGAAGACAAAAAAAATATAAAAGTTGTTGCTAAAGAAAATTTTAATGGTCCTATTTTGGATGTCAAAGCGTTAAAACCCCAAGGTAAATTAGTTTACAATATATTTTTTACAATGTTCCTATTTAAATGGTTGTATTATTTTCAAAATTGTATTACTTTATGTATGTATTATTATTTTTGTGTGTAAGTAATTTGTTACATCTATTACTTTTTCTAGAGTTATTAGTTCGCCAGAAAACAAAATTATTTTACCTATGGAACAATTCAGACACAGAATTATGTTTGAAGAGTAAACTAATTTACGATTGTAACAATATACCTCTTGGAGATTCCGATGGACTGTCGAATTGTTATTGTTCTGTCGACGTGGAACACATTATAAAAATTTGGAAAGATCAGTTAGTAAAATAATTAATTTACTTCTCTACATGGCAAAAAAATAATTATTAACTTTTTTTTTTTAAGAAATTGCATCCAAGATAAATATTTTGAAAGAGAAAACATCAACCAAAATGACTCATTTCTACATTTAGGATTCTTATACAATCAGACTGATATTGTTGGTATGATTGATAGACAAAAATTTTACCTTATTGACACAAGGGTAAATATATTAAGGGCTTTATTAATATACTAATATATTACATAACGACAATAATATGTAACAATTTTCAGACCGATGTTTCAAAGCCATGTACTGTTTACGTTCCCAATAGACTTTTGGACAAATGTGAAGAATTTAATACACTTTGTTGTAGTAATTTAAACGATCATAGCTTTTATGCCACTACAAATCATTCGATGTTGACACTGGACAAGCGAATGGGATTTGTACACAAAATTTCTCACATGCTCACAGCTCCTCCGTCGTTGATTACAACACACTATTTTGAAAATAGGTACATGTATAAAATATGTGTTAATATAATTGATGAATTCCATTTAAGTTTACTAGTGAATTCTTCTTTTTAACAATTAATTATTTATCAATGTCGTCAAACTTTAGTTTAGAACCAAATGAACTTGTAATTGTGGGAAATCAATCAGACGAAAATCTTGTCAAGTTACCGAACATATTATTTCAAAACGACCATTTGGTTTGCCAAACTTTAGCATCATCTATTCCAAAGCCACTCGACTCATTGTACGAGATAAGACACAAAGGACACTGCTTGGATCCAAAGTTAACCAAAAGGTGTTCTCGTCCTATAATCGGCGTCACTGGCATTGGTGAAACTGTTGACGACTTGCAGTTGTTTAGTATAAATTCTGTTGGCGACTTATTTGTACAAGCCTTCGACAAAACAGAAGATTCTGTTGAACTCGATAAAATAATTATATCTAATTTTGAAAACTTATTAACAAACAAAAGTCAAATGGTTAAAAAGTTGAATTATACACATTTAACTGATATGAGTAAGTTATTCGATTTAGAGCCGCCTGAACATAACAAAGAAGATATAGAATGCAGTGGGGGTTTCTGGAAAATGTCTAAAGAAGAAATGCTGTCGTACTCGGACCACGTGGCGCCGTTAATATTACACCCTTGGGATCTTGACGATGTCTCCGAGTGGGAGACCGAAAACGAGAACAATGATGATTTAAACAACGACGACGATGATTTAGGAAATAATTATGTTGTTAAAGTCAATAGCTGGTTTGAGAAAAACAAACTATCAACAACTGAACCTTGTTTGGAAAACAAAAATAATCCACCCAATAATAAACCGAAGTCCCAAAATGATTTAAGACAGTCTACAGACACCGATAGTTCTAGTTCTGGTACGATATTAATTTTGTATATTATAAAGTAGTTTTTATTTTAAATACAATTTATTATTTACACTAGTTTATATATTATTTATTGTTTTGTTGCAGGATATTCTGTTTTAATTAACTCTGAGGACGAGTTTAATATTGAAAATGAAAATTTACCATCTGCAATCTTGAAGTTGAAACTTTAAACTAGTACTATTAGTTTCATGAAAAATATTTTATACATATTTACATGTATGGTAAATAACATGTTTTTTTACAAAATAAAACAGAACTATTATTTTGTTTCATAATTTATTGAATAATACAATTTATTGGAATATATTTATCTAACCAAAGTTATTCTAACAGATATTTATTTTGAACACAAATATACCATTTTATATGAATTATGAATAACGCTCAAATCTACTTATGGGTTCCTAGTGATGTGGTACAAAGTGTTTATTATTTTTATTTTTTCTATCTCATTAAAATAGCAGATAGCTAAATGGTTTATGTATAACTAACTTCTACACAGTAACGACACTGCAGCTCCTTTGTCGGTATCACACGTTTCATTATAATAATAATAATATCACATTAAAAAAAAAATGTATCCAACTATAATATACAAGTATAAATGCTTAAAATAAAATGATCAAACCTATATTTAGATTAGGACCTTGATAGTTTTATTGAGGTGTTGGAATTCTAGGCAGTCTGGTGGCCACGTCTGCGAGTAATTGCAAATTGTAGTCTTCCTGTTTGAATAGGTTTTGTTCCGGTTTTGGAAGCTGTGTCGTATCCGCATCGGACACGGTCGTCGTGTTGCGAAGAGACTGATTTTCAAAATATCGCGTGAACCGCGCTTGGTTAAAACAAGTGTACTTTTTGATCCTCAACAATATTAGACTCCGGTCCACGCACTTTTCCTTGAGTATGTTCGGCAAGATTCTACGCCGGCTGTTTATGAACCAGTTGTAAATCTAATAAAACGTTGTGTATAGATATAATATTTAGGATAAACGAGAAAATGGCGGAAATCATTGTTTACATTAGGTAAATGTCCTCTCGGGGTACTTTGCGGTATAGCTGGTAGGTAAGATGTAACCGGTTAACGGGTGACTGGTAAGTAAAAATTCAAAAAAGAAAAATAGTAGGTACCTATAAACTAAGAACACAAAAAATTGTATTTTTTCCGTACTTGATTTTTCGTTAAACGAGTGACTTCCATCAGGGTTCTTTTCGTGGATTCCGTCGGATACGGGTTGGTGCAGTTGTCTTCCAGCCATTTGGTAAGTATGTTGACGGCGGCTTTGGGCAAGTTCGGTCTCTTTTGAGGCCTGACAGCCACTTCGATTTTTTTGTTCACTTTGGCCATGCTAAAAAAAAACCCACGCGAGTAGTTCTATTAAAATAAATTATGCGCAAAAAAAAACCGCATTAATCAGCAGCGGGTACTAAAGATCATTTAGATAGGTACCTAAGCGTAGCCAAAGTGGACAAGCGAAAAACTATACTGTAATCCGCAGGTAATTTATGCTCACTTTAATGATATTGTGTTAGATCTTCGCTATTACCTATATTAATTACGATTAGTTGTACACGGGCTTGTCGGCTAATTGCAATACCGTCAATTCTGCTGCTGTCAAAACCTATTTATAGTAGAGGCATGTGCGGTGGTCTAATCTAAATGTCAAACAGAACAAAATCCGTCAAACGCCCGAATGGTCATTTATACTTGTAGAAAATCGATCGTACAACGTTATAATTATATATTGTACTGACATTTTTTAAAAAAAAGTTGGACGTATCGCAATTGAATAAAATATTTCATTTATTATGAAAAAATAAATAAATCCTGTATTATTTTGCAAAGGGCTGACGATTTTACTGTGTCAAAAGTCAAGTGTACTAATAGTTTAGATACCAGCGATGAAGAAAACAAAAAAGTATCCATCTATTAAAAACTGAAGAAGTCTGGGCAAATGAATGATTTTCATTTGTTAAGTTCAGTAAATTGAAATAAAATTAACGAGTTTAACTATTAAAAACATTTTATTTGCTAAATTGTTTAATTTTAAATAATTATGTTTAATTTGAAAGTTATTACTATGTAGATAAATTCGCTTAAGTTGGTTAGAAATAGTGTTAAGTACCACAGTACCCATCTTCAAGCTCCTAAACTTTTGGATTTGAAAATAAATTGTCCTTTTCAATCAATAAATGATTCTAGTTAATCGAGCAACTAAACTGTTAAGTTTATGGTAATACTCATATGGCAATAGTAATAACAAAAATATACTAGTCAATGTTAAAAGTACATCTCCGGAATTTAACATATCAATTTTTACTTAAGATGACTTTACCCACTTGTAATTTAATGTAAAACAGAGACAGGAGAACATTATCCGTGTTTAAAAATGTCAATTTCTGATAGATTGAATAATATACATTTTTTAATGTTTAAAGTGTAGGTTTTTTGAGTATTTTTCATTAAATTATTAAAAATTAGTGGATTGAGTAATGGAATACTTAAAACGCTTAAGCTTGGATAATGTTTTCCTCTAGTTATTATGAACATTTGGTAGTTTCACTACAATTTCAAGACACTACAGTTTTGATTCGTGCAAATCTATATTAATAGAATATAATTATAATTTTTTCTATAGAAATGACTGTGATAGTCAAACAAACAAAAAACAACCAATAAAGAATTCTCATTACTGTACTATTAAGTACATTATCTTAAGCTTTAAATTAAAATTGCCTATACTTTACTTCTTCATAAAAAATAATACAATTCATATTATTATTATTATTATACAATTGATCAAATTATGATCATGGACTGGATACTGATATTTATTAAGGGATAGTAATTGAAAATAATTATTTGCAGTAATCATGTCACGTATGTTTGTTTTTTAACACTCCACAATTATAATCACTAAATGTATTATGTTCATTTTAGTACTGTAAAAATTGATGATTTTTTTTTATATAGTGCAACGCTTTATAGTTATTACATAGAATAATTTTCTAATGTTTTTGTAAAATTCGTCTATTTAACAGGTCTGTAGTTTTCGCATACAAAACGATGTCTAGAACGATGTTGGTGAAAATTTTCGTCAATATTTAATCAGCTGTGTTCAGAAATAAATTAATGGCAAAGAAAAATATCACAATACAAAGGCCCGCAAGTACAAAATATTGTCATAAATACTTTAAACCTTGTAATAATTACATCTTTTTATTTTAATGATAGTTAATAATAATTTGGTTAACACCCTTCTTGTATACGCATTTAATAATAGACATTTTTTATTTCCGCATTTTTTTTTTTAGAAAAAATATATTTAAATTTTATAGAACAATTACATTTATTTGTTATAGAAATTAAGATCAGTATCGAGTTCTAAACATTGAGTATTATATATTATAAGGGTTCGAGAGCATTCGACTGGCAATTGACAGATCCTTGGTTCGAATTCAAGTCATCTGCAGACATATGGTAGCGTTTATTTTAACTATAATTCGTGAAAAAAAAAATAATACTCGGACTTAGAACTCGAGCTTTAGCAACGCCAAACATTTTAGCACTTCTTTCCCATTAATTGCTTATACTTAATTTGTTATGTCAAAGGAGATAATATTTTACAAATATTGATGACTAAAGTGTTTACTTCTGGCCTAAATCATGATTGAGTTTGGAGAATCCATTGGTAAAAAAATTATCGTTTTTTTATTCACAAAATTAAAAAACATCTTTGTAAAATACCTGATACTTTAATACTTTACTTAATTTTTTGAAATTATTTTTTAAACAATTATTCTCTATTGATTTTAAAAAATCCACATTTCGTGCACCCTGAGAATTAAATAACGATGTGACATCTAAAGTCAAAGACTGACAAAATCGGACATGGCTTCGTCATTTCATACTTGTATTAAATATAACTAAATTTTAATAATATAAATTATAAAAATAATATTAACAATTTGTGTTTTAATCACAATAACATATGCCTTTCAGAATTGGCATTTTTGCAAGCTTATTTCTAGGTAAACAATCCGCTTGGTGGCCGTATTTATTTATTCGGAACACTTGACCAATAATGGTAAACTGCTGTTTACTACTGTCATCTTTTTTACTGCTCATGCCCAATGTAGCTTCAAAATATCCTTCTCCGGGAGTGGCTTTGAACGTTACTTGCACTGACCTTTCAAAAACTTTATTGTTGTCGTATCTTTGTGGCGCTTCGTATAGATAAGCGTCTTCGACGAAAGCCAGTTGAATTTTTGCACATTCCTGTAGATCATCCAATAACTCATTAAAATATCTGAAAATATAATATAATATTTTTATCAATTTCGGTTTATTAAAAAGTAATTAAGAAACTGATAATAATTAAATTGAAATGTTAGATTATTGAGGTTGCGGAGCGTGTTGATAACTAGGTTATGTCTATGAATATGACTAGGTTATTTAGTAGGAAGTATATTTGAGTATCATTGGTGAAATTTCGCATGGAAATATTGAAATTGTTGAATTAATTCGATAGTATGTTTGGCAATTAAGGCATTTTGAATTTAGAAGACACGAAACATACTACTAGAGGGTCCTATTGCTTTGTGTAGACCAAAATTAAAGGAAAAAACTACTAGAAGCAGTCAGCAGATAACGCAAGAACTGAATTTCCACAATGGTGCACTCAGTCATGACAGCTTAATAGAAAACTAGAGATATTTTTTAAGATGATATTTCTGTAAGTATATTATAAATACTAAACGATGACTGGGGGGGGGGGTGCGAGGAATGGGATAAAGAGCCCCTCCTCCCCTGGACGAAAAACAAATATTGTTGTGCAATTTAAATAACAGAATCGGCCTTGTAAATAAATAAATCACCACAGGTCATACAGTTGTTGTTGTATGTAAAAAAAAGGACACACCAACCTTATGACTTCTTTCGAGGCGGCAACACTGTACGGGTGTTGTGGGCCAAGTTGTTTTTGTTGGCCTTCGTGACATACGCAAATCCATTGAGGTATGCCGGCTGCGTTGCAATCTCTGAACAGCGGTACAGGATTAAATAAGGATTGTCCTGCACTAGGAGTTGCAAAATGGCTTTTGACATTACTGTCATTGATTGCATCTAGTAATCCTTGGTCAATGGCAGTCGATGCGTTTTCGTTATTCAACGTGCTCAACACATGTCTAAACGTGGCATAAATGTCGTAGGTAGATGTCAGTCTCATACGGTTCTCTCGGAGAGATTCTCTCCACGAAGGATACTTATCCTTTACCCATTCCGGTGTTATAACGGTGACCATTGGCATACGGTCTTCAATCGTTCCCACCTTGGTCCGACGGATGAAATCCATACGATTACCATGGTCACCGAGCACAAATATTACCGTACGGTTGAATAGTCCCTCGTCGAAGGTCGATTTCAAGAACTTCATGTAATCCAAATCGATTACCTAGAGAAATAATTATTGTTTGAATGTATAACATGGTGATGGCACAGAATAGATACAAGCAGAAGGTTCACTCTTAAAGTAAAATTAAACGTGACGGCCATATTGAAAGGGCACACAATGACCGTACCCGTTCCTTTTCTTATCTATTTAGTACTACCAGTTTAAAATATTGATGTTACGGTTTGTATTTCATAAAATATAATTGTTTAAATTAATTATAACTTAAACTTTTTAATTGCTAATACATATTAAAACCTCTTGAAGCAATGTTTCTAGTCATTACATTAATTTATAATAGTTTATAGTCAAAACAATAATTGATTTTATTGTTTTGACTTTCGTATAAAAATTATATTCTACTTTTAGTTTTACGAAAATGGTCACACTGCGACGCTCTAAGACTATGGCCGTCGCGTTTTTATGTGATAACTGATAAGTATCTTCCCCGTGTTAATTTTTATCAGTGTCCGGGGGCCTGGTGATGATAACAATTATTGACCAACACATTATTTTTACTCACTCCGACAGTGTTGACGAAATCGTGACTGACTTCGTTGAAAAGCGAAAACAAGAATATCGGCGAGTCTCTGTAAACCTTGATGAACGATTTCAAATAATCGAAATAAATTAAATGTTTTGGCGTAGGTCCTAGACAACCGGGCGAACTCATCTTGTACAACATGGATTGTTCTACGGCTAACCAAAATGTGCGCATGTAGTGTAACGTCGGTTGTGACGTTATCCCTTTGGCCAAATAGTCAAACATGTTAAACTCGGGCTGATCTTCCGCATAAAGAGTTGCCGCGCCAACACCGTCGAATTGTTTCCAAACATAGGGCCAATCCTGTTGAACATAATAAAATATTCGCATACTCTAAGCATTCTATATTGTGTGTTTTGTGTAGAACTCACATCGAATCTGTTGTTGTGCTCGGTGATAAAGGAACGTCCGGTCAACATAGGAATTACATTCGGAAACGTATTTTCGCCGACCTTTGTGAAACCGTACATGACATCACCGTCCATTCGTTCGGTAATGAAATGATACGAGTTTGGCATCTGTCTCATGAAATTCAGTCGAGATATCGAGTCGATACCGAGGACGGCTACTCCCAATTCAACGTCGTTCTATTATTTAAAAACAGATAATAAAATGTCACTAACGTGAAATAAACAGATAACGCTGAACACGCTTTGTAATACAAAGTCACATTAAAATTGAGTTTATTATTTAAAAAATTGGTTTATTCGCGTTGCCCAAAATTTGAGAACTTAACTGATATTTTTTTCAGAAAGCTGAGACAATTTTACATAAAATGTGTAAATTTCAAACCGGGTTTTCCACAAAAACGGAAAATTCTCTTATTTTTACACATAACTAGATCAAATATTTTGATTACTGTGGTCGTTTCTTTCCGTGAAAATTAAATTTCGCCTTTTTTTTATTTTCCTAACCGTTTTTATGGAGAACCCAATTTGAAATTTACACATTTTATGTAAAATTATCTTAGCTCTCCGAAAAAAATATTGGAAAATTTCTCAAATTTTAGACAACACGAAAAAAAACATTTTTTTAAATTATAAACTCAATTTTAATGACTTTTTGTTACTCGAAAAAATCAATCGATATTTTTTTTCAGAAAGCCGAAATTATTTTACATAAGAAACTGATTTTTAATCATTTTTTTGTTTATGGCCGAAGATACTATAAAAAAATTATAAAAAAGAAGTGTCATGAAAAAAATTAAAATATACTTTTTTTACAATCATGGCCAAAATAATCGAAAAAAAAAAATCCAAATAAATTTGAGAACATTTTTTCAATCGTCTTTGATGAAAGATGATGAAAATCTCCTGTTCTATTTCACAAAACAACTAAATCGTCTTATCTGTGATAGTGGTTACGGCCTATTTATGCTTACTTTAAACTTTCTGACTTCCGGTTTCCGTCTGGCGTAAGCGTGGAAATTGCTGTAAACTGTTAAACCCAAAAAGTTGGTGCATGAAACGAAAACAAAATCCGTCTTTGGTTCGTGCAGGCTGACCATGGGAATTTGTGGACCGTATTCCACGTGGAAATCGTCATCTTTCGGTCGATGAATTTCTTGGTAGTAACAGTGTAGCGCGTTTGACTTCAACGAGTATCCGGCTTCTTCGAACCCCGAAGAATTGAATTGCAAAAGCCCGGTGTTCATGTCGATGTACGTCAGACGATAAGACCTTTCCATACATCTGCGAAACGTGTCGAAATTATAGTTTCTGTGAAATTTAATCGCCACTAACCAGTTAGGTGCAGAGTATTATATTGTACACACCTTATGGGTTTTGGTATGAAAACGTATTTCAAAATAGACGGGTGAAACGGATGAAGTATTGGAAACTGACAGCTAACCCGTGGGTCTCGTTCGGTTAAATTCTGTACAGGAAAATGCAAAAATATATAAATATCGATATCGTAATGTATTTTATTTGAACAACATATTTTTGTAGTTTTCCGATGACAATGTATAAAATTGGTACCTACTTACACTGTAAATCACTAAATGTTCTAATTTCGGCCTTATCAGTTCTTTTTGAATGTGATATACAGTAACTAAAGCTTTAAAAAACAAAAATATAATACATTTATAAGTCAAGTACCTAATTAATAATATAACTAATTGCTATTTATAAATACAAATCAAGAGCTTTCTCGATGATCTGATTGATATAAATAGAATAAGAGTATAAAAGTTGAATCTGAAAGGTATGAGGTTCGCGTTGTGTAAAAACAATATGAAAAAAAAAATATATTAATTTCTTATTAAACCCTATGAGATATTGAGTGGCCCATGATAAATAAATCCCCTATATAGACTGATAGGCACAAATAAAACATTTGCTTAACACAGTGGTAAAAGAGGTGATCGTCGAAATAAAATATAACTCCTAAACTTTTGTTTAAAAAAAATCAAAATTTTTTTTAAGTGGCCACATTGTATTAAATGGTATGTAAAACTATTGTTGAATATCAAATAAAGATTATAACTAACTCAAATTGTGTTAGGAAAATCTTAGTTGGTTTTAAAATCGCCCATCTGAAGAAATTATTTGTTGTTTTTGAAAATTTTCAAAAATTGCTTTTATATCTGCGTGTTGTTCAATTTTAAATATATCTTAATAGTTAATGCATGTAATTTTATATTACTTACCTAATGTTATAACAAAAATAAACAAATATTGAATGGTGTAGAAAGGTTCTTTTATTTGCTGATTTATCTTCTTATACTTCATGCTACTTGATACTGGAAGTGGAACTGGTTAGCATAGTAGATTTGTGTACTACAAGTCCACGAAATAACGTCTTTCCTGTTTGAGACAAAAAATTAGTTACAAGTCTAAATATTTCAAACGACTTTTATGGTTAGTTAGTAACGCTAAAATAAACAATACAGGGTGACTAATTTTGTAATTTCCTGGTTTAAATTGTACAAAACGCTTATTGTTTTTTAGAAGAAGTGTTTATTTAGATAAAAGCTATTTTATTTCAATGATAATAAACTGTAAGAGTCTTGTTGACTATTTTTTATCTATGACAATAGACTTATTGTTATATGATTATCAATAATATCAAGTTAAAGTGTAAGTGCTTTAAATTATCTAAAATGGCTCCTAGGAACTATAGTCTAGACAAATTAATATTAACTAGTTTTATACATTCCTGGTTTGTTTTGAATACTACAATTGGTTTCCATGTACAACAGTCTGGCTTCGAATTTCTCGGTGTTTACCTAAGTTGTCTTAATATTAAACAGATTTTTGATTTGTTAGTCCTTTAGCTATACTTATATTCTAAAATAAGAGCTCATAAAAAAGGGTTTGGTATTTTGGTTTGTTTTTTTGCTGTTGCTATGGTTAAATTAATATTTTACTATGTAAACTTTATTGTCTCTTGAAGCAATGATTTGATTTTGGTTAATACTTAATATAACGCAAATTATCAGTTTATAACAAATACTAATAAATATGAAATTGCTATTTCGTGATTAATTTTGAAATAACTCACGATATATTATATACATATTTTGATTCTTAAATATTAAAAACCATTTTTAATATTTATGATAACTGTCATTTGTCAATCTTGCTCGTAATACTTCTCGAACCTTAAATACATAAAAAATAAAATATGTATAAAAAGTAGGAGTTCTCGTGTTGTTCTTAATTTATAAATTGGATTTACTTTAGAACAACACCTTAGTGACATTTTGCGTATGAAGCATACGAGGCGATAACAAGTCGAGAACTAAAATAATCATTTTATTTGAGATTAAATAGTTATATTTTTGAAAAATATTATACATTTTAAATCGTAGACATGCGTTTCATTAATTATTTGGTCGAATTAGTAAATAGGAATCTTTAAGTATTAACATTCTGGTGCACTCAGCGCAATAGGGGTTTTCATTAAAAATAAACTGGAATGAAATTCACATACTTCACTTTTAAAAATATAACAGTAAAAAATAAAATAGCGAAAAAATAAAACGTGTGCAGTTTAAAAATATACTTTTAATGATTTGGTTTAAAGCAAAAATGGGTAACTTGAATGACGGCCAAGCCACGTACAACGTAGTTGGCTAATGTGCAAGGATGCAGTTAACCAGTTAATGGCAAATTAATAGATATTTGATAGGTTTATAAAGCGATTCGTAGGTTGGTTGGTTGATCCATGTTTGCAATTAAAATATAACATAATGTGTAGATAGTAGAGTTTTAAACAAAAACATTTTTTCATAACTAGCTTGTACGCCAAATCGAAAAAAGGACTTCAAATTTCCGACCATAATTAATAAATGCTCAAAAAAAAGTAAACGTCGACCTTAGCTTAACTAATTTTTTTTTACAATATTATGATCTCACGAAATTGGAATTTAAAAATTTGTACGTTTTTTGAATGGGAATATTTTTTAATTTGAGCATTCCAATCGCTGACCACCTAATTATTAACTGTGCCCACTGAATTGTTACTCTATTTAATTCTTAGTATGTTAAATTTAAACTTTACAATAATTGTAATTATTATAATAAGAACGATGTTCACTTGCGAACATTTTACTTTCCCCAACCATATCTAGAATAACACCCACTGATTATTATTAAACAACGTTCTGCAGTAGTATTTTTTTCTTTATTTTTATTTGAGATGAATAAGGAAATATACCAACGTGTTAAAATTACTTTCGACAAATTGTTTGCTTACCTTTGGTAAATTATTCAACACTGAACAAAACCAGAATAAGAACAATGACCTCTGTTTTTTTACCGTCACATACGGCGTTTCAAAATATATTTTTTACATATAATTAGGGGAATTTCACTAATATTTTAGTACAACACGTTTAGTTTCGATGAGATGCTGTCATCTACATGTTTTGTTTGACAATAATTTCTTTTTTTCTTTTTTGAATGTACTTATAATTTATTATCAATAAATGGTTTTGAAAGTTTGGTATTTTTTATGTATGCGCAAAAAACTGACTAGATTTGAAGATAAGGTAAGTTGTGGTGTTCAAACTTAAAAGTTATGAATCAAAGGATAAATAAATAATAATACTAAAACCGAACATTATAAAAACAATATCATATTAGTTTGGTATTAAAAAAAAATAAATTAACATATCTTTATCAAAAATGTTAACAGTGACACATTGGCACATTGACAGTCAAAATTAAATTTGTATACCACAGTCTACTGAACTTTTAAGAGTATCTAGGTTGAACTATGGTGAATAAACGATGTCGGGCTAGGAGGGAAGCAAAGCGAAAGCGTTCCCCTCCCAGTCTGGGCAATTTAGCGATAAAAAAAAACTCCATACTTCACGTATAATAGTAGTTTATTGCCAATATATTATTTTTATAAAAAAAAACTAACGTTTATAAAATATTTTCATTATAATACGCTCTCAAAAAAGTATTAAAAAATATATATATTGACGTTTTGAAATTTCTGGATAAGTAATTATTATGGATAGTGATTATTTTCGATATAAGTATACTAAACGGATGATATAAGTGGTTTTATTATAATTTTTTCATAGAAACGTTCAATAAGTTAATAGTGAACATATTTAAATATTCTTGACGTCGACGGTCGAGAAAACATTGATTAATTGAATTAATATATTAAACTCATATAATAATTCACAATTTAAATTGTGTGTGTGTTTTTTTTTTGTTCTATTTCACAATTTTAAATAAAAAAATATCTTTTATTTGGGCAAACGAATGAGTTTTTTCACATTTATAAGATAGTATAGTTTATAGTTGTTATTAGCAGGTTGATAGGTACTCTCGTATGCACGCATTGCATGCATTACATTTTATGGAACAGTGAAGTAATAGTTTGCACGCCATCTAATTTTGTTTTGATCTCATTTAACGACTCTATAGTCTAGTTATCTATTTAATATCTAATTGAAATTAATTTACTAATGCAAAAATACAATATTTATAAATGCTTAAAAACAAGCGTAGGTAACACTATTCATTTTATAGCTACATATTATTTATTTATATTTTGCTTGCAACGAGAGAAGTTAATTATTTCATTGTCGTTAAAAGCTTTTGTCAGTCGACGTTCGCAGTGTTTCACATTCCAAAGTAAAAACTCGATTGTACTTATAGCAAAATAAAAGCTCTTCATATTTTATTGTATTTTTTTTTAGAATAAATAAAAACAGAGTATTGGCGGTTACAATAAACAGACAAATACACTTAACATAGTTTTTATACAGCTTTTCCAACTTTTCTTTTCGCGAAAATTAAGGGGAATAAATATTTTTTCATTTATAATTCCTCAGTTTTTTTGGATTATTTTCAAAATGTCTCTACACGCCTCTACTACTTAGTAATATTCCACGAAACCAACTATTAATACAAACATTCGCCTTTTAAATAATAAATAGTGTACGCATTTAAAATCTATGTGTTTTATTTACAAAGACCTTTGGAATAATATGTTAACGATTGTTATGTTATTTTTTAATTTTTTAATAATATATAATGACCGCCATACGGGTGGGCGCACGTTTTGCCGTCACCGATTCTCGTTAGCTTTAAGTCGATAATAGTGATTAATAAGTAAGCACTTATTTTATTTTTAGACCTCGACTTATATAATTAATACTTTACATATTTTATATTTATAAGTTAGTTTAGAACTGCAGTACAATTTTATCGGGTTTATTAAACGCAGTATAATAAAACAACCTTGTTTATCTGTTTCATAAAATGTATTAGGAAATTTAGAATATCTGAGATTTTCAGGTGTATAAACTATAGAAATTACATATTGGTAGACACGATTTTGTCTGTAGATCATAATTTACTATTTTAAATATTTGTTTGTGTGATATAATTAAAATTGTTACGCCACTGTTTTACCTGATAACAAGCAAAAAAATATACTTTAAATTCATTTTCTCGGTATTTTTGAAATAATAATTTTACTATGTTGCCTGACACAACTTTGAAGCACACTAATATTGCCGTTACATAAAAAAGTAAAATTTTAGACACAAAATACAGAAATATTTTTTTTCGGTGGGCTGTGATAATATAACCAGTCAAGAAAAAAGATTTTTTTTTAAAATGGAATTTATACATACAATTTTTAGTCAGCAAAAATAGTTTAATTACTTAAAATTTAAAAAGTTATTTTGGTGCCTAGTTATGTAAAGTCTTACAAACATTTTTAACCTATATGAATTTGAAAAAACTTACCTTTTTTAGATCAAAATAGCATATTATATTATTATGAGATAACTCCAGGTGTGTTTTTTTGGCAACGGACTGTGCAAGCTCATCACAACTGCATGCGTACAAATTTTCCGGCAAAACAATTAAAATCATTAAAATAAACCGTCGGAAGTCGTGAATAACGCAATTGGAATAATAATTTAAATGGAATCGAATTATTTTATTGAAATTCAAAATAATGATAAAAAATTTCACAGTCGACGGGAAAACACTGAACGGTGTATGTCTTCACTCTTTTAGGGGCAAAGCAGTACATACAACAACGGCACTCTGCGCAGTTGTGTGCATATCATACTCAGTGTTGTGTTAGCTGCTGGTAGTAATCACACTGCATATATATATATATATTTAACATGACATTTACAAACACACATACATAATATTATAGTTAACACTTAGATAAGTCGTTGTATATTATTATGCTGGTGTCATATATATTTTTTTTATCTACTACTATTTTTTTTTTGCATGAAAAATAATAATATATTATTGTTTCCCGGTAAATTTGAATAAAATAAATCTGAAATTTTTACTGCCAAAAAGATACGACCGTTATATCATTTTACTAGGTCGAACGATTTTATTTTTTTTACTCACACAATGCCATGACGAGTCACATGAGTTCGCCGCAGTCGTGTTTGGCCGCCAACAGTAATGTTTAAGAATAACCGAATCATCATTATTTATATTACATAGGTAGTTAAATATACACACGACGGCCAAGTGCACACATGAATACATATGCATACATTGTTACACTTTAAAACGAACCGTAAGTAGAAAAGTAAGAGATCACGTTAAACAATTTTTTGGTATATTTGAAAAAAATATCACGACAGATATGATGTGATATTATATTAAATGTTATGAACGGTGGTGTATTTTGGGTTTTTTTTTAGGAAGGGGTTGTCCTGGCAATATTTTCCCCTCCATAGATATGATATTATATAGTTTGACCACAAAAGCCCACAGGCCACACACATCCATTCGAAACATTTGTTGAAGGTTTGAATTTTTTGAAACTAGTTATTATAGTCTACTACACATTTTCATGACAAAATTTCAGCGGTGAAAAAAATTAATACAATTTATGATTATTTTTGCAAGTCATAAGATACAGTGATCCAATCAGTGACTACTAATTCTATGGTTTTATATGGTTTTCTGTTAATAAGACAATATAATATTGGTTCTAATTTTCTTTTTTGATTAAATATTTAAAACGTTAATGTCGATGTTTAAGCTGACACAGGTGTAAAGTCCAATGACAAAAAATAGGCAAGAAAAATGTAAAATAAAATAACTATTTAGTTTAAAAATATATTGATTTATGGATAATAACTAATTTAGTATTCTAATTAAATCATTTAATTAGTTAATTAACTTAAATTGAGTTCATTACAAAATTAGGTTTGTGCCTAACATTTGATATGGTTTTTGCATAATTATACTAATTATTTATGTTCTACGATTGATTAATTAATTATAGGTACTTATATTAAAATTAAAAATAGGAAATAATTTGAATAAATTATATATATATATATATATAACAAAACAAATCGTGGGCGTTCAATTAAAAGAATATTGATTACTGCCTAATTATAACTAATTTATCATTAAACAGTTTAATATTGGAAAATATAATCATTAAAATGTTATCATTTCTACAACAATTTATTTTGTAAATTACAAATTATTAAGAGAAGTATTATGTATGTCCATAGAAATGCATTTAAATTTTATTTTGTGATTGACTTTCTGTAAAGCTTATAAAACATTCCTAAGTACCAATTGATACATTTTGTTTGAACGTGTAATTATAATAAAATTTAAATTGTAATAATATTGTAAAACATGAATAAATTATTATTGACAAATAAATAATAATAATTGATAACTTTCCTATAATGTATCTGTTTGTTAGTCAATGATGGAACAAAGAATATTAAATAAGTGTAGTGAACGAGTATAATTACCTAATCATGTTATTAATAATATTTTATTTTTATAATTAATTGTTGTTCTCATTAATCAATTTTTAGAATAGTTTTCCTTGTACATGTTTTCGTTTTATGTAGCTATACTAATCTAAGACACTAAGTGGCTCATGTTGAGTGAAATATGTACTATTCCATTGGTCCACTATGTAAGTCATGTTTTACATCAAAAGACGTTTGTTTATACTTATGTTTCGCGACGAATAAAAACGACGTAGACGATTCTATAATGGAAATCTAAAAATATCGAAGGGACAGTAATAATTGAGATTTGATTTTATATGGGCCATCTGGCAACGTGAAAAAAGATAAAACAATTATAAGAATCGTAACAATTACTAAAAGTTCCACTAAAGAACATTTTTATATCGACCGGCTAATGTCCATTGTCGGGTGGCAGATGGAATAACTTTGGTCTGTTTGATATTAACGCAATATTTGAAAACTTTGACAGTATTCAAATATTTGTCAACATTATAATATTGTGTATGACCTGTTTTATACATGATTGGTGAACGGGTTCAAGATGAATTTGATAGATAATACTAAATACACCGTCCTAAAAAAAAATTGGGTATTGGGGGAATTTAACCACTAGGCACACCTCTAGATGCTAGCCGCTGGCTTTGAGTGAGTGAATAGTATTATATTATGAACTATAGAATTTGAAATAAATAAGTACAAGAATAACAATATTCAAATACTTTAACTTGAACGTTCTAGTTCTTTATTAAAAGACACAATTATAATTATTAGTTGGAGGTCATTCCAATGAACACAATCTATCAAAAACGGATGGGCCAATTAAACTCAAACTTTGTTGACTTGTTATAAATATATATTTAAAATTACAATTTAAATCGTAAAGTAATATTATAAGAATAGAAATAAAACCTTTATAAAAAAATGGTATTGTACGTCAAAACTATTATCCAAAAATATTATTTTTAATGCGTATTAAATTAAAATTGATACCGAAAAAAATAAGCGAAATGAATATTAAAATGAAAGGTACTTTTATACTTATTTTATATTTATAAAATAATGTAATTGAAGGAAATGTCAAAATTGGAATACACATAATTAATTATCGAAACCAGACAGCAGTAACCCTTTAATAAAAAGCACCAGCGAAAATAAAGGTTTCTTAGATCAGAAACTTTTTTATGCATTGTTTATTTTAACCTGCCGTTGGATCTTCAATTCTGTGTGAAGTAGTGTTTTAAAATACAAAATGGAATTTCTTTATTTTTTAGAGGCAAGATAATATGTTGTAACTTGCTTCTTCAATCATACAAATACACACAGCACAGTAAATAAAAATATTTTTTTTTACTAATGATGAATCAAAATTTTTGATTGGCTGGGTGTCGAAATCGTCAATCATCAATCCAATTGTCACTCTTTAAAGACTGTCATTCAAGATTGATCGTGTATAACCGGCTTTATATTAGGTCCTGGTACTCCCAAATCGTTCATAGGTTATTGTGATGGTTATTAACATAGCCAGTATATAAGTGTCAATGCCACTTGGCGGCATTCTCGATAAATTGTAGCCATAGCGACTAAGTTCTCGATATTATATTGTATTTAATAAGAGGACACCACACATACCGCTTTTTAAGGGGTTTTAAATAGGCAATTTAAAAAAAAAATACTAATTCTGAATTAAAACTGCAATGTACAGTAATGCGGTTTCTTTATTTATTTAAAATTCAAGTTACCATCGAGCATCAAAAAATAATTGTTTTCAACTTAATTTACGCCTAAAAAATAATTATGAAATAGAATAAAACTCGTCAAGAAAGCTTAGTACATGGATATAATATTATATCTTAATCTTTCTATTATTTATTTTATTTTTATTTGATAAATATATTCAGAGATGTGTATGGAATGCTAACCCTAGTTTTTGCACGAAAAAAATATATGTAAAATATCTCTTAATAATAAAATCGTTTTTTTTTAAATAAAATTTTAATATATGAGAAGGCGGTCTTAATTGATTTAGACGTTTTTTAAAAGCATCGCTTCATTTAGAGTCAGTTAAATTTAAAAATTACATAAATGGCCAGTACACATGTTAGTACCTACACTTACACTATCGATTGAAAGTTCAATACTTAGTTTTTTTTATAATAATATAATTTACAAATATGTTGAAACCTGAATAATCTGTTTAAATACAAATGACATACATATCACGTACGTTTAACACCTCATTGCTAAACGACACAATTGCAGGTGTTTTGAATAGTACAATGTGGGTAAAATAACAGACAAAGTACACACCACACCGTATAGCGTACACATCCTGCAATAGGCACTATCTGAAAAGAAATACAATAAAGGTGCTATCCGAACGTGAACGTATTGTTGTTAGTTTGTTTTCACTTTTCACATTATTCATTAGTATTATGAAATTTACATATTACCAGTATGATACGATATGGGTCTTCGTCGATAAAGTTAACACTATAGGCCTTAGGTGTCACTATAAGAAAATGAACTTGGAAAGGGGGACGTTTTAGCTTCCCTAATTTTGATTAAAGCCCTCAAAAATTGATTGATAAAATACTTGATATTAATAGATAACAATAATATTTAACGACCGTAAATCAATGATCTTAAACCCCCTCCCTTGTTTGTTTTATTTTCAGGGTAAATTTTATCAGTCAAGAACTAAAAGTTTGTCAAAATTGTTGTCTTTTAAATTATAGTGGGACTGACCCACGATATATTTTTATTTAGCGGACAGATTTTTTTCATGTAGCCAATATAATGATTAGAAATTGTGGACCGAAGCCACTGTTTAAAGCCAAAAGTTAAAATAATTACTCCTTCCTCATTTAAAATCGAATAAAAAGCACTACAAATTGAATTATAGTTCAAGTTCACACTTGTATCTTTCCCAAAAATAGTATGATTATTACCAAATGTATTTGGAAAATTCTCTACTTATATCACAACTGCAGGCATAGTGTTAAAATAAAAACAAATATCATAAGCCTTTTGTTTTAGAAAAAATATTTGGAAGTTGTTTCTATACCTATTTGTTTTTTTGGGGGGGAGGGGGTAAATCGGAAACACTCCAAAAATATAAATAAAAAAAAACTAAAAAACTTTAAGTCAAGTTTTTTTTTGATAAAAAACTTAATAGAAAAAAAATTGTAAATAAATTTACAATGTGTATGTACCTATAATGATTTGTGTGTATATTTCATACATGTTTCTCCATCAAAGCATTTATCTAAAGGTGTTTTCATAAAGTGTAACGTTTGGAAGATAATTCATACTTTACAACAGGCAAAACGATGATATGGACAAATGCCGTCACTGCTAGGAATTTATGACTTACAATAATGTGTTTATGCCGGATAAAGCGTGGTTTGTTTTGCATTTTAATTTAACCACGTACCGCTTGCGTTCCGTGATGTTGCATATTATGGTAATATCAAAATAATTCTAATATTGTTATAGTAACGGTTCATTTATCTAACCAACAGTTTCAACCCGTGTCGATTAGATAAGTACACCAATTGTTATTTATATACTATAATATTACATACTAATATTGATTTGCAGTAGTATTTAGCTTCACTGAATTGTTAACAATGATCTACGGGGGACAACGTCCAAAAGCCTCGCGACCTCCGAAATTGGAAATGGCACCGTTCAGTAAAACATACAAAGGACCTAATCCATATAGCTACGCTATCGTACGTCATTATATAAAAGCAATACTTATTACTTTGATTTGATTTATATAATTAATATTAGATTATATTCCAATTAGACGAAGATAAACAAATGATACCTAATTAGTAATATAAGGTGTTATACATCTTCTGTAATGCATAATTAATAATACATAGATAGTTATTTCTACAACTTTAATTTTTTATTTTTTTCTGCATACAAAATTGATATTTAAAACGCATTGGGGCAGGCGAGGATTTAGGTTTTTTTTTTGGAAAGGATCCAGTTGAAATTATCAGTTGACGGAAAAATTAATTTTTCTAAATTATACCACTGCACAAATGCACAAAAAAAAAATGAATAAATGTAAATATCCTACTTTTATTGCAATTATTAAACATACCAAGTTAAAAGAAACGTTTAGTTAAAAAAAAAATCTAAAAATATATAAACACTATTTAGTATGAATATACCTAGTATTAAATTTAGATAAATCTTTTTGTTTAAAACTAAACAATTTCTAGTAATAATTATTATCACTTAAAATCAGATTGTTTGAAAACCCCAATTATATTAATAATTCTGTTTCCAAATTCCAAACATTTTAAAAATACTAATATTTCTATTATAAAAAAAATACAATGCGTGTTGAACTAGTATGCTTGGCAAGTACAAGATTGTATTATAATATGACCTAGTCTTAATCGAGTACTTATCGTCGCTTTTTCTAAACTATTCATAAGTATTGTCAACACTTTTAAACATGACCGGTGCATCAGTAGATAATTAATTGTACGGTTTATTTTTTAGGTCGCCAAACAGCCAGGATGTAATTATAAGATACGTCTTCGTGACATGGAGCGAGTGAAGCTGGAAACATATAGAATAAAAAACGAAGAAGAATTTAAAAGTTTAATGCGACATCATCAGCACAAAGAAATGATCGAGGCGGCTGACAGGAAATCCATTTACAACCAGATCAAGCGGATGGTCGATTGTGGAATGAAGGCTAACGAACATTTGTTAGTCGAACCATGTCCAACGTGAGTGGATTTTAATTTTACCTATATAATATATTATCGACCAAAAAATCTCAATTAAGGAGACTTCCCTAAATATAAGAGGAAACTATACAGGTATTTAAATTATTGGATGATGGTCATAGGATTTTTCTACTTGCCCTAAAACTATTTTGAATACGTTATATTTATCGATGATAAATAAGTGTATCGTTTAGTATATTATAATTATAATACTTAATAGCATTAATTATAAGTAATTTTAGACCAGAGCCAATAGCAGAAAAAAACAACGAGCGGCCTCGCACGCCCGTCGAAGATTTAAAAGAAAAAGCCCAGTTACTAAAAAAACAAAAGGAGAAAGAAGATCAACAAATCGTCGACAAGAAAAGATTACAAATGTTAATGTAAGTTAGAAAATGCATACAATTTCGGTAAACTTTACAAAAGCTCATGTGAACAAAAGTCATAGTATAAAAATATTATAAAAATCAAGAGACGTGGTCTCCAATCTACATATTAAGTATAATGGTATGTAATATTTTATCTAGAGACAATTCTGAAGAGGTGAGGACCGCTGCGGTACTAAGGCGGACCAAGGAAATTTCTAATATAAATTACAAAATACTTATGGACAATGAAAACCTGAGAAAAGAGCAAAAGATCAGAAAGAAAGAAACGGACGATGTTAACCATGTGGAAACGATTCGACTGCTAGTGAGAACTATAATATGATAACGTTTTTATCTAGATGACAAATTGTTGCTTAGCAGTTAAATTTATATATTATACCAATTACTGTGTGTAAGGCTTGTGAAAAACAAAACGAGAGACAAAACGAATGGGAAAAGAAAATGAAATTCAAAAAAGAGTTAACGGAACAGGTGGAACTAAAGAACAAGTTACGAAAGCAAAACGAGGAGGCCAAAAGAATTGAACAAGAGGAAATGAAAATGGCGATAAAAAAACTAATTGAGGAACAAGAACAAAATGGTAACCGTTTAATATTGGTTACTGTTACTGTTTTTTGTATTTTTTTTATCTTCGCTACTTCTTCGTCTTATATCATTGAAGTGTGGTTGTTCAATCGTACCTTGACTCTCAATAAATCTCTATTCCCTATTCCTTCACTATTTTTTTATTCACTCCACACATCCGCATCTACATATAAAATCTACCCACTTTTTTTTAGGTCTAGCTCTATAAATAAATTTCATTTTCCACCGTTCTCTTACAAAACTGATCTCAAATATTTAAATTCTCTATACTACTTATGTCATATTGTCTAGGGCCTAAGGAAAACCAGGTTATATACTTCCTTCCTATAACTCCTTGTAACTAAGCTCAATCTTTAAGTGCTCCAATGCAATCCTCCTAACTTTACCAAGATAATGTTTATATACCACAGAAAAAAATGAACGAATCAAAAATCACACTAAAACTGTGGAAGAGATCAATTGGTTTATCGAAGCAAGATCCAACTTGTTAATGGAAAAGAAGAACGCTACAGAAACGTTTGACGAGACGTTCGCACTTACCATGCGAAACGCCTTACAAAACGATGCCAAGGAAGCGATGGAAGCAAAGGCTCGTTGAATCATGCTTGTGATAACATTATTTTCTCGATTAATAATAATAATTACAAACATTGTTGTTTAGAAGCGGATAAAATTGGAAAACGAGCTTTTCATAAAACAACAAGAGGCCATCAACGAAGACCGCAGAAGGCGTAACGAGGAAATGTCAAATTTGATTTTGAAGCAGATGAGAGATATCGAAGAAATGAAACTCTTAGCCGAGCAAAAGACAGACAATGCGCGCAAAAAACGGGCTGAAGTATATAGTTATATATTTACAACTATTTGATTTAAAATATTTGTGTTATTATCACATGCGGTTAGTAATTATTATGTAACGTCACAACACATATTTTGTTTTAGGAAAACAACAGAGTCTTACACGAACAGTTAGCAGCACACAAGAAATATCTTGTCGATCAAAATGAACTAAAGCGTAAATTATTCCAAGAGTCGATGAAACAATACGAATGTTATTTAAAAGATTCAAAGGAACAAAGGGAAAATCAAATTAAATCAAAATGCCAGTTCCGAAAAGAATTGACCGATCAAATAGAATTCAGGAAACAAATAGTTGTAAGTATTTATTTTACAAGTTGTTCAAATTGTTTAAGCACATACAAAAAAAATGTATTCTATTTTATTCTTACCGTGTTAAGTGATTTGTACAAATTTTTTTTTAGGAAAAACAAAGAAAAATTGATTTAGACAATCACGAAAAGTGTATGATCGAAATAGAAAAACAGGAAGCGCTTCTGAAATCTTTAACTAAACTTTGAAGATGGGTATCGTTCGTGACTCCGAACTGATTTACATTTTTTATACATACTTCATTTCCAAATTCACCGGTTGGGCAAATCGCAATGCAAAACTAATAGAAACAATAATTAAAAAGTACTTTTACGAGTTTCTTGAGTGCGTCGTCTCTTTTTAGTTATACTAAATGTTTTGTCATTATTTTTCATCGGTTTCATAACCAAATTCGATATGCTGCACGATTTTTTTTAAATAGTCCCTTGTTGTTTACTAAAAAACTTCTCTTCTAAAGACAATCCCAGTTAAATTCAACTATGCATTAAAATTTTTTTTTTTTTTGAGTTTCAGGTATTTTTTTTAAATTATCTTAAAAATGAATGTGCTCTCTGACCTCATCGATTTGGTTTCTGTCTCATAATGACGACAATATTCATGTGGTTGTTTTGTACCAATCAAGTTATTTACTGTTACTTATTCAGCTAATGGTAACAACAGGTTGTATCGGTATCCTACATGCATATGTAGTCGAAAATTATGAAAATTAATAATAAAAAAAACAATAGTGCGATGGTATAAGCGCACACGTGTGTTACCACATGTAAACACTGAACACACTCTATGAATATTTAATAAAAAAAACATTTACAAAATAAAATTTGTAACAATTATAAACCTATTACATTGGAATTAACAATAAATATTTTTTTTTGATAAATAAATTAAAAATATGATATAATATGCACACGTTTATATACGCACAGGTGATGAAAAAACGCTATTTAAGTCACTTAAACATCTTATAAGTAGGTGTTATATATTTTTACAGCATAAAACAGTGTACATAAGAAAAATATTTTTGATGAAAATATAAAAATAAAACACAACACCAAAAAGTTAAACTACTTTTGGATTTCGGATTTGTTGAAAATAATACCATGAAGCTTATACAAATCAACCAGTAAATTAATTGACATGATGGAAATTTATTAAAATCACTTATTTCTTAAATATTGCCTATACAAAACTCCTTAAAAACCAACTGTATGCAATCCCCTGAACTATATTTGACATAGAAAAAAAGTAATCCATATCTATGTTTAGTATCTGTTTTACTATCTATTACACGAAGTACGTCATATAGTTTTTTTTAAGTGTCAACAAAGTTTGATTATTGCACCACCATAAACAAAATAATATAATGGTTTATAGTTGGCCACTTATTATAAAACAATAATTGTGAGTTATGACAAAAACTGGGCACAAAGAATGTGCACTTGGGTTGTTAAACTTATAATATTAACTTAAGATAAAGACGAGGTATATATTTTGTAAAAATTAAGATGAAACATAATGCTCTTTAATACTGTACAGTACATATTTTTAAATGTACTGAAAATATTATTATAATCCATACAAAGCCTCGTCATTAGTTTTTCTTGACTTTATTTTTGGGATCTATTTTTTTGATGAATTTTCTGTACGCCAATTTAAGTAAAAAGTAAATCGTAAATAGCACAGCGAAGGTAATGATTGCGATAAATCCAATAACATCCACTAAATAGTATTTCCACCATGGCATCCCGACGGCCGCCGTTTTCAAATGCCTGGCTCCCTTGTGTCTTATCACGTACTCAGTCCAGTAAACAGCCGTTTCGGTAGCACTCAAAGGCCTGTCTTTGAATCTCTTCGACAATTTATTTGCATTTGTTTGATAACTGAAACAGGTGGAAATTCAGCATAATACCGCTAATACATTATCTATTTCAGATTCTAAACTGTCCAAACTTAATTTTAGCCGTTTAACAGTAAAGGTTTCATTGGTATTATCTAACCTGCTGTTGGTGATAATTGCGTTTATGGCACCGTAAAGCGATTCTCTGGTCAAGTTCTCGTATTCCAGCAAAATACCGGCTCCTTTTTCGACCACCTTCAAAATGTTTCTGGGCTGGTCGAAGAAGAACGGGATTCCTATAACAGGCACGCCAGAGTGTACGGCTTCGATTGTGCCCAATAGGCCTCCATGGGTCATGAATAAACGCACCTTGGGATGATCTAAAATGAATGATCAATATTAAAAAAATGTGATGCATTGTGATGTTAATTTATGTTGTATAGTTACTCAGAATATCTCTCTGTGGCATCCAGTTGCTAATGTACACGTTATCCGGCTTGTCTGGCATGTCTACTTCGTATTTCCATAAAACTCGGATTGGAAGCTTTGCGAATACTTCTTTGAATATGTCGAGTACGTGTTTTGGCAGTGTTGATATACGTATTAATGATCCGAATGTAAAAAACATTACTCCATTGGGCGAGTCTTCAATAAATTTCAATATATCCTTTTAAAAAATTAATTGTTTTCACAAGCTTGTTTAATTATAGGCTTAAAAACTAAAGCTGTAGGTTAAGGGTCATTTTTTTGTTAGTATACCTTTTTATAGGTCTACCTTGTTTTAAATAACCCGGTTGTGTTAATTGATTTATTTATTTTATTATTGTTATTATTTTTTTTTTAATTTTAATTGCGATCCGTCAAACGGGTCCCCCGTCAAACTACAAAAAAATATTGAAAACATTCATTCTATCAGCTGACCCTCGACAGTATTATCACAGAATAAACTAAAGGAAATCTTAAGAGCTTATCAAAACATGGTCAGACATCAAGTTGTAGCCAGTGATGCTAGAACTCAGATATTTCTATTTTTTAAATTTGTCTGTGATTTATGGCTATACTGTTCATTTATTAAATGTCGTACGCCGACAATAGTGTCGTCGCCATTTTCCGCATTTGTCGTGTGAACAGTTTAGCCACTGTCCATTTTTTGATAATTTTCAAAAGGTCGGACATGATTTTATCTCGTCCCATAAGATATGCTCCTATGGGACGATACAATATGTAAATATTGTATAGTTTCTTTTTTGTTTATTCTGTGGTATTATCACTGTCTTACTAAATCTATTATCGCCTGTTATTTCTCCTTAACAATCGTTATTCTTATCACTGTTGAATCTCTTATCAGTCGTACTCCCCTTATCAATAAACCATATTTTAACAGCCGGTTCAATAGATTAATTTAACATTTTCGGTTCCCCCCAGGCTAAAAATGTTAACCCTTAAAATGTATTTTACTTTAGGTAACGGCCTAGGCGGTTTCACGTGTATGCCTCCAATTTCCACCATGTTGGGCACGAGCGGTCGCGGTCCGTCCAGTGAAAAATGACCATTTACAAACACCATAGAGGTATTGTAAAGTATATCATTGATGTACGGAGTGTTAGGTCCGAAGTTCTCTTTCAAGAATTTATCAGCCGGCCATTCGCTATAATATTTCCACGCCATCTTGAAATATATGTAGTAGAGAGTGTTGATCACACGTTCCTTAAAGTTCATTTTACCAGCTACTTTCGTTACGATGGTGGGTATGTATGATGGATTGTCCGGTCCACCCACGCGGTCGTAACTCCAAGGTAAATGCGAACTTGAGATCATGGACAACAAAGGTGCCTTGTAATGATAGGCATAACCGACATCGCAGTCTGACCCAAAAATCTCTGTGAATACCTGCAATGAATAATGCTTTTAACAAAGTCAATGGGACTGGTAATTCCTATATAACATTTTTTTTAAGGTTGCTTTTAGTTTAACGACAAAACAATTTTTTAAATAAGCATTTTCTTTCATGACACTTATTTTACACGGTACCTTTGTCAAAATTTTCAAGTAAACCAAGCCTGGTCAACTTTTATATATTATCTCATTTATTATTCTTATAAAAAATGGTATTTCTAATCTTTTTGAAATATTCTAATTAATTTAGAAATCATCTTGTTATATGTTAGATTGGGACGAAACACATCTAATGCCTTCTTATGTCTATATTTAGTCTCTCAATCTTTTCTTGTCGTTACAGATGCCAATCAAAATCAAATGCGATTGTTATTTTATTCTTCTTGACGGTCTTAATCGTTTTTATTAGTATTGTTTTCTTTTGTAATTTATCCTATTATCATATTATGCAATCTCATCTACAAATACATACAACCATTTATAACTTAGAATAACGAATGGTCTGGATTAACAATACAATACATTGAGATGACTGAGGGAATCTCAACAGATCTATCTAAGAAGGCTATTATTATTTATTTTTGTGTGAAAAATAGACTAATTTCCGGCAAAACTCGTGTAACTACCGGCAGAAGATATTAAAATTGCATATTAGCATTACCAATCCATTTAAAACTGACACTTGAGTTTGGTGTTTATTTAAATCCAATCCATTGAATGATTACAGTTAAACTTTAAGTCGTGATCGTAACAATTTGTACTGGTAAAAACAAAAACTAAACTTTGTATACAATTAATTAATCGGTTGTATATTAACATATACAGAGATCGAACCTCCATGACTCAATTGTGTTATATAGTTATAATATGTGTATATTATACGAATGTGTTATTAACAGTAATTGTTGACATGCTAAACGATTGAACGCGGTATGAAAAACAGTATAATTATTAGGAGCCAATGACACTCGGGTTACAAATTAATCAATCATTACTTTTGATTTCTTTTCAAGTGGTTTTTTCAATAGTGTGTACAATAAAACAAATATTACTTACCGCATCGAACTTGATGTCACTTTTCAGCAACGCTTGCACTGTTGGAAGTTTTATACAAGTCTGGCAAATATTCAACGAGTGGCTGGAGATGAACCATTGGTTGGCAAAGATGCTGGACAAAACGTTTAGCACAAGATCAATGCTAATTTTGTTGACTGCCGACGGGAACGCTTTGGAAACGTCTATATCCGTGTAATTGGCGATTGGAGATTTTTGTGGGAAAGATGTGATGACAGTGACGTTATGTCCTCGAGCGGCCAATGCTTTCATCAGGCTTTCATAAACCACCCAATGACTTCGTCCGTTGATGGGGAACACTCCGAGTATGTTGGCTCCGTCAGTTCTGCCCAATGTGCAAGCAGCAACCAGGACCAGTGCACCGATCAGCTTCATCTGTTAGAAAATTATAAGTTTTTTAATAAGATCCGTGAAACTCTGAATCAGTAGGTCGATTAGTGTTTCAGTGTCTCAAACTTGAGTAAGTATTTAATTCGCTGAATCCCATATTACAAGTTGTCAGTAAAATCCTTTCTCCACATTTCTCTGTGATTTATATTTTATATATCACGCTTTCACAAATTAAAGTTTTAATTTTTTTATATAATTGTTAGGCGGGGTAGTAAAGTGTAAACGAATGGAGCTAATGTAAATGGCATTTTATTTTCCAAAACGTTCCTGATTTATTTAATTTTATAATGCACTATTATCGTATCGTCATAAGTGTCAATCGATTTCAATTGAAGACCTTGGGGCAACAACAAGACATGTTCTTTTTATTAATTTTTTTTTTCAAAATGTTTTTAAATCCAAAAAAAAATTTTCAAAAAATTATAAAAATTGTTTTTTTAAAACAATTTAAATTCCAAAAGTTATTCTAAAAAAATTTTTTTGGAATTTAAATTGTATTGAAAAAATTTTTTTTATAATTTTTGGAAAAAAAATTTGAATTGAAAAAAAAGTACATGTCTTGTTATTGCCCCAAGGTCTTCAATTGAATTTAAACTTGCTCCACTTGACTTAAACACAATAATTTACTAAAAATTGTTTATTCATTTTTTCTAGTTTCGTTTATAAAAAGAAAAACTGCAATTTAAAGACGTGACTTAATTGGTTTATTAAAGATATATGAAATGTATAAATATTGACAAAACCCGTTTTCTAATATTGAAATAGATAATTGATCAATGAAAAAGCAATTCATTTCTGGCCAAGCGATTAGTCGACAGACTTTTTAAAAACATTTTTTGAAATAAAAAATGTATTAACCTTATTGTTTAGTCGAACGAACATTTTTTGAACTCAAAATTTAAAAGCTGAATAATCGTAATTTGTTTACTGTTTTGAATGTTTATTCACTATAACTTATCCATATCCAATAGTCATTTAAATAAAAATTAATTAGCATTTAAAATAAATAGCGTGTACTTACTGTTAAAGGAGTACACGAATGAATCCAATGAATTCAATGAGTTGAAGACACCGATTAATGTCGGTTAAATAGTTGAATGAATACTGTAGTAGCGGTTACAGCTACAGTTATACTATTAGTTGGTACATTAACGTTATAACTGTTTATGTAACTGCAAAGATATTATGCCATTACTCATTATCGTACACATAGATCATTTGTTCAAAAATATTTTTTTTTTACTCTAAATGCGACGGATAAGACGACCGCTTAACGAAAAAAACGGCTAGAAAAATAGTAAATAGATAAATTTGATTATTATGTAAGCCGGGCACTACAAGCCGAGGAAAATGTCTACAACATGAACATTATAATAGTAATGTGATAATATTGTATTTAATTCGTGGCCTAACCGACTAAATCAAACGCCAAACTGAGAGGTCCAGCTCGGACAAGGAGAACATGACTGATGAATACTACTCTCACACAGTCCATTGGTCTGACCGTCCACTATGGTCGTTGTTCATAGTATAATTAAAATTAATATATAACACACGTGCAAAATGCTACTTGTGTTCAGGTACACGCACCTAAGTTATTCATATAATCGACAACCTTCGGACCGAACAATACAGGGACAGCTCTGTGGCTAATTATTGCCCTTGATTTTACTTATCGTCTATAATTTTTCTTGCCTGCTTATTATTATTAATTTTTTTTTTTAATAAACACGACCTAATGTTTAATACTATCAATTACACTGCAGCCGCTCCAAACGTTTAATGAATAATGTCTAAATATAAAACTGATGTAAGTCGATTGTTAATAGGTACAGAGTTGAGAAAGTGGTAATGCGCGTCGATTAATTCTGCTGCATCAATGATCATCTCTAATCTCATATTTCCTTTAAAAACGAGGTGATGTTCTAAAATTAATTTAAACCAATTTGTTTGACTTCTCGGTTCCTGCCGTCATTAAGATAGTAATTAATTTACTATTTTATTATATTGTTATCGTTATTTAATCAAGGTAAGACTTCCTTGTTTGTACCTAACATGTAATATTGTATTTACCATAAAATGTACCCGGTTCGCGTGCATGTAATAATGGTATGTAACTAGTCCCAAAGTCATCGTGATCACCTTGATTTGTGATGACACTTGATTATATAATATTATTCTAAAGTCTTAAACCGATGTTTTTGCAGCTTTGACCCACAATAATGATTTATATATACATAAATATACATTTTTTTTAACTTGATTATGAATAAACGCATGTTTATATGATTCGAAATTAGATCATCTTTGAACATTGAATAGTAAGTATGGAATGCGTTTCAAAGCAATAACGAAAGGAGATTGCGCTATCTATGATGAATATTATAGTAATATTTATATAATATTCTAACAAACATAAGTTAAAGGTACCTAATCTGTCGATTGTGTGTGTGAAGAAAAAAATGCAAAATAGTATGTTTAATAATATAATCTTACTCATCGTTTATCGGCATAAAAAGTAGTGTCAAAAAAATTAATGTTGTAAACATAAGAATATATTTTTTTACTTGTACTATTTACCTATATCATATTAATTTTAATAGAATTAATTAAAAAACAATAAACACGATGCTGAGGGTTTTGCGGTCCTGTTGACTGGGTCGCTTAATATATTGTTGTGATTAAAATACTAACACTTGGCATCTAAAATTTAAGCGAAAAAAACATTTAAAAATAGTAATTTTTATTTTGTTTATAGCACAATATTATCTTTCTGTCTATGCTAATAGTAGTTAAGAGATAAGATAGTGGTGACACTGATGATTTGTTTAATAATAATTATAGTTATCAACAAAAATATGATACAAAAATACATTTATACTAATATATACTATACCTATTATACAGTGTATACAATTATATAATCAATTTTTGAACGATATTAGTAATGACTAATATCACCTACATTATCTACCTCCGTTTGCTGGCCATTATAATTCAACTTGTAGAAGAGAAAAAATAGGTGAGCTCAGAGACGTATTTAGGAATTTTGCGCCTGAGGTAAGAAAAATAAACACCCCCTTCCCAACCTATATTTCTTCATCGATAGGTGTATTTGTAAAAAAAACACATGATAGTGAAACCAATGCATTCTTCGCTACACTCATAATCTGAAAGGTATATTAGGTATACATAAAAAAAACCTTTTTAAAAACATGCTTTTCTAAAAAAAAAAAATAGTAAAAAGTGAACTAAAAAGTAAAAATAATTTTATTACAAGAACAATTTACCAATCAATTGTAGCATATTTTATTTAAAATGTCAATTACTTTGAAAACAATCGAAAATTAATTTTTGACTAAAAAGAAAAGCGTGGGCCTTATTCATCAAAGTCCAAATTTATTGAGTTAAGTATTAAGAAATGTATGTGTCACACTCTAATATTAAACCAAATTTAAATTACAAAAAAAACTTACAATATAAAACATTATCTGATAAATGTGTTAGGGACTTGGTTGAATAGGGCCCACGCTTTTCTTTTTAGTCAAAAATTAATTTTCGGTTGTTTTCAAAGTAATTGACGTTTTAAATAAAATATGCTACAATTGATTGGTAAATTGTTCTTGTAATAAAATTATTTTTACTATTTTTTTTTTTAGAATACTGGCAGTTGGCACGACCGTTTAAACATGTCTACGAAATATTTTTGGGCGGCCATATTCTGTGTATCTTAATTCTCAAACTACAATATACTTTTCTATGTCCTGGTATTTTCAATGCATGTTTCGTGACAAATTAAAACCACAATAATAAATTTATTAGTATCATTACTTTTTTTTATCACCCAAATGACCTACCGTATTATATCAAAATGATCTCCAAAATTTACCGCCTGGGGACCAAGCCCTCCCCTGCCCCCCCCCCTAAATACGTCTCTGGGTGAGCTTATGAATTTTATAAACTGTATAATAGCAAAGACCACTGAAGGACCTTAAAATATGGTTTTGCAGGTTTCTAAAAATCAAGTGCACCTTTTTTTTTTAAATCCAAATTGTGTCCATCAATTAAAAGTCTACGAATTTGTTTTTACTGTTAAAATATAACCTCAACAGCGAAGGCTGGGTTTACATTAGATTTAGTTAAATTATAAAACTCTGAAAAACACTTACACTGTTTTAAGTTGTACACACCGATTGCCCTCTAGACGAATGACCTTACACTATGGAGACATTTCATAGTCACAAAAATTGTTGTCCGCTATATAGCAGCACTAGTATTAAACTTCACTTGTGAAAATATTGAATGCAAGAATGAGTGACAATACATGTCAAAATTATTCTTTTTTTATATTTTGGTTCTTTATTACTGAAATAATAAATTGGGTTATGTCCATGTTAGAGCTTTTAGAATTGTGTAAAAAATCTTTTTTGTAAAGAATTTCTCAAGTTCTAAGAAAAATAATTACCTTCAGTTTCAATATTCACCAATAAAAACCAAAGGCCATATTCGGATTTAGATTCTTGGTTTACCTAAATCTTCCTTCGGGGTGTTCAAGATTTTTAACTTTTGACTTTTAGTTTCAATTGCACGCGGAATTGTAGCTGATTACTTTTTGAAATTTCACGCCAAGTTAGGTTAGCCATACAAGCGGTATTAATCAAACCCAATGAGGAAGGGAGGGGAGGGGACTAACCCTTTACTGTAATTTGTTATATAGCTTAATATATGGAATTAGGTTGCAGTTTTTAGTAAGTCGGTTGCAATTAGGCGGTGTTAAAATATATTGGCGAAGGTCCGGAAGAAAAATGGTCTAGGGATGATTGCGGATTGACAGTGAATATCCATTTTAACCGACCCGAATGTAAAGTACCTAAATCACTGCAATATGAGCCGCTAAAACGTTGTGTACATGCAATTTAAACGGAAACGATTAATAACCTATTTAATGAGCCGTGACAATTTATCGTTTCAAGTTGTACCGAGTATGCACCAGGCAATTATTCTCAACCGTCTAGAACAAAGTTACGGATTTTATACTTTTCGTTTACAACAAAAGCAAATACAAGAGTTGGGTAGCGCAAAAAAATTATGATATAATATTAATTTTGTACTTTTTTAACCTACCAAGATAGTTTGCACAACACTACACGTTGAATCATTCAGGGCGAATTAAGAAAACTTTTTAATTTAAGAACAAGTATAGGCAATATTTTTTTAGTTTGAAAAACTTTAAAATGTACTACGAATAATCGAGCCTTTTGGATTATTTGTTGTTAGGTATAGGAATACAAAATAAGTTCAGTTGTTTCACGCTTAAAATAAAAATGTTCAAATGGTAATCTATACACATTGATGAACACATATATATGTGTGTGTGTGGGTGTGCTTAACTAAACTAAATAAAAACGGTAACTCAATTAAATAATCAACAATAATAATGTTTTCAATAATCCATAATAAATAATAAAATAATATCTCAATAATTCAATAATAACAATAAACAGTTGCCCTTTTGGCACAGATAAAATATTTCAATTAATTATATATTTTCATACAAATTATGTTTAATTTATTATTTGTTTTAACAAACAGTAAGTAATTCAAGTGTGGATAAAAAACTCACCACAATAATAAAAAAAAACAACACTACAATGATAAAAGATAACCTTTCGTTTATTTATTATATTGAATATTTAAATCATTTCAAATTGAATAAACTGGTTATACAACCGTGTATAAACAACTATAGTTAGTTTAGGAAAAACTTAAACAACACTTATGGTTGTATATTATAGAATAATAAAATATTTAAACAAACCCTTAATAGGATGTCAGCGCAGTGATTCACCGGCACTATAACATGTTAACTTTAATTGAAAATTAGTGGTTCTTAATTGATGTTAATGCAAAAATACCCATTAGATTATTTAAAGAAAACAATATTTTTAAAGGCATCTCGAAGCCTTTTTTTTGAAAAACTCATTTTTTAGAAGTTGCAGTGTTTAAAATTGACACAAATTGTATTATTTAAAAAACAAACAATTAAAGAACATCCTATTTAAAATAACGAAAAAAGGCCTTCGAGGTGCCTTCAATAATGCTGTTTTCTTTAATTTTGATTATAAGTTTTTTTGCTCTAAAACAGCAACCGGGGGGAATATAATAACGATGAAATAACGAGAATTTTGTTGTTAAAATTATACTATTTTACAATCAGTAAAATGTATTAAAAACAATAGGTACATTAATTTTTGCACGGTCGCTATTCTACGGGTATTTTGTAATGATCTTCGCACTTCTCAGCTTATCTAATATTGATAGGTACAAAGTTTAATTTGCACGATTAATTTGTAAGACGTAAGTTGATTTATATGTTATTTTTAAAATTACGACGAAAAAAAATAAATCATTGGTTGTATAATATATAGTTGTTTTGTAAAATTTATTGGTATAGCTCACAAAAAAAAAATAGTTGGGAACCACTGCTCTAAAGTCACTCAGTAAGCCGTTTTTTTGGAACTAAAAAACTAAGTTTTCACGGAAAAATGTTTCTAAATCGCTGTCACGGATGCTGAAAAATAATTTAACTACCAAAAAAAGTCCTAACTACTGAGTTAATAATTACACATCACAGTTTAAGATTTTGAGGTAAAAAACTTTACTCCTTAAAATGGGCTGCGCTGACACCCTCTTAAGGGGATTCGATACCGGCCGTTTTTTCAGTCAAAAACACATTATTTTTTGTCCATCGCACAGGCTGAACCAGTATTCCGATAAAAAACAAATTTGAATTTGTCATGAAGTTTACTTAAGATCTTACGAGGCACTTTTTTCAATTTTGAATTTTAACCCTTTCCAAATTTGAAGTTTGAATGTTCAAATGTTTCTTATTCATAGTAAGAAAAATATACCAAAAAAGTACCTCGTAGGATACCAAGTAAACTTCATAACGAATTCAAATCTGTTTTCAGATTACTAATCGGATCACTGGTTCGGTCTGTGCGATGGACAAAAAATGTACTATTATATTAACTATAGGCTTTTACTCATAGTAAAAATGAATTCAATTAAAAATAATACCATGAAGTTTATACAAAGTTTAACCGTTAAATTAATTGACATGGTCGAATTTTATTTAAATCACTTTTTTCTTAAATATTGCCTATACAAAACTCCTTAAAAATGGTCAGTATCGAATCCCCTTAAGAGGACGCTACCCAGGCCATTTCTAAGGAGTAAAGTATAGGCAATTTTTCGAAAAATCTTAAATTAGAGTTTGAACTATATTATATACTTATTAATACAGTAATGAGGATACTTTATTGATTGCCATATTTTCGTCAGACTATCACAGTCACTTCTATAGGATAAATTACAATTTTTTCCCCATCAAAACTGCTTTGCGCGGGACAAGAATGTGAGGGCAGTATTAACAGTAGATTTACCAAATTTTCACAATGTATAGAGAAGAACTTTATCTACGGGGTAGCGATTTTATTTGTTTGATATCTATACTTAATATTTTTTTTATAAGCAAATGAAAATTGAAAAAAAAATAGAATCTTCACGAAGAAATAATTTTAATTGTGATTAAGTTATCAAAAAACTAAAATCGCTACCCCGTAAATAAAGTTCTTCTCTATCCATTGTAAAAATTGTATACGGCTACTGTAAATACCGCCTTCACATTCTTGTCCCCCGCAAAGCCATTTTTTGCGGATAAATTACGGGTGGGTAGCGTCCTCTTAACTATTGTGCTTAGGTTATAATAGTATTTTTTTACTGTCAACAGTATTTATTTTGAAAATACTAAGTTACAAATAAAATTGAGGAAAGAATCGTTTAAATTCGTAGTGGCTTAACCTATTGTAAGCTATATTGCGTTTTTCAGCTGTAATAATACGCCTATAGTTTAGTGTGACAATGTCACGTCCTTCGTTCATATTAAAAAATATGAGTTTTAGCGGTTGATATTGCACATTAAAACCGCTAATTGTTGGCCATTTTGGTCGTTAGGTACCCATGTGTGATTTCTCTAGAGACTTAACGCCGACACGTTAAAAAAATCAGCCGGAGAACCACGTGGATCTCGGAACCGATCAATAAGATTCGACCTAGTTACTTCGAATGGCAAAATGCTAGTGTTTTCATAATTAGCATACACCAGCTAGGTATGTGTAGACAAAACATAATGGAACTATTTGTTCGATACCTGTTGACTGCTTGATTAATTCACACCTAGGAGAAACATAGTGTAATCTACCTCTTTTATTTAGGCCTTTCCTTAATCTTTCTTCTTCTGAGGGAAAAGGTTTTTGATATTTGTTGTGTTGTCAATGTGTATTGTGATTATAATATACTGAATATTGTAAAAAGGGCTTGATTGGATGTAGCATGTTTATATAATTTAAAAAAACAACGAATAAAGCCTATAACTAATGAAGAGTAATATACAATGTAATACTAATAATCTAAATGTTAAGAAAAAAACGTTGATAACATAACGATACAATTATGATAATGGAAAATAGGAAAACTATTAATTTATTCGCGTTTGTGCTTTGATAATGTACTTAGTTTATGAGTAATACTTTTCGTAGCGATATAAACAAACAACGCAATTGTTGTTAAGGCAAAGAAAAGTAAAAAAATGATATCCAACAGAAAATATTGAAATCTATTCAACTTCAACGCGGCAGATTTCAAATGATGAGCTCCTTTATGTTTGATTACATACTCAGTCCAATATACTATCTCTTGTTTTGGCGTCCTTGGTCGGTCCTTAAATCTTTTAGACAGTTCCATGGCATTTTTCCTGTACCTATGAACATATTTATTAACATAAACTAGATACAAATAGAAGCTAAAGTAGAAGTCTTGATTATTTAAATCAATAATATACTTACTTAGCCCTATTGTAGATCATTTCGTTAATGGCTTCCACCAGTGTCTCATTGGTTAGCGTGTTGTAGTCCAACATCTTACCTGCGCCCCAATGCACCACGTTGGCGATATTGTGTTTTTGGTCGAAAAATAACGGTATGCCCAACACAGGTATTCCACTGTCGATGGCTTCGTACACACCCGCCATTCCACCGTGTGATATAAACAAGTCTACTTTACTGTAATCTGTAATGCCGGTATGGAAAATATAGTATAGATGACAACAAAAACCGGAGACCAATTTTGTGTGAAAAAAAAATAATAAAAAAACGGGGTAGCCATGCAAAAATAAGATCTCAATATTTCAATTAACAAGTAGGTTTGAACTTTACACATTTTTCGACTTATTCATCATCATATTTACTTAGTATATCTCTTTGCGGAAACCATTTCCTGATCATTACATTGTCCGGTAATTGTCCGAGAGTAGCGCTCTCGTATTTCCACAATACTCTGTGTGAGATTCCAGACAATCCTTCGACAAAAGCTTTTTGTATGTGCAAAGGAGCTGTATCCATTTTAACGGTAGATCCAAACGTAAAGTATATCACGCCATTGGGAGATTCGTCGATAAATTGTTTAATATCCTAGACAAATATCGTTGACCGGTTAGGTTGAGCGAACAAACTTTACCTACAGTTTAGTTTCATAAAATTGTTTTTCACCTTGGGCATACAAGCATAAGTAGCCTACCGCAATACTCTCACTCCACGCTTCTGGTTTAATTTTTCTTGCATTTACACAACCATTACAGTCTATTGTCTTTCATTCCGCTGTCATTGATGTGCACCTCCCAATCTTCCTCTGATATAACCACTCTTAACTCTTTCTAGCCTAGGCACATCAGAAATTCACCTAAATTGACCGTTTTGGTCGCATAACCCAACCATGCATATTTTCTTGCATAACCGATTCCAAATATTTCTCAGCACTATTTACCACTTACTTACTCTTTAGGCATTATAGATTCTTTACCTACACCTAGGTTTACATCTATTTTCCCCCTATCTATTGCTCTTTCAATGCTCTTCTCGGTGGCTTATCAACATTAACATCACAATTATTCGTACTTGCGGCAGCGGTTTGGGAGGTACCAAGTGAATGCCTCCGATATCCACGAAATTGGGTAAAACAGGTTTAGGCAAGTCCACGGTAAAATGGCCGTTGATGAACACCAACGACGTGTTTTTCATCACTGTATCCGCGTCCGGCACGTCTGGCCCAAAGTACTTGCGACCGATTTTCGTCGCCTCGCGGTCTACCCATTTATATACTAAATGAGAATACAAGTAATCGTAAAAATTCATGAACCGTTGGACAAAGTTCGACGGCGTGGCAAACCCAGAATGGAACGTGGACACGTATGCAGGGTTCGTGTGACTAGCAAAGGTGTCGTGATACCACGTGTTCATATGACTAGCAGTTACTAAAATTTGAGGTATCTGTAGATGATGAGAAACGTATGAATCGCAAGACGAAGCCAACAACTCTGTGATGAACAAATCAAACCTAAGAAAAAAACACAAACAAAACATATCCGTTAACAATTTTAATGATTCTAGTTGTGACGCGAAATTTAGGATTCCTCAATTGGGTTTGTGCAAATTTGCTTAGTTGTGGCATAGTACGAACTAGCAAATTATAACAGTTGTTTGGACAATTTTTTAGAGCTGATGCTTTACTTGTGTGATCTTATGGTGTTCCAAAATTCATCGAGACCAAATACGATATCGCACGTGAACCGATGACGACCATTCAAATACGGAAGATTATTAGCTACCGAGCATTCGCCCATTATGTTTTCCCAAGGCATTGCAATACCAGACGGTAAGGTGTGCGAAATGTCCACTTCGGTGTAATTGGCGATCGACCTGCCTTTGAGAAACGGCGTTATAACCGTCACATTGTGTCCACGGGCTACCAGTGTCTGCAGCACTGTATCCAAAACGTTCCAATGACTTTTGGCTGCTAGTGGTACCAGAGCCAAGATCTGAGCTGCTTGTGTGTATTGTAATGGTAATACCAGCAAAGACAAAACCAGCAACCACATACTGGACACGGCTCTCGTACCTTTACAATACTAAATATTAACAAGAATAATTATTCAGATTTGTAGTGCTTTTTTGTTACCAAAAAGTGACATTGATCCTTTTTTTTTACTAGATCCAGTGATTTCAGGTGATCAAGTAGAATATTCTTGATCTTAAAATATAACAAAATATGAGACTATACCATACCGTTAAAGTTTTAAAAATGTACAGATAACTAACAAAATATTTTAAACGATAATATTATATTTTAGAAACGTTTGATTACTTGATTCGTACAAAATATTAATTATATTGATAGGTATAAACTCGTGATTTATGTCAAATTATTATTAAGATCTAATCGGTTGTTTTAAGTCGTCGGCAGGCAAATTATATTTCTGAAGAGGTTTTTATGGCCCGTAAACATTAGTTTTAGAGATTTTAGTATTAGTTTTTAAGATAATTTTTACGTGTAAACTCGACAATCCAACACTTGTAGACCCAAAGATAAAACAATTTTGTTATGACTGACTACTCACTAACATAATAATTGCATTATAGAGGAAAACCTATAATATTGTATGAGTTATATTTTTTATAACTTATGTGCAGAGCTGGGAATTTTTCATTCGAATAACGAATAATTAATAATTTATTCGAATGATCTCTTTATTTGATACTATTTGAGATGATTAAACTATTTTATCGCTATACATTGTTACATGAAAATAATTAGCCTAAGAAAAATAAAATATTCAAAAATCTCGGAATAAATCATTTAATTAAAGTTTTTTTTTCTTTGAATAATAATTATTCGAATAATGTCCAACTCTGCTTAAATGTTAATTACAGTAGGTACTTGAAAAGTTATGGATTGCAATAACTTAGATATTTAACATTAAAATCAAGCAATAATTTAAAAAAAAAGCTTTTGAAGTCCAGCTTTTGAAATAATATTCAATACAATACCATAAGTAGTGATAGTGATTGTTTTTGGGTGTTGTTGTTTTATTTTAGTAGGTACAACTGAATTTAAATTAATATTTATACAAAAAAAATAACAACTAGTAAAGTATGTAATACCTAGGTGTACTTACTTAGATTTCGAGTTGTGATGTTTTACAGATTTTAGATATAACTTCGTACATAGAATGCATGTGCGAAGGTTTAAACTTTTTTTTTAAATAAATTGTTGAAATTATTGTAGAAATACACTGCACAAGTACTGATGATTTGTATTTCATGTCGGTTACTATCAATATGGCCCACTAAAACAGTTAACAAAAGATAGGAACAAGAGTTATTTTTTTTATACCTTATCGTGAATACTGAACTGTTATGAAGGCAATATAAAGTATGAAGTCATATATATAATTAAATAGTTGATTTATTTACATTGTTATGATTATGTTTTATTGGAGTATTTATATCTATCGGATTAATGACAGCGCTGTTAACTGAGTGTGTTGCATTCCGAATGTTTTACTTAAGTAGGTACATGATCTAGTAAAGAATTGCCAAAATGAGTAAGCTTAACCTAACTTAATGTCAATGTAGCTAAAGTTTATTTATTTATTTTGTCCTCGTTTGTACTGTTTTCACTGTTTTCCTTCTGTTTCAATTTTAGGATGGTACAGTTTTTATTGTCTTAGATTTTAACTGCGTTAGCTTATAGTGTTCACGAGATAAGTTTTTTTTTATTACAACATTGTAAAATCAATAACTTCTCAACATTCGAGCTATACAAATAATATCACCTACCTCGTTGGACATGTCTATTGATAAAACATTTTTATCACTGTAAGATAAAAAAGGTTAAGCAAAAAACTCGATTTTAGACATATTTTTTTTATAGAATTATGCATTGTTATAAATAAGAGTTTTTTTTAATACCCATATAATTTCGTTATAGCCAGCAAAACCTAGAAGCACCCAAGTATAACGCAATGGTTATGTACAACTAGATATACTAAGCATAATTGAGTATACACTATACAGTTTAGGTACTATAGATAAGAAACATTAATGTGTGACAAAAATTGCGCATTTTAATAACTTATCTAAATACTAATCAAAACTGTATTATTAATATGTCATTTTTTTTAAATGTTTTATGAGTTGCACTATTGAAAAATACTTTAGGCTAAATCTACAAATAATGTGATATTTTTGTTATTACTTACTTACTTATTTTATATGAGGTTGTCTTATTAATTTATATATTTCTGTGAGAACACGTTTTGTTAAAATTATATATTAATAAAATATATGATTTTATGGGCAATTTTAGATGTAGGTACAACCTTGAACTTAACTTATTAACCATAACTTTTTTTTTTAATTTGTCTGCCTTGTTTATAATATTTTTCAATTATAAAAAATAAGTTATGATCGACTTATTGGGTTTTACTCTAAAACATGCACTTTAGAAAACTATTTTTATTTCATTTTTTTTCATTTAAAAAAAAACGAAATTTTAAGTAATTATTTAGGTCAAACCCTAAACGTGACCAGATAAAAACTTGATCATAATATTTAAAAAATACATACTTCAGTAAATAATCGTTCGGTCCGTATTTGGGACTTGATTTGTGCCTAAAGACTTAATAAACTTACTAATCAAATTGGTACAATTCTTACAATCAAATCAAGTACAAGCTATATTAAATAAATGATAATTTGTCGTCCTAATTAAAAAAAAAAACAACTTTATGCTATTTAATATTTTTTAAAAAACGTTTCTCAAACTATGGAACCAACGAATTCAACGACCGCGTTCGTCTAAGACAGATTTCTTATTTAAATAATTAATAAACAGCTCATTTTTGGGCGTTGGACCTTTGTAAATAAATATTGTTCTTTTATCTGGTAATTTTGGTCTATTGCCTAATCGTAGCTTGACCTGTCAGATACGTTACACTAGCAAAAGATTCAAGAAAACGGAATACAATAGAAATATAGTGCAACTATAAGATATGAAAAAAAAAATAGATAATCTATTGATTGTAGTGGGAGATAACACTATGAAACCGGTTGCGTGCACATTGCTACTACTAGTTCTACGGCTTGCCAAGTGCCAATCATTATATTATATTATGCCAAGCAGTATTGTGGTGTGTATTTAAAACAACGTGCGACCGTACCGAGGAAAGTTGATTTTTGTGTTTTAAGTTTTTAAGCAAAAAAAAAAAAAACATTTATGTACTTTGAAATTTCTGTATAATACTATAACGTTAGACTGACGTAAAAAAAGGTAAGAATAAAACTGACCATGTGAAACATAATATATTTTAAGACGATAAACGGATTTACACCGTTGTTAAACCAAGCTTGGAAATAATCTATGTAATCATTTACATGATGTTAGTGCTCCACTGTAGATGTACCTTCAGTCTAATTTCCAAACCTTGTGCTCCAAAACTGCGCTCAAGAAAGTAAAAAAAAAAAATTTCCACCCTTTCTAGGAGAAAAGGATTGTGATACCTAAAGAATGTTTCATACAAATTTTTAACCGATTAAACTGTTCTAAAAAAAAAAGTGCAAGCGCTTTGTAGTTTTAAAACGAAAATAGTGTGTGTGTTTTATATATGATAACAATAATGAATTACTAGTAATTGATTAAATGGGGGTTATTTAATGTTTTTTTTTTATTGAAAATCTTTTTAATAATATATTTTACTCAATTAACTTTATGAACATGACATATAATTAACACGCTAAAAGCATATCATTGATATAATAAATAACATTGTTGATTAAACTGTCTAAAGATTAGCACTCGCGCTTGATAAATTATCTTATCATATTTATCTCATTTTTTTTTTTTAATTATTAAAAAATTACATTTAATTTAATCATATTTTCTGCAACATAAGCATTAGGCGGTGAATGTACATGACTATACGTATATTATTGACTGTACTAAATGATTTGGCTTTGTAAACTCTCGATTATGGTTTCTGTAAAATTATTTTTAAAAACGCACTTTCTGTGTTCTTTACCATCGGTGTGTGCGATTGTTAACATCCTAGATAAAGTAACCCCATTAACGGTTCAAAAAACAGAAGTGATAAAGTTTGCCCTTTAGCATGGCTATCTACTATGACATTAAAAGCAACACCAGTTGTGTTTTCAACTGAAGGAAAATACATTGGGGAGACTGTTGAAAAAGTTTACACCTTAAAAATATTATAGTTCATTGGTAAAGGATGTAAAATTGGAAGAAACTAGTAAGTCGGCTGTTCTCAGGTCGATGATTGGAAAATTTAAAAAACGAGACACATGGCTATACAGGTTTAACTAGTTTTTGCTATTGGACTATGCTGTTTTAGCTAAATTTATTTTGTATCATATACCTTGTAGAAATTTAGCATAACCATATATTTAGAGTATCTTTTTAAACGTAATTTATTATTATTATTATTATCAACAGGCAAACATGACACGGATATATTGGCTTCTGTTCGGATTGATTAGCAGATTGAACGCCGCTGAAATATTAGCTGTAAGCCCAATAGCAGCAGCCAGCCATTGGAACGTGATGAGCTCTGTACTCGAAGCGCTTGTGGCTCGAGGTCATAAAATTACTGTTGTGTCTCCTTTCCCGAGAAAGACTCCTCATGAAAACTACACGCATGTCGACATATCTAAATATGTACCATTTGCTATAGCCCAACCTTGGGATAAGGTTAGAAAGATGCTTACTCATTGTAAACAAATTTGGTTGACTATAATACATTTTAAGGGCATATTATACTTCAAGTGTACGGTTTTTTGCTTAGGTGATCGGAGTGTTTAAGCCTCCGACAGCTTGCTTGAAGTTCTTGAACGAAAATCAACAGCACACGTGCGAAACAACATACAACCTACCGGAATTCCGACAAGTGCTACAAAGCAAACGGTTCGACGTTGTGATAACCGAACTGTTGGCATCGCGGTGTGATTTGTACTTGGCCAGCCATCTCGGCATACCCCAGGTGACGATCATGTCGAGCCAGATGCTCACCTGGTACCAGGACTACTTCGACAGCCCGTCGATCCCGTCGTACTTGACTCCTCTGAACTCACCCTATCCCAAACCGGAAACATTCTTCCAGAGATTTTGGAGTCTGGTCGACTATTCGTCCATAAGTCTATACTTCAAGCACATCGATTCGGGAGCAACCCAGATGGGCCGCAAGTATTTCGGCGACGACCAACCGGACGCCGAAGCCCTGCTACGAAACGTTTCCATTGTTTTCATGAACACCCACTCCAGTTTTGATCTGCATAAGCCGATGGCCACCAACTTTGTGGAAGTCGGTGGCATACACTTGAAGCCGCAAAAGCCATTGCCCATAGTAAGTTATAGTTAATAGCTTAAAAATTATTGCCATGTTGTTGAAATTCAAGCCGTTGTGGATAAGCTACAGCGATTCGATTAGGTACACTCTTGTCTTATGAGTCACAACCAATGATCGTCAATGCTTTTAGCACTCAAAACATCATCTTCGTCATTGCTATACACCACGTATCTACTCCAGTTACAGCTAATATCCTTAAATTGTCTCTTCAAAGCATTTCCTTCTTACGCCTCAACTTATCAGTATCGTCGATTCAATTTATTCGCCCTGCAATATAAATCTAAATCAGTTTCAATCGTTCCAATCAATTAACTTCCGTTTATTTATCTAGATACTTTAAACTGGTTTTACTCTATTTCTTGAGACATTTTTTTCAAGACTCCTACATTTCTCATACAGGAATAAGCCGCATTCACTTCCCCGTCATACCATTCTTGGTCAAACTATCTTGGTCCTGACTCGACTAAGATTTGGCCATAACATCCTACTTCACACCGTGTACTCATACTGTTGATCCTATACTTAATGATTCGTTTTTTTGTAACCTCCACCTTGATGGATTATTATACTCTGTTTTGTGATAGTCTACCCTTTTATCAAGCTCGTGCGTCCAACTTAAATCATGTTCATACAATTGCCTATCTACCAACGCTATCGAAGCGATCCTACATTTTATCCTGGACTCTGGATTTATAATCCAAGGTAAATAAGTGTATTCAAGCGGCAAACTTCAGTGCAATTGAATAAAATATATTGCTTAAACATTTCATGTCTTTGTTAGTAGGATATCCAGAAAGTAATCGATAATGCTGAGCACGGAGTCATATACTTCAACCTGGGCTCTGTGACCAGGATGCAAGACATGCCAATACACATCCAGAATGCGATCAAAGAAGGAGTTGCAGAATTGCCTCAGACGATTTTGTGGAAATTCGAAACGGACGAGCCGATGGACGGACAACCAAAGAATGTATTCACTAAGAAATGGTTTCCCCAGTACGACGTCATACGTAAGAAAGCACTTAATATTTATTAAGCCATTATTGGTTTTGAATGCTGGCTTTGATAATACCGACCAGTTATCATTGGTTAAAACGGTTTTATTATAAATGTAAATTATTCACATTTCAGGTCATCCAAATGTCAAACTATTCATAACTCACGGAGGTAATTCCGGCACCATCGAAGCGATTAGCGCGGGCGTTCCCGTGTTGGGTTTCCCGTTGTATTTTGACCAGCCAAGGAATTTGAAGCTGTTCGAGTATTGGGGATCTGGTCTTTATGTCGACTATAGTAACTTCACAAAAGAGGATTTCGTACATAAGATCAAACGAATTATTAGCGACCAAAAGTAATATACACAATCTAGTATTAACCGTAATGTTATATAAGCTGGACAAAACAAATAAAAAATAGGATATAATTATCAATCCTTGGCTGTGGATATCACATAATTTCCTAAAAAAAACTGGCTGCTTGTCGCGCTTATCTAAAGAAACCCGAATATAAATAAAACATGGACTACCATAGCGGTTAGAACGTGTTCAGTGTATGGTTACCTCTTTTATGGTTAAGTTGGTACAGAATAACCAGAATGAAAACTTTAAACGATTTATCAATAAAAGTATAACGTTATATCTATACATAATATTATTAATTGTGTGTAGCTATAATAAATGATTATGAATATTATAATAAATGAGAAGATGGCGGCCTCCATCAGAAAATCTTTACCGTCGTTACCAAAGTGGTAACTTGTTATCATATTTTGGGAACCTATGACCGAATGCCAATCTACAGCTCTGTGGTACGCTGTTATCATGATAATAATTGCTATTCGTATATAACCATTGATTTAATATAGTATTTAAAATCACCTTTATGATATCCGAATCCTGTGTAATTTTGATCTTATGATTTGACAGATGTCATAATATTTTGTCGTATCAACTATAGTGTTTTGTACGTTTGACATTTAGATTTAAAGAAAATGCCGTACAACTGTCTCGGAGATTCCATGACCGACCTTCGAGTCCTCAAGATTTGGTCGTTTACTGGATGGAATATGTGTTGAGACATGGCGGTGCGCACCATCTCAAGTCACACGCGGTCGATACGCCATGGATGCAGTATTTCATGTTAGATTTCATGGGATTGGCCGCCGTCGCCATTTTGTCGCTATCGTATTTCTTCTATAGCGTTTTTATGTTTTTCAAAAAAAGTTCATTTTTATTGAAGTACAAAAACGAATGAAAACAAACACCGGCTATAATTATTGTAATAATTAATGGTATCGTGTGAAAAACACGATCGGTAGGTACTTATTTAACAATACAATATTTTAAAACTACATCTCGCTCCTTAAACGTTGTGCGGTTAATATTAAACTTAAGGGGCTGTGTGTAGGCAATTTAAAGTGTTCTTAATTTTTTCATTTTTCATTTTTTCCATCATTGTACCTGCACGATTATGTTAATCGGCTATAAAATGTTTGTTGTTGTTTATTATAAACAATTATTATCGAAGTCGATTACAAAATGTATGTAAATGTAATTTTCAGCTTTAATTAATGTCGGGCGTCTGTTTTAATCATTATTATCATACCGTGCTTTATTGTGATGTTTTTGCAGTAAATCCGAAGGTTTTTAATATTTTCTAATTAATAATCGCTTTAATTTATTCTATAAAATAACGTTTAACGCGCGCGCGTGTATAGAACGAAAATTTTCATTAAAAAAGGACTCGACTGTATTAACAGCAGCTATAATTATTATTGTTGACTGTGTATTGTGTGATGTGAAACTGTAGCTGATTGACGTGCATATTGTAGAATTATATTAAGTCTAAATAGGGTACTACCCAACACTAATATAACGTAGCTGTGCAGATTAAATGGAATTCAAATTGAACCCGTGTTTGAAGAATTCCTGCGAAAGGCCGGTTCGTATAGTCGCATGTCTTTCGCGTGCGGCCTTTCTTTAGGAAAATTCCTAGAATAATAACGCCGCCCGAATACCTAAACTGATGTACAGAAATTACATTTAATTTGAATAAAAATGCGATGGAAGTATAAATTATAAAAAATAATAACCGTATTCCAAGAAAGTTCGGAATTCCAACCTCGGCATCACAATTATATTGTAATACCTGTACCTTTTTTGTTTCGAATTCCAATTCGCAGCACAACGAAAAATAATGAAAAAAATGTGTTATTTTTTACTTGGAAATCTTAGAAAACTAAACCATATTATACCAGATATATATTATATCAGATCCCTAGCTCAACTCAAATTCTTAAAGCTAAAATATGACATCTAAATATCGTTTCTTTGGATTTCTTATTGAAAATTGCCTTTACCAAGTTACAGCCCATTGATAACATTGATAACAAAAATGTTATCACAAAAAATGATAGATTTTCGAGTGTCATATTTTATCTTTAGTGTATTGTTTTTTTTTAGTTGTAAAAACGTCTATTAGTTTTCAAAAATGTTTTTCTGTATTTTTGAATGAAAAATCAAATCATGAAGAAATACTTGGAGTCGACCTTGGGATCTGATATATTCTCATTTGAATAAGCTACTATAGGTTGAAATTTCAGGCACAAATTCCTGTCAAGATGAAAATAAGAACCAAGGAAAACTGTGTTTTCAACACCCATTCAAATTGTAACTGGACATTGATATATATATATATATATATCATTTGTATTATGACTTTTTTATTACAAAGTTATGTCTATTTCTTGTACCAATATAAAATATTTTACAATCTATTTTTTCTATTAATTAGTTAATGTATAAAAATACTGAGAAGATATTGTTTTCACAATGATATCTTTTAAACAGCTGAACCGATTTCAGATATTTGTTTATTTAAAAGTGATTTTAAATATGTTCGATACCACTGTACCATGTTGAAAGTAAGGATATCAAATAAAATTAATATAGCAATAATTATTATAGTAGCAGCACACACTAATAATTGGAAATGATCAATTGAAAATGAAGATTTTTTAACACCTACAAACTCATTATTAAAATCGGAGCAACGTTTCAAGAAACCTAATTTAAATGAAGCATTATATCCTTACATGTATATGCATATATCCTATTTAAGTTATTTATATAAATATATTAGTGTAACGTTGCAAAATCCAAGGTTAGGCACATTTATGCGTTAACCGGACAAAGTAAGTATAAATCATTGAGTGACTTCAGAGAGTTAATATGAATCATAATAAAAAGTTGCCAAACACGTTATTAATTAGATGATTTTTAAATTCCTTTTCATCGGGTATTACTAATGATTATATTAAATATTATGTCATGTCATCGTGGCGATTAAAGGGGAAACAATAAGAGTTCCAGCTCATAGCTGTGGTTTTATAATTTGTTCGAGAAGGCAGTGTATTATATTGTTATTATTTTCCCTTCGCCTTTGTAAACGATCAATAAAAGAACATAGACATTTAATTTAAATAATTATAATATACGTCATAGGTACTGAATACATAATGATCTAAAAAGTAGGTAAAAACACAAAGGAAAACGCGACCAACGTCCATTTTGCATTGCAAACAAAAATATATACCTAGTATGATTAAATTTATTTTCTTTAAAATTGCATTTGAATTTTAAGATAAAAAAAAATAATGTTGTTCTTGCATAAAATTAATCTCCCAAATGGTAAGAAATAATATAGTAGAAATGTAGTTTATCCTTACCTTTTTGAGCTACACAAACTATACACTATGATTTGTCATATTTTCCAACTTTTGAGTACGGTCAATTTTTTAAATATATATGAATTCGTTTTGGGTTTTTATTTAGCTATTCAGTCGAAAACAACCATTAATCATTATAGTCCTTTAATTCTAAATGGCGTGGTAAAAATGTTTCCCTTACTAAAATATTTTATTTTAAACTTTTTGTTTTGTGTAAAATGGTCTGATTTAAAAAAATGTAATTTGAGTTAATGAAAAATAGGTACGTTTTTTTGGGCATGGACGTTTTTCGTCAAAATTGTACCTATCTGTTTTCCGCCAAAAATAAAACCGAATTTAAAGCAGCCCAAAATTTCAAAATGTGTTGATAAAAGGTGATTTTAAAGTCAAAAGTTTCTTGTTAAAAATGACGAAAAAATTCGGTTAAGTTAACAGTTAATATGATGCCATATTTCCAAACGCTGGCTAAAATAAAAATTACAGAATACTATTTTACAATTTGTATTTTGTTTACTGACCACAGCTGTTTACCATATTGTACAAAACTTATACAGGTGTCTGCCATGTGTTACCGCAGTGCATTTTTTGAAGAAAAAAACACAAATCAACTTACAAATGTACTGAGTTAGTTGTTTGCATTATAATACTTGTCAATTTTTGAGTCGTTTCGCATATTTTTTAAAAATATTTATAGGACACCACACGTATTAAATTTCAGGTTTAAAACCGTCTCGGGTTCTACCATTTAGAAAATATAACTACTTAGGTTTGGTAGCATCGCATAACCATATTGTTTAAATAAAAAAAAAACCCGGCCATAAAACCTGTACAATATTAGGTATGAACATAAAAAAAAAAAATGAAGCAACTCACATTTCATACCTAAATTTTAGGTAAAACTGTTCTTGTATAGTGAAGGCATTTTTTTTTTTATAAATACTATAAATGGTCATTTTGGTAGTGTGAAAATTAACTACTAGTAAATAATTTTGGTTAGTTTGTTATTTTTTTATTTCCCACCCGTTAATAAATTTGTTGTGAACATTTGTCTGTACTATAATAGCCTTAAAAGTGGTGAAAAAATAACTTTTTTTTTTTTATAAAGTAAACATAAAACGGAAGACAATTGTTTTCTATATGAATTTCCGAGCGACAGGTAATTTTGTTAGAAAGAAAATCTGTTATAGTATGATAGAAAAAAATTAACCATCAATAAATTACTATCAACACTGTCCAGTAAAATACAAATTTTAGTTTTTGCCAAAAATTGCCTATACCGAACGCTTTAAAAAGTAGAACGTGTGACGTGCACTCGGAAAGTGGCGAAATTACCTTTATTCAAAACGCAGGGTTAGAGTTTTGTGTGGATTCAAATTTAAGTTGAATGCATTTTTACTTGACCATTTTAACGCAAGTCCGAGTGCATCATTGACTCGCCTATCACATATTGTGTTCGGTATGTGTATTGTTTAATTTTTATTTTAAAACAATTTTGATTTAGTATTAATTTAATTCGTTCGGGGTTTTCTCATAAACTGATCGCCGAAAAAGAGAAAATAATTTATTATGTATTTGATTACAATATTAAAAAAAAATATACTAATTTATATTATACGAGTGCGCCCGACCGCCGTGCCGTCGGCAACACGAACGACACACGCAGCACGGCCAACGGAACCGCCGACTGCGGCCGAACCGACCCGACGTTGGCCGATCCTACCCCGCGCCGCACTACTTCCGTCCCGACCGACGCGCGTCTCCTTCGCCGCGCCGCCACTTCACCGAACGTCCCATTACTTCGGGCCGCCTCCCCCTCCCCCTTACTATTACTACTGGCGCTCAGCCGCGACCGTTCGTTTGAAATATCGCCACACACACACACACACACATACGCGTTTGTAGTACATGTTTTTTTTTCCCGTTCCTCCAAACTGCTCATCGGTCATCAGTGCAGTATTCGCTCTCGTGACGCGCGTATCAGACGTCTGTGGTGTGCGTGTCCCGTGTCGTCCCGTGTGTTTGTGTGTGCTGCGTTTTGTCGTTGGGTTTTTTTTTTTTTTTTCATCATATTTTACACATTTTTTCGTGCGTCGCCGTGTGTAAAACCAAACCATGACGTCCGTCGTCGTCAGCGTCTCGACGCGTTTCTGACACGGTCGTCCCGTCCCGTTGGCAAACCGCGTCCAACCGTACGACGAGCCCCGACCGAGCCGCGTACCGAGTGCCCACTGCCCAGTTCGTCATGTCGGGCCCGTACGGCACCATAATGGACGAGATGGGCGGCTTCACGGAAGTGCCAATATCGTACCGTCACATCTCGCGTTTCCAACCGTATCGGGTGCAGCCGTACCAAGCGCACGTACCGCCGCCGTCCGGCCGCAAGGTCAAGTCGGCCGCGACGGCGGTGGAACGACGGACGGTGGCCGGCGGCTGCCAGTACGACGACAGCCGACCCACGCTCGTGCACAGGCTGTACCCCGAAATACTGGCGCTGATCTTTAGCTACCTGGACGTGCCGGACAAGGGCCGGGCGGCGCAAGTGTGCACCGCGTGGCGGGAGGCCGCGTGGTACAAGTCCGTGTGGCGCGGCGTCGAGGCCAAGATCGACATGTGCCGGTCGTCGTACCCGATGTACGACAGCCTCAAGCAGCGCGGCATCAAGCGCATCCAAGTGCTGTCCGTGTCCAGGTACAAGTGCTTGCGCGAAATCGTCCAGAACGTGCCCAACCTGGTGTCGTTGAACATGAGCGGCTGTTACCACATTAAGGACGACGACCTGCACCAGATGTTCCTGGAGCACCATCCCAACGTCACCGAACTGAACCTGTCACTGTGCAAGCAGCTCACCGACAGCGGCCTCATCCGCATAGCCGACACGCTGCGGGGCCTCACCCGACTGGAGATCCAAGGATGCTCGTACATCACCAACAAAGGGTTCTCCCACATAGCTAGGAAGTTAAAGAAACTCAAGTATCTCAACCTGAGGTCGTGTTGGCACCTGTCCGACGTGGGCCTGTCGCACATCAGCGGCGCCAGCAAAGACACGACCGACGGCAATTCGCAACTTGAGTTCCTCGGACTACAAGACTGCCAGCACATAACCGACGAAGGACTCAAGTATGTGTCTGAAGGCTTGCGTTCCCTGCGTAGCCTCAACCTTAGTTTCTGTGTTAACATCACCGACACCGGTCTCAATTACGTGTCGCGTATGAACACCCTCGACGAGCTTAACCTGAGTGCCTGCGACAACATATCCGACATCGGTATTGGGTATCTGTCGGAAGGCTGCACCAAACTGGGCAGTTTGAATGTGTCGTTTTGCGACAAAATCGGCGACCAGGCGTTGCTGCACGTGTCGCACGGTCTGTTCGGCCTGCACACGCTGTCGCTAGGCTCGTGTCAGATATCCGACGATGGCATGCTGTACATATCGAAATCACTCAAGAACTTGGAAGTGCTCAACATTGGCCAGTGTAACTCGGTCACCGACAAGGGCCTGGAACACCTGGCTGACTCGTGCAAACTGTTGCGGTCCATCGACCTGTACGGATGCACAAAGATCACCAAAGAAGCCAAAGAGAAAATATTGAAAATGCCAAATATCCGGAGAGACACGGTCAACGAAGACTTGTGGCAGCTCAGATGACCTGAGGGATAATATTATTTGTTTTCTAATATTTTGATATGTGATATATTTTTATTTTAGGTAAGTTAGTAGTAACGTAATGATATTATGTTTTGTTGAGCATACTGGGTTACGCCATCATTTCCGACTAAATTTTTATTATTACCTATTATTAATTAATAATAATCGATTTATAATTTTTGACACATTTCCCAATTTTATGTTATTTTCAATATGCAACGCGTCGAGTTGTACACTTACCGTTCTTCTATCTTATCACAACGATGTAACAACTTATATTTTATGCATAATAATTACATAATCATTCCTGACTTTGACGACAATGTTTATGTGCAAAGGTAACGCATACTCTGCCGTCATACTTTCCCATGGTCGAGATTTTTTTTTGTATTTTTTAACTTCTTTTTATCACATAGGTAGCTAATTCAACAATTTTTTCTTTCTCCCATGTTAGTTATTGGTATTTTTATTTCATATCTCTCGTCGTTTAGTATCGCTAAATCAACAAAGGACCTTTTGCAATTATTATTATTATTATTATTATACCCACGCCTAATTTTCGTTTAGGCTTGTCGATTGTTTTTTTTTTTTTCATCTATATTATTCTTATTAAGTTTGACTAGCTTATTATTATTATTATTATTATTGTAATTTTTTTCTACCTAAATTGTCGGTTCAGAAACATAATTTAGTTTCAGTCCTAATCCGGAAAAAATTATATTTTACATTTTTAGAAAGCCATCATTGTGATAATTTTTTTTTTAAAAATGCTCATATCTAGGTAATAATATTATATTTAGTAGCAAGCTACTGTTTTTATTTTTATTATTATTGTTTTTTTTTTTTTAAATAAGCTCAACAATGATCAGACAATCTAAGCGTAATAATTATTAATTACCTTTGACCGTACTTATTTTTAACAATATTTAAGTTTTTACCAATACAATACAATATTGTTTGGGTCTCTTCTTTAACCGCACGTCCACTGTAACATGATATTTTGTTGAATACCTACATGCTTTTTTATCATTATTATTATTATTATTGTTTGTACAAAAAAATAATGTTAAAAAAAAATCGATATTAAACAAAAATTTAATATTAAGACATGTTTTTTTTTTTTTTTATTATTATTTGTTGCATAAACATTTAGACTAAACGTTTTTTTGCTCAATATGTCAAACCACAAACGGATTGGTTTTATTATTATTATTATTATTATTATTTTAACGATTATATTATTATTATTTTTTGAATTGTGACCAAGTATCGCGAAATTATATAATATATATTATATAAAAATATAGGTGAAAAAAAAGAAATTACGACATAATTTTGCGAGCCTTGACATTATTCCTAGTTACCATTGCTAGGTGACCTAGATGGAAGTCGAATAAAAAATATGAAATTACTATAGACCTTACGATTGTCTTTGGAAAAAAAAAAAGTTGTATATAAAATATTTTTGTTAAAAATTTATATATATTTAAGAACAAAAATTATACCTATTAACCACGGTTTTTTATTTGACTGTTGTGTATTTTTTTTTATGAAAAACAAGGGAAAAAACACTTTTAATAATGCTTTCCGTCTCCTTTTTTTATTTTTTTTCCGTCTCCCCGACAAAGTGTGGTGTTTGTTGGAAATAAACTATTAACATTTGTGCTCAAAGGTGGTGTAATGACCTAACAAACAACAAGATAATATGTTTAAACTTTGTAGCGCGTGTGTTTGCTTAGTGAAATAAAAAAAAGCGTTAATCATTCGCTTCGGTATTGAAATATCGACATCTGGACAATGGAACTGTTGTCTTAGTAGATGTTATATTGTACAATATTTTTAATAACCGCCACCGAGCAGTGAACATTACTATTTTACATGTGCATCGTCCGATGTGATTTTTGAGAGACTAAAAAAGCATTTGATTACTAAAGCCTGTCGAATTAGTTCATGGATAATATGATAAATATGTTATCGCATAGACTGTAAAAAAAATAGTATTAATGGTAATTTTTTTCTACTGTTATAACAAAGCAAGCAAACCGAGAAAAACTGAAGCCAACGGATGATTATGTAAAAACGCTAGTCAGAATGTTTCAATACATGTCTTTTGTTTTTTCTAATATGTGAGGGGTAGCGTCCGTTGTCGAGTAAAACATAATATTATGATTATACTGGTAAAAGGAATTTTTTTGGTTTCAGTTTTAGCTTAAGAACAAGAGTAAGTACAACAACTGTTTAAGTTGTGTTTGGCCGTAACGGGGTGAGTCCGTTTGTACGACCGTTATTTAGCGTTTAAATAATTTTTCAGTGTATTCAAAGAAAGTGATAAAGTTGTATTATTTTACAATTGGGTTTTTTTTTCCTCAAAGACAAAAAAACCTGGTAAAAATGTAAATTACTAAATTTGTTTTCTCTCAAAACCAACTATTGGCGTCGTCACGCGATCCTTAGGTGTTTTTTTTTTTTTTTGCAAGAATTAAATTTTTTCTTTTTTAAATACATTTAATGACGGTGTTATTATGTAATTATTTTTGTGATTATTACTGTAGAAATAATAGAACCGGGTTCTGTCTGTGTGTGACAGGTTGAAACGGTCGACTAGGGGATAGGAAGCGGATAGGGGAGATTATAATATCGTTGCAGAGTGCAGCTGCTTCTCTGCCCGCCGAGCAGGTACGGTTTTCTGTGTGTGCAGTGTGCCTGTTTACTGTGCCTGTGTGTGTGTGTGTGTGCCACCCGCTCCTTCTGGCGGGGCCCGTCTTCCCTTGTCGTTCGGCCCCCGGGGCGGCGGGTGTGCCGCCGCGTTTCGTGTTGCACGCCAATTCGGCCGGACCACTTGTCAACGTTTGACAGGCCGTTGCCCGTTGTGTGTGTGTGCGCGCCGTTGGTTGCATGCGGCGGCGGCGGCTATACCGGCCGTCTCGTGTCTTCGTCCGTCCCGTGTATTGTATGTAGGTATATGCAGTATGCGGCATGTGGTAGGTATGGTCTATGGCCGACGTGCCGGTCCCTCTTGCAACGATTGTGTGTGTGTGTGTACACGCCGACAAAAGAATATAGGGGGCAAGAAGAAGAAAAGAAGAGAACAAGAAAGAAATGCTCAAAACCCATATCTCCATCTCCTCCTCCACCGTCCACCGGGTCTAGAAAATACCTGTTTGGGGACGGGACGCGCATACAATGAAAAATTCTGGGTGTATTATATATTTTTGGGTATAGTACATTTTCGTATATATAATTATATAATATTATACTTGAATTATTGTACTTACCTACCACGGCAATACCGAAGTAATGTGTTATTACATCGACTTATACCTATTACCTACCCTTGGACAATGATACTTGGCTAAGATTTTGTCTTTTGTACGCCAAAAAATATATTCTTGTGTAAAAGTTTGTGTTCAAACGTGCAAATAATAATTCTGGACCGACAATATATAATAAATTATTACATATTTGTATGTAAATATTACTGTCCTGTGAAATTAAATTTGTGTTCTCGGTTCGCCCCATTGCTATACTATATACTATTAACAATAATTATTATTCAAATGATTTCCATAACTCGCATAAACCAAAATATTATTATGTACGTTTAACCTAAACTGAGGTATTTGAACCCACAACTGCAGTAAATAATAATTATTATTACCTGAGCAAATAGTGTCAAAACTACAGCTGTCGGCCGGGATCATATTATTTTGTTCTAAAGCCCGTGTTTTTTACTAGTAGGTAAATAAATGCTATTTTTAACTCTAAACAAACGTTAGTGGAATACATATTTTACTTATATAAATGTTAAAAAAGTAACGATTCCATAGGAAAAATATACATTGTAGTTTAACCATGAGATATTATATAATTATCCTATAGGTAGGTATAGACTGTTTTGAAATCTACAACTCTTTTTTACAGTAAACGGCCAACTGTTATAAAGACAAAAACTACTTGCAAGGTTTTTTTTATGAGACTTTTTTTGGGTTGTGGTATTATCCGTGTTTTGTAACCTATTCTAGTCCACATGTCGTTCCCGTACACGTGGGGTCAGCCACCTCGGCTTAGTGCTTCCTTAACCCTCCTTCGTTTATACTTAATGTATATATTTTGTATTTTAACGGGAAAAATGTAAATACGGTGGTGTTTATGGTAAGGCCAAAGCTAGGAGCATCCGATGAAAATATACATCACAAACTAAATGACTGAAAAAATATTATTGGTTTACCCACACAAAAGTGTAACAAAAAAAACTGTCTCTGTATTGGCATTGATAAACCAGATTGATAAAATCTTTGTTTAAGAAAGACTGGCGTCGTAAACGTTTGCCTTTGAGTTTGCAAAAGCAATATGAGAATATATTGTAAAAAGGTTAATTTTCGTCTGAATTTTCTTAATGTAGTCATAATTAATATAACTGTAATGGTCTTATCGAAATACTATACATATTATTATTACTGTAACGGTGTGTCATCTGCTGCTGCAATACCTGTTGAGAGCTAAGTGTGTATGAGAGAGAAAAAGAGAGAAAAATGTCTTCCACCAAACCGGTTTAAAGGTCGTCCGGTTTTTTTTTTCATATATATATAAAGAGTGGTCGCAACGTTCGCCACCACCTGAAAACATCATACTAGCTAGGATAATATACAGGGTGATACTTTAAGGATAATACATGGATTTTTACTGGAAAAATAATACCAATTTTGTAGCGTTTTCTTTCATGTTCTAAATATCTTTTAGCCTTTATCAGACTTGGGACTGTGCACGTTTTTGTGTGTGTGTTTTTTTTAAGGAAATTAAAAATAATTTTTAAAAAAATACTAATAAAACGTCCACCATGTGAACCCCTATTGCTCGGATGGCACAGCACAACGCGGTCAGCAGGGTGAGGCGGCGGCGGCGGCGGCGTTCGGAGGGCATTAAAAATTCTCAAAGAGGGGTGTATACGGGTCCGACGGCAATAATCCCATGGCACGCTGGCTGGCAGTGTGTGGCACGGTCGATATAATAATAATAGACGGTTTTCGATGATGATAATAATAATGCATGTGCGTGTGCAGCAGTATTCATGCATTTAGTGTTTTTTTTTTTTTTGGGAACCCCTTCGAACGCTATATAGCCCTCCGCCTCACGACGGGGTGCTACCCATTGCATATCTTTACATCCCTTTTGTGTGTGTGTTATATATATATATATATAATAATATCATGCCCGAGTTTCTACATGATATAATGTAATGCGGTCTATACAATATATAATATGTAGAGTACAAACCTATATATTATTATTATTATAAATCAGTATTCCAGAGAAACCCCGTGTCGCGTCGCACCCTCGTCACCTAATATCTTGGAATATTATAATGTATATATGTATGTGCTAAAATGCAAATGGCGCGGATCCCAAGACGTTTGGAGATTTCTTCTATTTCTTTTTTTCTTAAACAAAATCCCAGAGGAACTCGACCGATAACGGTTTTGTATCTAATTTTTTACTTTACAGCGATAACGGATGTCGGTTATAAAATTTGAATTTAGGTTAACGCATATATTGAGTAACAATAAACAATATAATAATATGGAGGAGCTGTAAGACCCGAATCGAACGGGAACGAAAGGATCGAAAGTGTTTTCTATAACCAGTTTAGAAAACAGCACCTTAAATCGACGTCCTTTGCAACTTTGTCAACCGGTGGTGTAATTATTGCTTCGGTTTCAAGCAAAACGGCCAGAATGGTACTTCTCTACTTTTAGTTCTGCTTGTACCTATACGTTCGGCGGTTTTTGTCAACTGTTATTCTTGTTTGTTTTCTAAAAAAAAAACAATTTTATTGATTTTCTCTTTAAGTCCCTCTATTAGTTAAATGTCATTCAGTCAAGTTTATCTAATTGTCACAATGTCGATCATTCTACGAAGCTTGAAAATGTATTATCAAAATTATTTAAATATGCTTACTAACGTCATTCTTAACTACAACGTATTTATTTTCACTGAAACTTGGCTTTCCGCTGACGTCGCTAATACCCAGCTGGCTGTTGAAGGGTGTGTGATTCACAGGTGTGATTGGGATGCCAATACCAGTAAATGTACACCGGGGGGAGGGGGGGCTTATTGCGATGAAGAAAGTGCTTAGGCCGGTTTCAATTGGATCTCTCGATCCTTATCTCTCTTATCCTAATGATAATGGTTGTACCTCTCGATTTAGTCTTCGCTAACAGAAGTGATGTCCATGTTGGAAAAGCCCTTGATTATCTCCTGCCTTGTGATTCCTATCGTCCCACGAACTTAGTACTATCGACCGATCTAAGTGTGTTGTCTTTGCTGCGGACATTAAATGTAGAAATCTTGTCCTCTTTTCTTTATTATTATAGGTGTTTTATCTCTTTGAAAAGGTGAACACTTTTATCTGTTTTGCGTCAACATGTTTTTACCGTTGAAAATCATCGATGAGAGACGTCCTCTTTTAAAGGTTTTTTTTTTTTTTTTTTTATTAAAATCTTTTTTGTTTTTTAC